GGAGAGGGGTGGTGAGAAAGGAGGGGGGTGGCGAGAAAGGTGCGGGGTGGTGAGAAAGGAGAAAGATGGTGAGAAAGGAGAGGGGTGGTGGAAAAGGCAGGGGGTGGTGAGAATGGGGAATGGCAAGAGGGAGGGCCGATGATGCATGGTTTACTAGGAGCGATCTATTACTACGTACTGCCAGTATGCCGACCCTGTAAGTGTCTTCATGAGCATGAATATTGCTCCAGTTAATTGTGACTCGAGGAACTCAATTTTTCATCTGAAAACTGAGCTGAGGGGGGATTATATTTACTGTGCTCGGCACAGTGAATGCATGAGATTAGTCAGAGTTATGGGTAGAGAAACTTTGAACTGCAGAGATTATGTTTTGTTATGTTTTGTAATTATATTGGGCGTATATGTCATCTATCATCCAACCTAAGCATTCCTCGTCTGTCCAGCAACGCCCTGGGCAGCCTGCTGCCCCTGTCCCACTGCACCTTGAGCAGCCTGTCCCCCCTGTCCCGCTGCGCCCTGGGCTGCCTGGCCGCCCTGTCCGGTTGCTCCTCCTACAAGCCCACCAACTGTGTTCGTTGCTCCACCAGCGATGTTCCCAACACCCCTCGTGGTCTGTCCGACGGCCTGTCCTGCGCCATCGACTGTCTGCCCAACGGCGCCTGTTACACTGCCGAGAAGTCCACCCTTTCCTTGTGCCTCGTCACCACCGGTAAGGGTGTTGTCAAGCGAGTTGGTAAGGTTTCCTAGGAGTCCAGCCATTTTGAGTAGTGTTTTGAGTTTTGAGGTGTTGGTTTGTGGATTGGTTTCGTTTGGTTTGGTTTGTTGTGAGGAAGTGATAGGTATGTTGCGAGTGTTTGTGAGTGATAGTGACTGTTCTCGTTGATGGAAGGGAGGGGATTTAAGTACCCATTCGGATATTCTATTCCTCCAAGGCGAACCTGGCCGAGCTGAGGGAATGACGAGATATCCAGAATCTGTCGTCATAACCTCTTCCCATCCCTTCAATATCGAAGTATCTCCATGCTTCTCTACATCATTGTCCAAGCTTCACATCCCAGGAAGTACCCTCACCAGCCACACCTGGCCATAACCTGACTTGCGTTCGCCCCGCATGTCTCGGCAACACGGCAGCACGAAAGGCGGGATGGCAACCTGCTAATGCGCCGTATGTCCCGCGTCGACCTTCCCTGGCGGCGAGTCAATGTTGGATATTAGTTGACGATCGGAATGTCAGAGGCGGGGTTTGCGCAGCCACAGAAGGCCTCGCCAACGTTGTTATACTCTACGGCACAGTGTATGTATGATGTCAAAGTGGAGGGCAGCTGCCTGGCCATGGTTGAAAGGCAGGGAAGGGCGCATATGGTGACACTTGTTGTTGGCGATCTCCCCATATATCCTCCACATTGTGTGCCTGTCGTGGTTGCACAGCTTGCGTGGCTAACTGACTAGTTGCTTCCGCAGAGTCCTTCTTCAGAGTCTGGACAAGAAGACATTGCGTCGATCGCGGCACATATCTACGTTCCTCTTTCCGCCCCTTGTAAGTGACTCGTAAACAATATACTTACAGTGTGTAATGTATTACTACCTACACCCCCTCATACTAGTATGACGATGCTCAACCAGGGCGAGAGCGATATGTGGGGATTGTTGAAACGCCTCTGTGGGGCAAGCCACACAGTTGTGGGGCACCACATGGCAGCGAAGCGAATTACAAGCGTGGTCGTGAAATTAAGGTTCTTAGCGCTTCGGTGCTATTTTGGTTAGCGAACCACTAATCAATACTGGGTTTTAGTGGGGCACAGAGTATGTAATAATACAAGAAACCGGTTTCTAGATAGCTAGCAATACGTGGCATCGGGCCAACATTGAGTTATTGACCCGGATGATTAAGATATTAGATATTTTGTGTGAATATTATGGCGGTACGGTTAACGGGTTGCGCTTTGGTGGGAGAACGCAGAGAGGAAGTTGTTAGCGATTTGTACTATATTTCAGAGTAGCGAAAATAAAATAAATTTACATGGTAAATTGAATTAATATTTTGTAGTGAGAAATCCCATTACTTTTTTTGCGGAAGAGGTGAAATATTACTTTGTGAAATTAGGGTATTATTTATTCTTAATCCTCCACAGTAGGAAACAATATATATCGCCGTTACTTGGGATATTTAAATAAGACATAACTCGGTGCCCATGAGCTCATCCTAATGCCCAGAAAATGCCAATACGATTACAGATGTGCGTAAACTACAGTGCGCCGTTGAAACTCCAGATATTATTCTCATTCCCTTCGCCGAATTAGCAAATTCATCAGGTCTAGGTCGGCATACAAGAGAAACTCACAAGAAGGTAATCGTCACGTCCCCCTTTATAGCGGCTTTAAAGAAGACTTCAATCTCAAGATTGATGTCTAACCGTATAGATATCGGCTTCGGCTTTTCTGTCTTCTCCCCTTCTCCGCCCCCTTTCTCGTCCGCATTCTTTTTCTTGGCCCCCTCCGCCTCTTCTCCCCGATCAATCGATATCCCAATCGGCGGCCCCTCACCCCGTAGCCTTCTGATATTAAACGCACGAAGACCTGTATCAGGCGCCTTTCCCTTATTTTCTTGCGTCGAATTATGGTCCTCCGCTACTGCCTTGCCTTTATCGCTCTTCTCAGGCGGTGGGCTTTGACGGTGTGGTGCCTCTCGTTGCGGCGACGCTGCTTTTCCTTCCGGAGGACCAGCCATCTCCTCTCCCAATCTTCCCACCCTCTCAGACCACGGAACTTGCGCCTTGGCCACGGCCGCCATACCTCCCTTCTTCTTCTTCCGCCGTTCTCTCTTATAACTGCGCGGTCGCGACGACGACGCGACAGACGCGTTATCCGACATCTCGCCCGGTTTTGACATCTCCTTCTTTTCTTTCTGCCCATTTACTTGTCCTGCAGGTAAATCTTCGAGCCCGCTCATCCCCTCATCTAGTCTCTCTGACCACGGCAAACGCGCCTCTTGCGCCGGCGCCATGCGACTGTTCTTCTTACGACCACCACGACGGTGTCGGCGCGAGGATCCGATGGACGCATCGTCCGAGACTTCGCCTACGCGTGTCGTTGGCGGGATCGCTTGGTTCTGGGCAGGAAGGGCTGGTTCGTTGATTTTGAGGTTTCGTAGTGCCTGGTCGGGGGTGCCATCGTTGGCCATACTGGGCGAGTTTCGTGGGCGCCCGGTATTGGATCGTCGGGTTTGAATGGGAGATTGGGAGCTCATTTGCAGGGGGGTTGTTTGTTGAGTTGGGAGCGCCAGGCAAGATGGCGTCGTGGGATAGAAAGTTCCGAGGCCAGAATCGATTTTGCGTTTGCGTGATCGACGTGGATCATGGGAGGGCCTTTTTCGCGTTCTATTCAAGTAGGGGCGTTGTTCCTTGCGGGATGTGGGTCTACGAGCGGGTACCTGGTATTTTGCCTCCCTAGATAGCTATGTACATGTTACATGTTACATAGCTATCTAGGGAGGCAAAATATACATGTTACATGTTACATAGCTATCTAGGGAGGCAAAATACCAGGTACCATGGGAGAGAAGAGAGTCTGCATAAGTCGGCTGCAGTGCGGAAGGCCAGGACAGTAACTCTCGACACATTTTCCATTAACATCTAACTATTGTGATGTCTAGTCCTCGTACATATATGGTTTCGTGGTGACATCACAATATGCAGCTAGTTTACCCGGGCTCGGCAGAGTGAAACACCGGTACTTTAGCACGATTTGCTTGTAACTATGTAACTAAAAATACAGGCCCTGATTCCCACCCCCCTCATCGTTGTTGCAATTATTCTCTCCATGAACACCAAACCCAAACCTAAAAATCCCACATCATATATCCTTTCTTCCCCTGTGATATCATGGCCGCGTAACTCTATTACTAAATACCCACAACGCAGGACCGGCAGCTCTCACAGAAGGCCAATCGCCGCGTAGCTCTATTACTTAACACCCACAACACAGGACCAGCAGCTCTCACAGAAGGCCAATCGTCACGTCTCCCTTCACTCTAGCGTAGAGGTCAACCTGAGGCAAAGTTACTACATTAATCCAATGGTAACATCTCCCTTCACGCGAGCGTATAAATCTACCTGTGGTGGGAATTAGCCATTGAATTTGAATTCAATGGTAACTAGGGGTTCCTGGGGGTTGGGGATAGACCTACCTCAACTTCGAGATCCAGCTCGATCTTGATCTTCAAGCTGCTGTCCCGCGTTTCCTTTGACACTGGGCGGTCCTTGATGCGTGACTCTCGGATTGCGCCTGTTGGCCCGCCCATATTGCCCGTTAGACGCTGCTGATCGTTTGCCGGTATCATCTGTTGGTTTTGGTATTGAGGAGCTGGGGGCTCGTTCTGGCTGCGGTTTTGGCGCGCTCGTTGCATGGTGCGTTGGCCTTTGGGTTGCGCCGGGACAGGCTGCTGTTGCTGTTGTTGTTGTTGTTGTTGTGGCTCTTCTTCAGTCTCTGAGTGGACATCGTCACTGGCATAATCGGCGTTTTGCTTTTCGCTTGGGGAGAGACGGTCAGCACAGGTGCGCTGGTGAGAACGAGAGAACTTGCTTACTTTTCAGACATTGTGAAGGTTGTGTGGTGATGAGCGAACTAGTATTGAAAAGATATGAATATATGCAAGTTGGTTCGTAAAATCAGATGCGTATTTTCTATAATGAAGAGAGAGTATTCGAGGGCTTAAAGGAATCCGATTATATATAATAATGTGATACCGCATCTGCCATGGAATTCCCCACGTATAACTACTTGCATGAGTAATGACGCTGGTGGTGCGTCGTCAGGGCCTGTGGATCATCAAGATCCCTGCAGCCGTATCCGCCGTTGGCTTGCGAAATCAGGTTCTCTGCACAAGTCAGGTATTGTGGCTCTGTGGCTGAAGTTTCGGACCTGGTCCGGAGTAACAGACGGGACAGCAACCCACTAGCATATGGGCCACTAAGTGGTGGAACACGAAATTGCGGAGAGTAGGAGGCTGGACACATATGACGTCGTATTTGCATACTCCGTACAAGGTTCCACTATGTATCTCCATGAAGACCCCGCGTGAGTCTAGATTGTGAACCGGGATACATGGGAAATACGAATTATCTATTGGCCTTTCCATAATACAAACTCCCATAAGACGCAAGGTTGCATCGTGGTGATGTCAGAAGGGTGGCCTGTAGAAACAGTGTCAACCTAAAAAAAGATCGTTGCGGCTCAGATTGCAGACTGATCAAGTCTGCGCTCCCACGAATGTAGCGCGCTACAAGATATACTGAAAATCTGATCGTAACTCACTACTAGCGTTAGTGAGAGCTTAATACTATTACGCACACCTTCTTGTCGCAAAAACGAAAGAGCGTTATGGTTCTCGGAATTATCACCTCAATAGCTGCGTGTCCCGCCATAATTGGCACGACAGAAGCTATCCGGCAAGGCCAGCGCCAGAATGCGCGTGAGCAGCATCGCGGGCGAAAATCCAATCTCCTTGTATCCTGCTCCGATCCTTCACGGAAAGCAAGGGATATCAACGGAGGAACCATTGTGCTACGGAACAACAAAGTAAGGAACCCCATCGCAAGTCTGCAGAAAACCTCAAACGAAGACTGACGAAGGCGCGCTTGGTTAGCTCTATGTCACCACCGTGAGCCCCCGTGGCAGGGCCGCAAAAGAAAGGAGAGAATACGAAAACGAGAAGGATCCAGGCCGATTAAATGAGCGCGGCCATCTTTTTGCTGGCTATTTCTTTGGATATCCAGACACAAAATGGGGCCGCCGAGGGGATGGTCTTGTGTCTACAATCTCCGATGACCCCCCTCAGCTGAACTGGATATATGTGGACAAAGACACATACGAAGTGAAATATGGCCTACGCGTTCAGGCAGAGGGAAACCTTGTTGGGCCGTGGAACTGCACGCCAATTGATAAACGGTTAACACTGGAAGGGTGGGAAGGGTTTACGGTTGTAGAAGAGGAGGAGGATGTATGGGCACTGTATTTTGACAAGGATGATGATGGGCTAGAGGAGAAGGTAGAGCCGAATAGGAGGATTATGGAGATTGAGTTGATAAGGAAAGAGATGAGGATAGGGAAGGAGGAAGTGGATATGGCGGAGCAAGAAGAGAAGTTACGGAATGGAAACGAGGTGAAGAACAAAAGGAAAGGTGGGGAGAACGAAGAGAAGAATGAGAAAGATAAGAACAGTACTCGTGCGGCATAGAAATCTTAGTAGATACATATTCAAGAATTATGAAGTTTACGATTACAACTTGATAGACATCATGAGCTCAGCAACGATGATAAATTAGCAAGATAATAAAAATCACCAACAATAAGAAACTTGCCAGACAACACAAACCGACAGACGGTGAGAAACTCGCGATAAAACGGACTACCAAGTTCAGAGATTATTAACCTTTGCTATTTCCATAGAGATTGGAAGCCGATGACCTCATATAGGCGCTGTACATGATACTATTTGCAGGACTGAGCTGAACATGGTTCGAAGCACTGCTTTGCCCTCAGAACGATTATCGACCTGATACTATCTAACCACCCCCACACGCCCCCTTACCTAAGAAAACAAGTCTACTTTACCATTATGACATCGGCCCCTTGATCCATGTCTCAGACCCTGCAGAGCCGGATCAACGCCGAAATCTTGATTCTGACTCTTAGCTCCCCTATAATTAGGGTATTAACAACAGTGTTACAAGTGTGCAACTCTGTTTACTGAGCTGCGCTCAGTAAATCCAGATACGGCACTAGGAAGGTAATATTCATGCATGTCACTATATACCCTGCTATACTGCTATAGTATGTGGCATCCCCGCCACCCCCGCCTCCCACACTTATCTCCACACCTCCTTACCCACGCATCCCTGGCGCCGAAATCAAGGAAAACGCCACTTATCTATAGTTCTGAGGGCAAAGCAGTGCTTCGAACCATGTTTAGCTCAGTGCTGCAAATAGTATCATGTACAGCGCCTATATGAGGTCATCGGCTTCCAATCTCTATGGAAATAGCAAAGGTTAATAATCTCTGAAGTCGAACACGGGAGCCATTAGACACTATCAAATACGCGGACAGATATACACACATCATGGACTGGGCAAGGCAGAAGTGTTCCTCTTACTACGATTCCAGCTGGCGCTGGATCGAAGACACCTATCTCGCCTACTTTGGAGAGAACAGGACGTCGTACGGCATAAAAGGTGAGAACTCCCCAAAGATTTTTGCTTTTGGATTGCTTGGGATGAAAGAGAGAGTACTAATGAAATTTGTAGAGTCACTGAAGAAGACAGAGGTCACAGGTGATGAAAATATAGATGGGATTCAGCGCGGGGTTGGGGGAGCTGTGGGAGATGTATTTTCGAGTAAAGGGCCTGCAGGCGTGGTAGGAGATGGTATCGATAAAGGCCTTCTGAGAGGCAACGTCTGAGGGAGCCTGTACATGCAAGTTGGATATGATAGTAGATTGATAGTTCACCATTTGCTTCGAATTTTCAAATTCATCGTTATTTAATAAGTTACCTACCTTATATCTAGCATGAGGCTATAAGAATGAAATACCACCTTATCTCCTCCTACTGCTGCGACGCCCCCGGAATCTTGATCGTTACAGTTGTTCCTTCCTTCGTCGTCTGCACATTGATCTCTATCCCATTCGCAGTAATCCCAATACCTCCACCCCCGCCGCTCTGAAGCACAGTAGAATTTCCCGCTACACGACTCGAACCCGCTCCCTTCGTATCTCCATCGCCATTACGAACATCCACCTGAGAAACATCGAGCGTATCCGTATCGTCTCCAAAGACCGCATCAGGCTTCGCAACGAGATCCTCGAGGAGACCCGGGACCTTTTCTCCTGTTGTGCCGCCAGCTACAGGTGTAATCTTCTGTTCCTTGTGTTTACTGCCCTTGGTTGGCTTTGACGCGTTGTTTGTGGAGATAGGAGCAGGGTTGTTTGCTTCGTCGTTCGTACTTCCTAACGGTGCTGAAAAGCTATCGCTATGCTCATTTTGCATATCCTGTTCCCCATCTGTGACATAACCATGTCCCCCTTCGCTATGCCCTTCGTAGTCTTCATCTATATCGTCATCGTGGGGTTCGTGTTCCCCATCCCAATCGCTACCTGCTTCATTATGGCCCTCTTCCTCGCTATATCCAAGCTCGGGCTCTTCTTCATTGCCTGATTCTTCGTGGTAGTTATTTTTGTTTTCTTCGTCTTCATTATCTTTATGTTCCACTTCATCATGATCAGATACAGCCTCATATTCGCGCTCCGGTTCTTGTTCTAGTTCGGGAGGTGGAGGCGCGGGCTTCTTCCTCTTCACCGACTTTGGTGTTTCTCCAAAGTCGAGATCCAGTGCCTTGAACTTTGGCGTCCGCTTTTCAACATCGTTTTGAAAATGGTTTGGTTCTTGCAGAGGTTGTGGCGCCTGTTTCTTAACCCTTTTCACTTCACTTTGAGTTCCATCAACGTGGTCCCGCTTTGCAGTCTCAACATCTACCGGCGGCGAAGTTTTTTTCACTTTCTTAACAGCTGTTTTTGCTGCGTCCCCCTGACCAGAAGTGGCAGCTTTAAATTTGGGAGGCGGTGCGTCAGTTGTAGGCTGGCGTTTTGAGCTTCGGTCAGGGGTTGGAGTCTGAGGGAGCTGGTCTTCCAATGACTTGGGCGGCTTTGGCCGTGGTGTCTGCGGAGAAACTGCATTATTTGGCGTCGTAGTGTCTGCTTTTACCTTTTGAGATGGAACACGCCTTTTTACTACATTTCCTGCATCGGGTTGTGTCGAGGTCATCTTCTTTATTGAGTCTGGAGATTTAGGAGTTCCGTTGGCCTTATCGGTAGGCTTGAGCGGCGTCCGGGGTGCTTTGGGGCTGGACATCGTGAATAGATCTTTAATACATAGTGTAGTGATAGCTAGAACTGCTAATATCCCAATGGTAATTTGAATAGTTGTTGGAGATGTTAAAAGATACCACAAGACAATCGTAGATATATAGAGGACGAGACTGATCACACTATCACTATCACGGGCCGCTAAGAAGGAGAACTGAGGTGATATCTTTCGTGTGATGAGGCTGCTACTCATCGCCATGAGAAGACTAGGTAAGAGCCGTAGAATTGTGGATAGAAGTTGACTTACAGGTTGGGACATACGATTTACTCATCATGTCCACTACTATTTCGTCACTTCACAGCGGTAAACTAGCCACTCGGAAGCACTGCAGGGGTTGCAGGAATACCTGCATGGTTCTAATGCCGCAGGTCTCGAGAACCGGTTTCCGAACAAAACCATGTTCACATCTCCAAGGTCAGGACGAATACTACGGTCCATATTAACAAACTAAAATCGAATGCTTAAAGTGATGTACCAGTACCACTGTATCCTCCCTACCACTCGTCATAACAGGTTCTTTAAGGCCGCCATACCGCCGTTCTTGATCGTCACGGAATTGCTAAAACATGGCATATCCACCAGGGGGTAACCAGGGAAAGTCTTGCCGTTACCACGTTGTTTGTCGTGGATCTATTCATAGGGTGTGGCGATAAGCAAGTGGTGCGCCACATTTTTTGGCGATCAGTGCGGGGGTCTGCGCTAGGAGGTTGTCGTGGAGACGAAAGTTAAGTAATTGCTCCACATAAGCATCTGGCTAGAATACTTGCAATCGCAGGTACTAAATATCCTTATCAGGCCCCAGCCGTAGGAGATGAGCAGTTCCACTATAAGGGTGAGTCTAGACTAGTAACCAAAAGTCGAGGCAACCAAGGTCTAGGGGATTACGGGCTCGAGACTGAATCGTGACTAGGAACAAAATGGGCACTGAAACAGCAAGAATGATCTCAATGTGTAGGATAAAGGCGGCATTGTCTATGTGGCTGGAAACCCCGCACTAGCTACGGGCTATGCAAGCCACAAGGTTTGTAGCTACATTAAATGCAGATACATATTAATAGGGCCCAAAAATCATGATCTACTCCCTGCATGTGGGCTATCATGATGTGGATCTATCAAGGTTGCACTGTGGGTGTGGCACCCTCTTCTCTCTATCATGGATTCTAGCACATTGCACGCGTCTAAAGAAGCTCTGGTCGCTTCTTTTATGACGTCTCTGACGCCATTACAGGGCAAATATAGGGTAGAACAGGGATTTAACAAGCATCTAGATCAATTGATGTGATGTCACTCAACCAGATTCTTAGAACTTGAAAGCCTCGTGGCGAAAAGGAAAGGCTAGTTGTTATCATCGAGGCGGACTTCATAAGAAGGCGTGGGCTCATCACCTAACACACTTATCATAAAACTTCAACCAAACGCACACAGCTACGAAACAACTACTGTACGAACCTATTATACCATATACACGCCACATTACTCATAGCTACAACATAACTTATACTTTGAGCTCTACATTTATAAAACAAGTGGCAAACATGACGGACGTTAAGCAGCACTCGTTCAACCCTTCGCAGAAGTCTGGATTCGACGGCTCTGTAAAGAACATACAAAAGAAGACATCAGAGACTCAAGAGCAAGCACCTAGCGAAGTCGACGATGTAGAGAGCCGTGCGGGCACAGAGTCTGTGGGAGGCGAGTCGCAGGCCATACAAGCAGGAAGCGTCGATAACGAAGGACATGTTATTGACGCCGATGGTCACATCATCGGGAACGTCACAGGGGAGAATGCATCACAGCTTGAGGGGTCTATCGTAGATCAACAGGGTGATGTGATAGATACCGAAGGAAATGTCATTGGAAGTGCGGAGCCACAGGAAGCCGGTGAAGCAGAAACCCCCGAGAAAGATCTTCCGGACGTATCAATCCTTGAGGGAAAGAAGGTAAACAAGGGAGGAAACGTCGTTGACGACAGCGGCAAACTATATGGACGTATCGTCGACGGGGATATTTCTAAGTTGGTTGGAAAGAAGGTGGATTCCAGAGGAAAAATCTGGAACGATTCAGGAAAAGTCATTGGAAGCGCGGAAGTGATACCCATCGATGAACGAGATGAGTCCTCTGGTGCACCCTTCGAAGATTTTCCCAATGCCGTCGTCAACAAGGACGGAACCGTCGCCTCGGATGGCCAGGTAGTTGGGAAGCTCGTTGACGGCGACGCTAAGAAACTCTCTGGCAAGAAGGTCGACAAGGATGGCGAGGTCATTGATAACGTCGGGAACGTTGTAGGAAAGGCTGAGCGATGGGAAGAAGAAGATGCCCCTGAGCCAGAAGCGGCCGATTTATCTTCTTTAGCTGGCAAGCGAGTGAATAAGCTAGGTAACGTGGTGGATGGCACAGGTGCCATCTATGGAAGACTCGTTGAAGGCGATCCCAAGAAGCTCGCAGGGAGGATGTGCGATAAGAACGGAGATGTTAGAGGCGAAGGTGGCGATGTTGTCGGCCGCGCTGAATTGGTTCCCGAGAGCGAGCGTGAAGGCATGAAGCAGGGACCATTTGCGGACTTCAATGGCGCAACCGTGAAAAAAGATGGCAAGGTAGAAGCTAGTGGCACAGTTGTTGGGCGTCTCATCGAAGGAGACGCAAAGAAGCTGTTTGGAAAGCCGGTGGATGCCGACGGTGACGTATTAGACTCCAATGGCAATCAGCTGGGGAAAGCTGAGAGATGGGAGGAACCCGAGAAAGAGAAGTCGAAGCACGCAGCATCAGGCTTGAAGGTGAACCGCGAAGGGAACGTCGTGGGCGAAAATGGAGATACTATCGCCAAACTGACAGATGGTGATGTGAGCCGCTGTGCAGGTAAGGAGATTGATGACGATGGCGATGTCGTTGATGGAAAGAACCAACGCATTGGATCCGTCACACTCCTCGCAGATATTCCAGCCCCTGAGGAGCCCAAGGAATCACCAGAGGAAGCCGAGAAGCGCAAGCAGACGGAGCAAGACAAAAAGCTCGCCGCTCAGATGGCCACCTGTGTCCAGCAGTCACTGGACAAGATCCAGCCAATCCTCAAGATGATCACCGAGGTAAGCAAGCCGTTCCCTGCATACCAGTATTAAGCTAACAAAAGTAGGCTATTGAATTAGCCGAACGCCAGCCTAAGGAGGAACTTGATGAGCAGAAACTTGTCGACACTGTCAAGCCACTCCTCGAGCAAGGCGGCGAGATTTTGCAGGAAGCCAATGGTGTAATCCGTGGCCTTGATCCTGATGGAAGGATTCAGGCAAATGCCAAGCACAAGAGCGCCTCCCGCGAGGCAACACCAGAGGAGCACCGTCTTGCTGAGGTGTTGAAGGAGGTGAGTGTTATGAATATTTATATAATTTCTATAATGCTAACATTGAGATAGTTGACTGGCAGCGTGAGCCAGACGATTGAGGGGGCTAAGAAAAAGGTGGCGGGCATGCCCCACGCAAAGAAAGAGCTGAACCCACTCTGGGGTCTCCTTGCAGGTGCGTAAAATCTATCACATGTCTGAGTTCGGATGCTAACCTGTGTACAGAGCCACTTGGACAAATCCTTGCTGCCGTTGGATTACTCCTGTCTGGCGTTCTTGGTCTAGTCGGCAAATTGGTATGTTTACTCCTGCAACATATGCGGAAGAACTACGCTAATATATTATAGCTTTCTGGATTAGGACTCGGTGGGCTGCTTGACAATCTTTTGGGCGGACTAGGGATTAAGGGCATCCTCGATGGTCTTGGCCTTGGGTCACTCACGAAGTCGTTGACGGGAAAGAAGTAGATGCTTCTTGTGTACTTCTTACCAAATTGCTAGTTTAATGTAGAATCTTACGAATTGTAATTGTTTGCTACAACGAAACCTATTGATATTAATTGTGAACTGCTGTAATCTACTGCCGCTGGTTATTCGATTCAAATATATTGTGTTTGAAACTACGTTAAATTACATAATCTTAGCCATTTCGCTAGGATTTAAAATCATTGCGGTAGGTAATGTATTTATTATATAATTAAATGCTATATGCTACGCTAAATTAGATAAGCTATAGTATAAAAAGGCAAGTTGTAAGAAAACTAAGGCGTTAAAATCGATCTTGAGCTCGCTCCTAGCAACATCATCATTATCCTTCTCATCATCGCCCCTCTCTCCATCCCATCCCCTCTCCTCAACCTTCATCCCCCCTATATTCCCCTTGTATCCCTTTGTATCCCATCCCGCCCCCCCCGTCCCCCGTCTGCTCTCCACCACCCTCATCTCACGATCTACCGCTTCGCACCCCACCCCCAACCCCACCGAAATGCCCCCCCCCCTTCCCCCACCACCCACTCTCTAGGTCAAATACTCTCCCTCTACTGGATATTTCTCTAGCCCCCATCCTACCGAGATAGAGGCCTAGAGATAATATCCGCGGCTGTCATGCGCTCTGACCTCATCCCGAGGATAGACTTTCTCCCTCCGGTTCAAGTACTTGGTAACTAACTCGTCGGCAGACGCTAGATTTATGATTGCAAACCTAAGTAACTAGGAGCGCACCGGGAAACTTGAGTGGCTGTAGAGCCGAGACGTTCCAAAGTTATAAAGTTAGAAGTGAGAAATTGAGAGCACAAGTCTCCCAGCCAATATCTTTTGTCCGATTTCGGACTTGTACATGTTTCGTAGGTCAGTCTGCTAGTCATTGAGATATTTAACCAACAACGTCTTCGTGGCAGTTGACCAGGAGCGTGTCGCTAGATCCGGGGTTGCCTTGTCGGCCTGTCGGGCCTCGCGGCTCCCGTCGTGACTATTCTCTACGATGAGTCGGATGACAAGGACATTGCGAACTTGCGAAACCTGTGTTCACTGCGTACAGTGTGATGAGAATTTTGAGAGGGTTGGTTTTGTCATTAAAGCGCCTGCTCAGCCTAATCCTATCATCCTCGTCAAGACCAGAATGCATGATAGCAATCTCATCGTATATGAACTACCATCTCCCAAAACTCTGCTGATAGCGGAATATCCTCCACAAGCAGCAACTTCTCTCTCCTCTCCTTAGGCGTTGCTGGAAAAACGTATGTTAAAATTTCATTCAACACATATCTGAGCTTTGGCGAGCCATAAGATAAAAACTCCATGTTCTTGAGGCCAGTCTGGATGTCCTCTGGGTCTCCCTCTCTTCTATCGAGGCCAATTACGTCGAAGGCGTTCAGTCGTGGCCTGCAAGACTAGCCTTGCGAAAGATCTGCTATAATCGCTCTAAGTGAGTAGAGATGTAGGAGTCTGAAAGATAATGACTGGTAGGTTGATCGAAATCGAGGGGTTCTGAAATCGTGAAACACAAAGTAGTAGATTAAGGACATAAATCCGAAAGATAGTAACTGGTAGGCTGGTAGAAACTGAGGGGCTCTTGACCACATGGGGACTTTGCTGAAGTCCAGCCATCCCACAACAAGGGGGAAAAAATCATAAGGGACGAAATTCCAGGCAGCGATTTCGACCCTGCCGATGCCCCTGACGACGTATCTAAATATGATTCTGACGGGCCTTCTCTCTCTTGGGCGCAACTAGAGAATATGACCTGGTCATCCTCCGGTTGTTGGATGAAGACAAAGATGAATATCAGGACATGGTCGGAGGTATCCATGATGATATCATCCCTGACTCTGACGACAAGAGTATTGTAGATGCTGATGCGGACTCTAATTATGGATTAGACGCCATAGACGGCGAATTGGGCACCGTCGACAAGACATTCTCCGGTGTTCCGGTCCAGATACCTCACGTCGAAACCGATGTGACAGATTCTAGACCCGTGTCAGAGGTATACTGCAGGGGTTAGAGGATTTTGCCCGCAAAATCAGATATGATAAGGCACAGGAAAAGCCAACGTATCCGTTGAGCTTTAGCTCTGGTCTATCCTCCGTACTATATCGACAGAATAATTCATGGTAGTCTATAGGGCTGCCGTCCTCGAGAAAGTCCAATTGGTGCTCGGAAGGGAAACTCCGACGCCGGAAGCAGTTATAGCATTGGCTAGGTACTGGAGGCGCCATAAGAACGGAGGCGTGTATGTAGATTTAGCATATACGAAATCAAGCAATGACCATGCATGCTATATTGGGTCTACTACTCGTGAATTCTCCAAGCGGATAAGGGGGCGTTTAAGAATCTTAAGTAAATATACTATACCATCCAAAACCACCGCCCTTATAGTTGGAGATGATGAATATGCTGTGTGTAGAAATGCTAGATACGATAAAGATTAAAGGTGAGAGTTAGCAATTATAAGAGTTGAGAACTTCGACAGGCCCTGTGCTGTCGTGCGCCCTGGGTAGTCGCTCTCCCTACTGTAGTTTGGAAACGTCACTGATTATGAACCCATTTTTTATTTGTAGCTATCTTGCTATTAATCGTCCGTGTTGGTCGCTCTCTACAACTATGGTTTGCAACGTTGCTCTGTCAAACTAGATTGTTAACAGGCTCTAATATGAGGACGGCGAGTCTAAGTAATCGAAGACCAGTGTTTTAGTTGTAGTAATTATAAACCTATAGCTTATTTACAGCCACTATGCGATTTATCGCCCTTGTTAGTTGCTCTCCTTCATTGTCGTTTGCAACGTTACTCTACCGAACTAGATTGTCGATAGGTGCGAATATAAAAATTGCAACTCTAAGTGATTAAGGACTAATGTTTTAGTTATAGTGATTATAAACCCTTATTTTTCTTATGGCTACTGTGCCATTGCGCATGTAGGGATAACAATTCTGGTATTTGCGCTAAAGTGATTCATTCTAGCAGGACTTATAAATATTGTCTTGAAATCGTTTTAAAGCCTACGTCCATTTACTGTGCCATTGCGCATAATGAGCTATAAAACTCGAGCATTTGCGCTAAACAGGTCTTGATTTACTGTGCCATTGTGCATTATTAGCTATAAACTCGAGAATTTGCTCTAAACTGGCTTTGATTTACTGTGTCATTGCCCATTATGACCTACAAATGTGACATATATATCATTTATACTCGAGATTTTTGCACTCTTTGATCTCGGCGTCGTCGAAGATACATGCAAATCCGATAATAGACGCTGAATTCTCAACTGGATCATCGACAGGCGCGAATATGAAGCCCCAAAGTCCCCCACACTACTTCCGGCCCCAAAGTCGCCTACAACCTATCCATATGTAGAGGATGCAGATGAGGATATGTCCAGCGTTCCTAATCTCGCAGTTGAAAGTAACAACGTCTGCGACTTTCACATCCTCGCCATCCAGGAACAATAGTAAGAAGATAAACGATAGCGAGAAGAGCAACGACACCAAGAAGATCAATGGCAGCGAGAAGAGCAACTACAGCAAAAAGAACCAAGCAACAGCAAGAAAGAACCAAGGAGTACCGCTAGCAAGGAGTATCGATCCCAGCACCCAAGTCTTCAAAGCGCATAGCACAGTTCTGCAACTTGAGGGCAGTACTGTTTACTAATAAAGTTGCTGTGCCAACGAGGATTCAGAGTGCGAAAACGCTTTGTGGGAAAGGCAAGTACACGACTACCAAAATCCGGCCGAAGATTGAGATGTCGTATCCCAGAGCGTCGTGGAGAAAGCGGGGATACCATCATTGACAGACAAGGTATTTCCGTCGTCCCACAAAGCAAGACTGGGAAAGTTTTACATGGCCAAGCCAAGGTAAGTACAGGACTACCAAAATCAAACCGTGGGTAAAGAGCTCCCGAAATTTGATATATCGATCACATTATGTGCCCAATGCCAAAGGGCAACAAAAAAAAAATGACAAAAAACATACAACAGTGGGTATTCGCTGGTGGCCACCCACCCAACTACTAATCCACCGATCTCAAGCATCCACTTGCTTTTTACTTCGGCCGGCCTAGTGGGTGAGCCCTTGCTGCCTTAAGGGGTGAAGCGAGGGTGAGCAGGGTGTGAGCGGGGTGAGGGGACGCGATGATTTCGTGTCATTATCGCGTCAACGTCGTAATAGTACCGGAGTGTAGCTGTTTTAGTTCACGTACCTTGTTCAGCCTTGCGTTATCCCACCAAAGACCGTCACTAAACTGAGGGGCACAGTACACATCAGCCTCACTAGGCAGCATTCTTCAAGTACGTATGTGAAGTTGGGGTACAATACAGTGACTAGAGATATAATTTGCCTATGTGATTGGGGATCGCTGTGTTCTCAATAGTTATCTTATTTCGACAGAGGCCTAGAGCTTCTAGTCGAATTTAATAATGGAATAGCGCTATGCAACGCAGGTGAGGCGCCTGGCTGCAGCTGTTAGGACGTAGATGGCTGAAACAATTCGGAGCTCATATTTGGATTGCGCACTTAACTCACGTTCAAAGAGGTTTCTAATATCTGTTCCACTATCCTCTTGTAGACCACCTGCCACGCTGTCTCCCTTGCTCTTAATTAAGCATTTTTCTCAACTATGGTTCGTCTGTTAGACCAAAAACAAGTAACTCGAGTGGGAAATCGACAGAATTAAGCAGTTGACCTATACAATTGAGCCCTCTACTTCAAACCTGTTCATGATCTAACACAGAGTCCTCATCAACAGTAAACTTCTCCCCATTTTCTGACATGCGGTTGACAGACAGGCGATGGTTTGCCAGGACATCGCCATTTCCAGCGGCCTTGTACGTAGCCTCCATTTTGGTATAAAGCGGGCTGCTACTCTCGAACATAGCCTCGATTGATTCGAGGGAACGACCTGCAGTCTCGGGATAGAGGAAATAGACGATGGGGCACCAGAGCAGATTGAGGCCGGCGAAGAGGAAGTAGGTGCGCGACTCGAGGACCCCGAACATGATAGGGTTTACGAGAACGGTCATACCGACGCCGATGGCCCATCCCGTGATTCCAAAGCCGTTGCCTTGGGCGCGCATCTCGGAGGGGAAGATCTCAGTAGGGATGAGGAATGCGACGGTGCCCCAAGTCGAGGCATAGATCAAGTTAAAGAGGAAGAGCATGGTGACAGCTGCCGGGGCGATTTGTGCGGCTTTGCTAGGATCCGCACGTGAGCCTTCGTACAAAGCGGCTGCGACTAGGTTCACGAGGAAGAGGCCGAAGGCGCCGCCGATTAGACACGTACGCCGACCAAGACGGTCTACGATCTGTGCGGATATTATGGTGCCGACTATACCGATGGTGTTGAGGCCTCCGGCAAGACCGCTCTGCTTGACAGAACTGTATCCGGCTTGCTTCAAGAGAACGGGACTGTACGCTGTCACCGCGGTAATTCCGGTCCATGAAGCCATGATTTGCAGAAAAAGACATAGCCATGCACGGCGACCCAGGTGAGCACCGTTAGTAGCGCGGCCGAGGAGGACCTTTGCGAATTGGACAGGGGAGCTAGGCTTGGATTCTTCGGCAACAGCGCAAATTTCAGCGAATTCCCTCTCGACATCTGGGCCCTTGTTGCCACGGATATGCTCCAAGACCTCCTTAGCCTCATCAAGACGGCCGACAGAGGCCAGGAAGCGAGGAGAGTCGGGGAGAAACTTGATGCCAACCATCAGAGTTATAGCAGGGAGACACTGGAAAGCTAGGAGAAATCTCCATCTGACCTCTGAATAGCCACCGTCGACGAATGAGAGGCCAAAGTCAAGCCAGTAGGCTACGGAGATACCCAGGTAGTTTGCGATGAAGACGTATCCAAGGAATCCACCACGGTGGCCCGCAGATGATACTTCGGCGATGTAGACGGGAACGATGGCAGTCAATGCTCCGGTGCCCAGGCCCGTAACGACACGGGCAACGACAATGAAGTCGGAGCTCTGTGTGGCGGCCTGGAGGGCACCTCCGACCAGGGCGAATACTGCTGCGATGAGGAGACCGTTAATACGACCAATGCGATCAGCGATCCAGCCGCCGACGAATGCTCCGACGATGGCGCCTAAGTAGTAGATAGAGACGATGCCGCCTTGGTGAGTGGTGTCTGTGACTGTCCCATCTGGAAGTCCAATGCCGACCTCAGCTACGTAGTTGGGCGAGGCATTCACGCCTCCCATAACACCTGTAAGGTTGGTTGTTAGTGACCAGGACATATATTTCTGGTCGAGAGACTCACCTTGGTCATATCCCTCGAAAAAAATGGCAATGAGAGAGAAAGTCTGAATGAATATGGAGAGCTGTTTGGGCGACAGCTTCTTCCAGAAATGTTGAAACATAGCGAGGTAGGGGGCAGTATCGATTGTCTAGAACCAAAAGGATGTAATTGATGTGTTGTACAGTACGTACAGAGTCGGCCTTTAAAAGGAAAACGAAGAGCGAACGGGGTGTCCTTTAAATACTCCATGAGATGACAGTTTACATACTCTCACACACGGCAATAAGGGAGTAACATGAAAGCTGAACTTGTGATCCTCACTTTTTGTGAGTCGGTCATCCTCTCTCCACACTTTTACTTGGAGATCCGGAGAACTGGAGAATTGTGGAGATGGGTGGGTGTGGCAGGGTGTGGCAAATACATCTCCACAATTCTCCAGTTCTCCGGATCTGCACGAGGATAGCCATTGGCTGTGCAGACTCCCGTGTTATCCCATAAGCGTTTACACGTTTAACCGTCTAAACAGTTTAAACATTTAACCGTTTAAGCATTCAAGCGGGTTACAATTTCGCCCATATGCAATACTCCGAAGTCCTTGGCAAAGCCAACCTCGATGATTCAAGGACAAGTTGCGAACAGCCGTAAGCATTAAGACCACTTTAAAGCGTAGAATGGGAACCCACTGACTATCTTTTTCACATTATTCATGATTTCGGTTATGTACTGCCTTTCTTCCCCCTTCTTTTATCTCGACATCAAATCAAGTATATATTGACTTAAGCACCATCTTTCTAAGTCTCTCTAGTTTTTGTATATACCACAATTTATTCATAGCGGGGACTCCATAGAGCGGTAATATAGCAATGCCCTCTTCAACTACAAACGGAGCCAGCAACGGCTACGGAAATGGCAGTACAAATGGCATCAATGTGCCGTCCGATGCGGCGTTCGACTTGACAGTCCTCGGCTTGAACAGCGGGACTTCCATGGTTAGTTTCCACACTGTTATATCACCGCCGGTACATGCTGACAGCAGATTTTAGGATGGCATCGACTGCGCACTCTGCCGATTTCGACAGGAGACGCCCAGCTCTCCAATGCAATTCGAGCTGTTGAAATACAGCGAAATCCCTCTCGAGCCGGTAATCAAGAAACGAGTCATGAATATGATCCTTCACAATAAAACCACACCAGAAGAGCTATCGGAAGTCAATGTGCTACTGGGAGAGACATTTGCGTCTGCAGTCAAGGAATTCACAAAAGAACATGGGCTTCAACTGACAGATATTGATGTTGTTGGTTCCCACGGACAGACTATTTGGTTGCTATCAATGCCAGAGGAAGGACAAGTCAAGTCTGCTCTCACAATGGCCGAGGGATCATTTATCGCAGCACGTACCGGTATTACAACAGTCACGGACTTCAGAGTCTCAGATCAGGCGGCTGGACGCCAAGGCGCACCTCTCATCGCCTTTTTCGACGCCCTGGTACTTCATCACCCCACTAAACTACGAGCTTGCCAGAACATCGGCGGCATCGCTAATGTGTGCTTTATTCCGCCGGATCACCAAGGTGGCGTAGACGCTTGTTATGACTTTGATACGGGTCCTGGGAACGTTTTCATTGATGCCGTAGTACGTCACTATACAAATGGTGAGCAGGAATATGACAGAGATGGAAAGATGGGCAAGGCTGGGCAAGTGGATCAGGAACTTGTGGACGACTTTATGAAGCACAAATACTTTGGTCTGGAGCCACCGAAAACCACAGGGCGGGAAGTTTTTCGAGACACACTCGCCTTCGAATTTATCAAGAAGGCAGAGCAGAAGGGGCTGTCACCGAACGACGTGGTGGCGTCGATTACTAGAGTTACTGCACAAGCTATCGTTGATCACTACCAACGTTATGCGCCATCGCAAAACATCGACGAGATTTTCATGTGCGGCGGCGGAGCATACAACCCAAATATCGCAGCGTTCATCCAAAAAAATTATCCGAATACTAAGATCATGATGTTAGATGCCGCTGGTATTCCAGGGAGTGCAAAGGAAGCAATCACCTTTGCATGGCAGGCTATGGAAGCTGTCGTCGGACGCTCCATCCCAGTTCCGACCAGAGTCGAGACAAGACAGGAGTATGTTTTAGGGAAGGTGTCTCCCGGCAAGAATTATAGAGAGGTCATGAGGAAGGGAATACTCTTTGGTGGTAAGGCGGATCATCTCAGTCCTGTAAAGGAGCTGGTCAACTACGTTGAGGGGAAGGTTTTCGATAACAAGTGGTGACGAGATGTTGGGTGACTGTTTCGTATTCTGTGTAATTTAGTGATTACTTTGCGTAGGTAATTTCTTCGCTTGTGAAATACATACATATACGTTAATATAATGACATCTATCTCGTCTCTCGGGCCATGCCTCCAAAGCACACGTCGCATGGATTGCATCCGATATGCATCCGATATGCGGGGTAAACCGCACTAGAAGCGGGACGGAAAATAGTTCCGGAACAAAGGTTACAGTTAGCACAGCTAGAAATGAACTCTTCGATTGCGCAATCTTCGCGGCTACGACCTCTTAATGCAGCAAGCTTCTGCCTCTGAGCCTATAGTCCTAGATTCAATGAATTCAATGAACACCGCTAATACAGAGAGATTAAATGCAAGGCCATCAAAATCTCCCTTTGATGTGGCTCGGCCGAGGAAGCTAAGACGGGTTACAAGAGCATGCGATTTTTGCCACAGACGGAGCACCCGATGTAAACAGAGTCAAGACGATAGCCGATGTCAAAACTGTCTAGATTTTGATATTGCGTGTACCTTTGAGAGACCGGCGAGGAAGCGAGGAAGTAAGCGGCAAGGACAGGCGCAAGTGGACGAAGATGGGTCTCCATCCGGAGAACATGCAAATCTACTCCTACAGATGATGAACAGTCAGGTTCATGATGATGAAGCGTACTCCCACGACGAAAGGAATAAGAGAACTGCGGAGGCGTTGATTACATTTCCATTAGCGACAGAGTACAGAGACATGGTGTTAGACAACCCTGATATAATTCAAGATCTCGTCAGTGTCTACTTCGAGGTGGTTTATCCAATGTAGGTCATGGCTTCATCTGTCTGTACTCTATTATGCTTTACCTTGAAACTATGAAGCTGAGGCCTAGAAAGTTAACTTTCTCAGATTTCCTTTCTTTCATCGTCCAACTTTTCTCCAAAAGATTACCATGAGAAGGTACCTTTCTGATCGAGGACTGTTCGCTGTTGTTATGGCTATTTGTGCTCTTGCATCTGCTCGGGCTCGAGATGGAGCACTTCTTCCAGGTCAATGGGAGCCGTCCCATTTCCGCCATCCCTCTTCAGAGTCCTTCTACTCAGCTGCGCGAGATGTCACTCCGCATCTCAATCTCAGTGCGATGGAAGGCATTAATTGGATGCGGATGTGTGCCCTGCTATCACTTCTCGGGATTCAAAATGGAAATATTAATGTTATGCATCAGTATCTTGGTCTTTATCATACTTTGGCAGCTATAGATGGCTTGCACGACGAGAAAAACTGGCCAAAAGATATTAGCATTATTGAGATTGAGGAGAGAAGAAGACTGGTAAATGACATCTTACTTTCCTGTTAAAAATTGCTAATGGTCCTATAAGTTTTGGTCAATGTACACATTAGAGGTCTATTCTTCCCTTGTCTGGGTTGGAATTACCCGCTGCCGACAATCGCAATGTCGGGTGTTTTATCCTAGTGAAGTGGATGACGAACGCTTTTCTGACGAGGATTTTTCAAACTTATTACCACAAAGATCTCCGCATCAAGGAGTTGAAGTAAGGCCAGGGCCGGCCATTGACACCTCCTCTTGGCTTCATGGTTGGAACTTCACGACAGATCTTTACGTAGTCCTTGAACATGCCATGGACGGCTTTCATCGCCGCCGACCACGAACAATAGCACATTTCTCGCCCAATAATATGTTCAATAGGGTCGCGCCATCGCAATCTACGGTTTTGGATAAAGTCATGTGGATGCACCAGCAATTACCAGACAGATTCAAGGAAATACAGTCTGTGACATCTGACACAGGAGAAGATAGGCTGAGCTTCCAGGCGGCGAATATCGCTGCAACACTGCAAGTAAGTCATCCACATCAACAAGAAATAGCATGATACTTACGTTTATAAAGCTCGTTAGAATGGTGTTGTTTACAGCAGAAGAAGCAACTGTAGACCAAAAGTGTGCCATTGCCCGCGAACTGCTTGATGGATTCGCCCAAGTGCCAGTGTTCTTCCTAAGAGCAATTTCGTCACCATTAGTATGTTTGATTCTAAAACTTCAGGCGTATCGCTAACAGTTGTAAGCTTTATCATTTAGCAGGTATCGGCTCCATCTTGGGTTCCGTCATGGAAGGCCCACTTTCAAAATCTTCCTATTTGCAGGCTAGGACCGTATTGTAAGCATCTTCCATCTCAATCAAGGCTAAACATGGCTCATTGTATACCTCATTAGACTTTCGATGGCCGACCTCCTGGCCAGCCTCGAGATAGGCATGACGCGAACCTCTGGCGCAACGCAGCGTCTCCGGTCACAAGTAACCCGGATCGACGAGTATATGGCAGCACAGCAGCAACAAAATTTCGCACAATCCCCATCAGCACTCCCGTCATGTGTTCCGAGCATGCCGCATTCAAATCTACGTGAACATGTCGATATGTTTCAAGAGGAGCAACAACAATCTCGCAGAGGAGTTCAGCAAGTAGGATACGAATTTCCTTCAAATTCCCAAGGCACAGGACATTTGGGGAATAGGCAGGACTACGTGCAGATTCAAATGCCGACGGAGACATATAATTTCAAGGGCATGCCTAGTGGAATCGATGGTCTAGATGAGACTGGTCAGCAGTTACAGTTTCAACTGCCGCCAGGGTTATTGGATGATTGGCCGTGGCTTTTTGATATGGCGTAAGGATGTAAGTATGTAAGAGTAGTGTAGGTCACCTGCGATCTATCATATAGAGTTTGTTTATTTACGCATGGAGCAGGTATGAAAGGGGGCTTAGGTATTGACCGTGATGGTATAATCTATCATATATTGTTCTATTAGTTTTGATAGCCTTGCCATAACCGCCTTGCACAGCAGACACGCGCGTTACCGGGATTTTTCTTCTGCTCTCAGTCTGTTATTGTTATTCCTTATCACGGATGAACCCGCTGACCCTGATAATCCTCAACACTATGATTCTCTAGCTGTTCTACCAGACAGGAAAGTGAAGAATCGACATTTTCCGAAGTCAGGACGTACTTTTGGCAAAGCTTGATTATCGATTAGGCGGAGCTACAGAGATATGGAGAATCTGGAGAGCCTAGGTATTAGACAATTTCACGTTGAATTAATATCAAAGAGTTGCAGCAAGTGCTCCTTCATCGTAACACACGGTACATCTTCAGCGTGTATGCTCTTCTAAGACCTACTATCTTGCTGCTGGAAGGCTGCATTACAGCCCCACCAGTCAAGCAAGTTTTGAATATTTCTTCTCGTGTTCAGCTTGTTTGAACACGAATATCCTCTAGACAGACCAATAGTGCCCTTCTCTCAGCCCAGTCCACCAAAGCGTATCCTGCCATGTTCAGTAGCTGGACCGCCGTTGCCCAACTGATGGCATGGCGATTGTCGATGCTATTTGCAACAACTCGAGTTGCGTAAATCCGTGCAATTTCCCCTTGCCCGTTCGAACCTGCTAGCTCTTTCTTGGCAGCTGCTCTCTGGCAGAGAGAGGATGAGAAGGAAATGAGCGAGATTGAACATTTGCATCGCTGCGCGGACAGTTTCATTGATGTAGAGACTGATAAGAAAAGGGTTCCCGTCATTCTCTAGGCTTGCATAGGTAACTAAAGGCTGACACTCTAATGGTTGATGTTGTTCGTCCGCTTACAGATCTTGCCAGCCTGTAAATCTTTCTTGAGAGAATGTAATCTCTTTGCGGACTTAAAGGAAGGACTATATGTTAATTAGAGCTGCAATAAGAGAGGGTACAATGCATACACTAGCAGCATTACTAACGACATTCTTGTCTATCTTAGACTTTATAATGTGGTTTTAATAACCTGAAAATCTGAACTAGATATTGACCACACTGTCAACTGTTAGAAGTTCGCTAATTTGACCATGTTGTGATGAAGCATAGTATTTAACAAAGTCTTAGTATAGGTTGCTATCATGCTATAGCAGCGCCTTCTCTAGACACTTCACAGCAAGAAACCTAATATCTCCATTAGTAGCCTGTACACAGTGTTAAGTCTCACGTACCCTTAAAATATAATTGCTACTTCCACGTGCTTGTTTTTAGTAGCGTTAGTGAGAGTGTGCTGTTCAATATAGGTTTTCACGTTCTGTTAATTAGGTGTGAGCTCTGCAGAAAATATCCTTGCTTCTTTGCCATATTAATATGATCCTGTATATAGAGTACCTTCCATCCTATTATAGCAGGAAGTAGGTCCTTGAAAAGGAGATGAGAATGTTGTAGATAGCAGACTGCGAAAAGTGAAGGTGGTGGGGGGTCTGCCTTTATACTACTTTCAAGCCTCACCCACGCTCACCTAGCCATGGCCATCTAAAGTCGCGGTGCATCGCGTTCATCGCGTCCATCGCTTCTCAATACGAGATCCACACCTTGCGTTGTTGATGTGGTCGCCGTCACGTAGCTGAGGGAGATAACCGGATTATCGTAAAAGCATCAAAAACTTGAGGCGGCGACGCTCAGATTTGACACTATGCCTATTGGCACGATTGAGAGTAAAAAGCAAGTAGATTACAAGCTTGTGTATGGCAGAGCGGACGGGATGCCCAATTCTCTTGAGTCTATGGTCGTATGTGATAACTTCTCTCTTGCTAGGGTATAAGTACTGTTAGGCGCTGAGGTGTATGACGATTTCGACAGAGGCCCCCGGCCGAAGGTTTGGATGTTGTATCCCAGAGCACCGTGGAGGAATCGGCAATACCAGAATTGACAGATGATGAGTTGATTCGATTTCATAAGGCTAGTCTTGGGAAATACTATCTAGCTGAGCCAGGAAAATTCGAAGCTGAATGGGAGCTCGCGATTTCAGCGTGCAAGGGGAGAAGCCCCGTGTCACCGATTTTATTTCTCACCACCGCTCTCCTATCTCGTCGCCGCTCCATTTCTCGTTACCCGCTGCTTTTCTCACCCTCTACTCCCTTTTCTCACCACCCACCCCATTTCTCACCGTCAACCCCACTGTCTCGCTTCCACCCCCCCCATTTCTTGCTACCCCCTTCTCCGTTGTAGTCATTGTCATTGACTTCCCGGAAGAAGTCAATGACAATGACTGGTCGTGGAGTCCTATAGCAGCACTGAAACAATTCTCATCGTTGCCGTTGGAAAGCATCACTGCCCCAGGTATGAAGATATAGATCTCGAGCCATCATCGCCTGCCACCTTCAATCACAATCACAAGCACGGCATGTCACATAGCAAATCAAAAAATTGAACGTAAACTTCTAATTCATTCAACTAACAACATAAATCTAGTTCCTCATCTCCACACACACCTCTCTACAAACGGCTCTCCTTCTGCGGCGCGGCGTTCTTCTCCGTCGCCGTCTTAATCGCCTCACCCAGCGCCTTATCCACACGTGAAAACATCTCGTAAGTGCGCTGTCTCGTATCCTCCCTCGCCGCCGACAAATGCCCCGAGACATTCCCAATAAAGTTAGCCTGCTGCCCCTCAGTGCGTCCAAGGACATCCCACAAGCCCTTAGCCTGCACGTAGTCCTCAGCCACAACCTCATTCAGGTGCATGACCGCTTGGGCGGACCACTTCTGGTGGGGGTCGTTGGTGATGGGGGAGTGTTGCTTGTATGTCAGAGTGCGGTAAGAGGAGGGGTAGTTGGGGTTAGCGCCGTAGTTCCCGTTGACCGCCATCGCGCCATCGCGCTGGAAGGGGTTGAACGCGTGGAGGGGCGCGTTGACGGGGATCTGCTGGTAGTTGACACCCAGGCGATGGCGGTGGGTATCTGGGTAGGAGAAGAGGCGAGATTGGAGGACAGGGTCGGCGGAGGGCTCGACGCCAGGGACGAGGTGGGAGGGGGAGAAAGCGACCTGTTCGATTTCGGCGAAGTAGTTCTCGGGGTTCTTGTTGAGGGTGAACTTGCCGAAGGGGCGGAGGGGGACGTCCTTCTGGGGCCAGACTTTGGTGAGGTCGAAGACGTTCCAGCGGAACTTCTCGGCTTGCTCGGGCGAGAGGACTTGCACGTAGACAGTCCAGCTGGGGTAGTCGCCCTTCTCGATCGACTCGAAGAGGTCTTGGGTGTGCCAGTCTGGGTTCTCGCTGGCGAGCTTGCCGGCTTCCGCATTGTTGAAGGTCTTGCTGCCTTGGTCGGTCTTGAGGTGGACTTGCACGTAGTTGAAGGTCCCGTCGGGCTTGTGCCACTTGTGGGTGTGGCCCGAGTAGCCGTTCATGTGGCGGTACGAGTATGGGGTTCCGCGGTCAGAGAAGAGGTGCATGACCTGGTGGATGGCCTCTTGGTGGGTGGAGAGGTAGTCCCAGAACATGGTGGCGTCCTTCAGGTTGGTTTGGGGGTTGCGCTTCTGGGTGTGGATGAAGAGAGGGAACTTTCCGGGGTCGCGCAAGAAGAAGATGGGTGTGTTGTTGTAGACCCAGTCCCAATTGCCCTCCTCGGTGTAGAACTTGATGGAGAAGCCGCGGGGATCGCGAGCAGAATCTGCGGAGCCCTTCTCACCACCGACGGTCGAGAAACGGGTCACGGCCTTGGTCTTCTTGCCAACAGTCTTCAACATGTCGACGACGGTGATATCAGAGACTGGGAAGTATTAGCTATTTGCCATTCTCATTTAAAGCCTAGAAGCAACTTACTATCATGTGTAACCTCGAACTCGCCATAGGCACCGGCACCCTTGGCGTGGACAACGCGCTCTGGGATACGCTCGCGGTCGAAGTGAGCGAGCTGGTCGATTAAGTGGAAGTCCTGGAGAAGGAGCGGGCCATTCGGACCTCCTGCTCTTTGGTAGGCCTCGGCATGGTGAACTGGAGCACCGCTGGATGTGGTATAGGTGGGTTGTTGGTTGTACTTGAAGGTGGAGGCGGGCGACTCGTCAGAACCCATGGTTGCTCTGGTTTGTTGCTGTGAAGCGGATATATGAGAGTAGGTTATAACTTCTTATACTTGTATGAAGTCCAATGAATGAAAGACTTATTCAGATATGAGAGAAGAGACGAATAAACGGTGAAAGAGATGATTATTCTAGGTCAAACAGAGATGAACGAGGGGAAAAAGAGGAAGAGAACGGTGAACGACGCAACTGTCTATATATATGGGAAGTATGGCGGAACCCGACTGGTACGTAATTGAGGTACCCTCGTTCTAGTATGGGGGGGGAGGGAGACCTGGGTCTCAGGGCGGGGTACCTCAGTGTTCAACCAATCAGAGCCGTCAATTTGCAAGCAACCGTCCGTAACCCTCTCGGACTTTGGCCAATGTAACCAAGAATTAATGACCTAAGGCCACAAGGCCACCACTCCTCCCCCGTTCAAACACACCTCTTACAGCTGTAAGAGTATCATGATTGGTTGGTTTATTAACTTCCTCGGTCCTTGGCTGTTATAGTATCACAGCTGCATCCAGTAACCAGACCTGTCTCATAGTGCGAGTCGTGCTCACTCAACAGAATATTCCCGTGCAGTAGTACTATATTATATCCCTTGTGCCGAAGTTATACCAGCTATACCAGCTACCAGTAACTAAATTAATAGGAGTACGTAACTTGGGGTAGTATTAGTATCCCTATACCGGTATGAGGAATGGACTCTTACTCTGTCTTCCTTCATTCTAACTCGGACACTTTCAGTCGGTCCTGTTCTAGCCTCTACTTCTTACCAAAGCAAGTTATATTACCTGTTGAGGAAAGAGACCCCGCACTCACCTTATTCCCGCCGCCCGGATGACGCCAGTCTCCGCCTTTATCAAGCAATCCAGCGCCCGTGCACGAACGGGGTCCCGCCTACCTATCGTGGGAGTACTCCTATCGTGGTATGTAGTTCCGAGTCTAGGTTATACCACAACACTAAAAATGTGAGTGGGCTTCGGACCGGTGCTCTAGAACGCATGAGAGCTTTATAATCGTTGTGCGTTTGATGTATAATGTGATATGTAACAAATAGAAGAAGCTGTGGCGAGAATTACGCTGCGCTGAGGAATCCGGGCTTTGTTCCTCTGTACTAGTATGAGGGTTCTTAAAAGAAAATTGCGCATACGTCGGGTTTTATAGCCCGTTTTGCGCAATATACGATGTTTTTCGTGTTGAAGTCTAACCAACAGTCCCTGAGCCGGAACCAACCTAAGGATGGATATATGGGCTCTGTCTGTCCTCTATGCTAGCTAGTACGGACATGGTTTTGCGCAGTAATATAGTAATATGGGGCTATCAACGAATATATACATACATACATAGATATTGAATCCGTTCTGAATAAATTCGTTATACTTTCTTCGTGTTGAAGTCTAACCAACAGTCCCTGCCATAATCGATAACCAAGCTGCAATAAGGAATGGATATATATAGGCTCTGTCCCTCCATACTAGTATGAGGAAAAACGGGATTTTTTAAAAATTACGCAATTTTAAAGTTTTGTAGCTTGTTTTGCGCAAAACAAAAGAAAATGAGGCTATATTCACAAATACATCCATCATCCATCACTAATACAGTTTCAAAACGTCCAACCTTCGTTCTAAATTATAGAATTTGGCGCAGATTCGGGATTTTCTAACTCATTTTGCGCAAAACCTACAATAAAGATTTTAACCTTCGTTCTAGCTTGAAGAGGATTTGGCGCAGAATCCAAGTTTTATAGCTCGTTTTGCACAATTCTACGATGTTGATCGTGTGCAGTTTTTGCGCAGCTTCCAGTTTTTATACCCCATTCTGCGCAGGATGCCAACAGTCACGGTTGACAGTAACGCTCGGTGGTAGTAACGTCCGCTGGCAGTAAAGCTAGTTCAATTTTGGCGCAGCTTCCGGTTTTTATAATCCATCTTGCGCATATTGCTAACAGTAACGCTGGCGGGCAGTGACGCTGGCAGAAACGCTTACTCGGCATTAGCGCAGACTCCGTATTTATAGTCCATCATTCTATGGATATTGCTAGTGCTACTAGTAACGCCAGCATTGGGCGCAGATTCTCACTTTTATAGGCTACACCATCATACATAGTCTCACAAGATCAGTAGCTGCATCATTGGCTAACAAACGGTTTCATGCAGATCCAGCAGCGTCCGGACAGTAGTATACATCTCTCCAGCACCCCTCTACTGGTCCACCCACTGCGCCTTCGCCTTCTCCGCAAACGCCTTCATCCCGATCTTCTGATCCTCGCTACCAAACAAGCTGTGGAATACACGCCTCTCATAATCAATACCATCCCTCAGCGTCAGATCCTGGCTCTTGTTCACCACCTCCTTAGCCGCCTGCACAGCCACCTTACTGTACCCAGCAATAGTCTCGGCCGTGTCCAGCGCCGCCGTGACGAGCGCCTCGTAGTCCTTGAAGCTCCTAGCTGCCACGCCCCACTTCTCCGCCTCCACCCCGCTGAAGCTCTTTCCCGTGAGGATCAGCTCCATAGCCCTCGCCTTGCCCACCGCAGCCGTGAGACGCTGGCTACCACCGGCCCCGGGAATGGTGCCGAGCTTGATCTCAGGCTGTCCAAAGTTGGCAGTCTCAGTGCAGTAGAGGATATCACCCATGAGAGCGAGCTCGCAGCCGCCGCCGAGGGCGTGGCCGGAGACGGCGGTGATGAGGGGCTTGGAGAGGAAGGTGGTCAGGTCGGACCAGGACTCGATGAACTTCTCAGTGTAGGCCTTGGAGAAGGTGAGGGGGGCCATCTCCTTGATGTCTGCGCCGGCGGCGAAGGCGCGCTCGGAGCCGGTGAGGACGATGGCGCGGATGGAGGGGGAGGCTTGGAACTCGCGGAGGGCGTGGTTGAGTTCGGTTATGAGGGGGGTGGAGAGGGCGTTGAGAGCTTTGGGGCGGTTGAGGGTGACTAGGTCGGGGCGTTAGTTATATTTGCGTTTTCAGGTAGCTAATGTCTGGGGGATGGAGTTCATCTGATTGAATTGAAAAAACTTACTTTGTGCAACGCCCGCGCGCGGCTCGGATGTGAGGATAAGCTCATACTGCTGCTTTGCTGATGCTGAGAAAGGACGTGTTACTCTTGGCAGTGACGACGGTCTGAATTGGGAGACTCTGGGCCTCATACATTTGACAGTATTCATCATGATAGCAACTTTATATCTGACAACCTGGCAAAAATAATGTATAGTCGAGAAAAAAGCACTCCGGTAGAGAAAGTTGGAGTTTTGGAAGCTGTCTTAGCTTGGGTTCAGTCTTCCCCACCCGAGGATAGACGGGCCCCCGCGTCATCAGTACCCTTGTCAGCCGTCTTGAGCCGAAAACACGTGCTAATAGCCAGAAGCGCCAAAAAGCTACAGCCTGGCCAAGCCACGTGACTGGGAATTATGCCAAGAATAGCACAGCAAGTTCGCCATACGCCGCGTTGTCCTGTCCGGATGTGGACGAGGGCAAGTGAATAATTTTGATCGAGTCTCTTCTTTGCGCCAACCACATTCTCTTGACGACCACGACGATTGAGCGCCCCGCGATACCTGCAGACTTTTGGGACTTTTTAATAAACGATTGTTAGCCAGAACACGATACGAGAAGATGGATTCGATGGAGCCGGAGCAGACCCCTTTTGGGGCAGTGTCGGAGCAGACGTCACGGCTTCAGCGCGTGAGTGATGGCTGAGTGAACGACTGTTGTGTCGGAGCTGACATTTTTTGTTTCAGATATATCAAACATACCTCGACAAATCGACCCCATTTACGGCGTACAGATGGCTCGGGACGGGATCTCTCCTCGTCATCTTCTTCCTCAGGATATTCCTCGAGCAGGGATGGTACATTGGTTCGTCGCATACGCACTCTGATATCGGCTTGACCATGAGCTAACCGTCTATATAGTTGCGTACTCTCTGGGAATCTACCTCCTCAACCTCTTCCTCGCCTTCCTCCAGCCTAAATTCGACCCATCGAACGAGGCCATAGACAATGAGATGGAGGACGGAGAGGCAGGTGGCCTACCAACCAAGCAGGGCGATGAGTTCAAGCCCTTCATCAGAAGGCTGCCCGAGTTCAAGTTCTGGCACTCCGCCACCAGGGCCATCACCATTGGCTTCGTCTGCACCTTTTTCTCGATCTTCGACGTTCCGGTGTTCTGGCCAGTGTTGGTTATCTACTGGTTCATTCTATTCACATTGACGAGTACGTCTTCCTAGAACCCCCTATATTCGAGTGGAGTGCTGACGGTGAACGAATAGTGAGGAGACAGATCCAGCATATGATCAAGTACCGCTATGTGCCATTCTCGTTCGGCAAGGCCAAGTACAACAAGAACAGCTCTTAGATCATCATGGAAGCGGTTGGTGGATGGTCTCTGCACGGATCGACAAGAGTTGTGAGCTTCGCTGCTCGTGTATCATGTACTGGGTGACTTGATTGGGGTGAACGGTCAGACTGAGGCCGTTTGTATTGCACGGTATCACCGTTAACGACACTTTACATGGACTTTATGGGTCACATAGGGTCGGAGAACTGGCATAGAAGGCATGGGATTGTCCCAGCCGGTAGAGTGTTATTATTAATGGGATTAATGAAAAAGCCAAACTCAAGTATTCGTGCCACCAACAAGTCTTAAGAGACAGTCATGTGAGGATATACACCTCTGATAGAACTGATCTCTCTACCTCTTCAGAATAAGTGACTAGTTTATCGATTGCAGCCGTAAGTAGTTGAATGCCTTTGCTTTCATTATAGCTGCTGTTGCATTACAGTCCCTGTTCAGACTTTTGGCCAATATGAGTAAATGTGTTGGTAAATTGTTCATACAGCGTAATTAAATATTAATTCAAGATAATTACAAGTTATTACTCCTTCAACTTAGGCCACAAATTTATTCCTTTTAGTTGTGATGTTCGACGTCGTTCTTTGTGGTCCCTTTCCAGCCTTGCCAACCACAATCAACGCTAACCCAATTGAGCACCGATTCAGCCAGAGCGCCTCAAATTACTTCCACCTCAGCCTCGACTGAACCAGAGCAAGAACCGACAACACGACAATCGCTCTATCAATATAGCTGTGATGGCTACCTCAAGTTCGCGCGGGCCAGATAGGTCAATCCACCAGGATTACATTGCGCGCATACGATACTCAAACACCCTTCCACCTCCACCAAACCCGCCCAAGCTTCTTGAGATCCCAAATACGGGCCTATCAAGTGGACAATACACAACTCCCGGTTTCGCATCGAGGTTGGCTCGCGAGCAGCCATTGAATATTGAGGCAGATGCGGAGCTTGGTATGCACATCGACCTGGTGGGAATGCCAGGAGTCTTCGACGGCGATGAGAGTTGTAAGTGCGCCCAATTCGTAGGATCCAAACCTCTTGGCTGACCGCATCGGAACAGCCATCCAAGCAGCCATCCACGCGCCTGCACCGCACCCACACGATCGCGCTCTTCTTCGACCCCTGAACTCGATAGGGAAGCCAAAGGTTGTAGACTCGGGCTCGTCCTTCCTCCGCCGCACGGAATACATCTCCAGCACGAAAGGGCGTATGGACGAACATACGCCCCAGAAGCCAGTTGTCAAGCGCGCGAAACCAGCAGACAGATTCCAACCACTCCCCAAAGACTTGGACAAGGAGGACCCAGAGTATATCCTCGCAGCTGTCCAGCGCTCTTTCGAAATTGCAGCAGCCAATGTCGCGAACCCTCTACGCCTTCGTCATCCTTCGAAGCGCAATGTCAAGCTTGTCTCGTCGCATCCTATGGTCCCAGACCTCGATGCTTTCAACGATGCCGGTGGATATATCACCATCAAATTCCAGAACAACCCCGTCCCACCATCCACCACCTACGACAAACGTCTCGAATCAGGCATGCTCCGGCCCTTCGTCAGCTCCGAGGCCGCAAACGCCGCACACGAAAAGGCAGTCGCAGCTCACGAGCATGATCCCAGCCGCAACCCGCACCCCGGCCCGAACCAAGACTACGAGTTCTTCCTGCCAGAGACCACGGTTGACGCCGTGAAGTTCAAGCGCAAGTCTGATGTGTACGACGCCGACGCCAAGAACGACGACGGGCTGTACACCTATACCAACCAAACTGGCGACAAGTGCTTCCGCTTCAAGCGCATTCGTGCATACGAGACCAGCGAAGAGGTGCAGATCCAGGGTGTGGATCGCTGGAACTCGGAGGTGGTTATCGCGGTCAATGATGGCAAGGATGGTGTGCACCAGCGCGCGGCATATGTGTACCCGCTGGTTCTGCGTACAAAGATCCGCCCGCAGCGAAGCAAGAATATTGATCGCCAGCGGTTTGGTGGCGAGGCGGAGGAGGAAGATACGGTGGATTTCTTGGATGTGATGGTGAGGGAGCCGGATGAGAGTGAGGTCGCGTCCAGGAAGAAGTGGGCTGAGTTCCCGAATGGAGATGGGGAGGAGAGCGAGGAAGAGGTGGTGGAGGAGCCGAAGGGTGTGAACGGAAATGGGAATGGGAGTGCATCTCATAATGACCATGAGGTAGATGAGGATGCGGAGGCAGAGAGCGAATAGTTGGTGGAATAATTTGGTCCTCTATTTCGGACCATTCTTGTGATACTACAGAAGAGTGAGAGCATAGCATTAGGCGTCAGGTCAAAAACAAATAGGAATGATCTAAAGGCGAAAAGGCAATAAATATACTCTATTTTCAAAACGTATCAAGGGTACTCGTGCCTCCCAAAGCGTGAAGAGGTTACTCTCGGCGGCACACAGTGAAATATCCGATCTAAACGTAGATTATTATTATTTCGTCATCTTATTCAAACAGTAGCTGTTGCTACTTGAGCGCAGTATGGTATATATATGCCCCATGCCCCTGTAATAGCCCTCATCTATCCTTTCATCATACATTCCCACCCCACCCCCCACCAACGCCTCGCCCCTCCAACCCCCATCACGACTCCGCCTGCACAGTCTGAACCAACCAATCCATGCCCTCGCTGACACCGCTCCCATCCACAGCACTGCACGCCACAATACTCCAGTTGCGGTCCCTCAGCTCGCCCAGCTTCAGCGCCTCGCTGATATCCCCCGCGCCCTTCGCACCCGGCTGGTCCTGCTTATTCGCAAACACGAGCAGCGCCGCATCCTTGAGCTCGTCCTCGTTCAGCATCGCGGCGAGTTCCTCAGCTGCCGTGCCTAGTCGCTCGATGTCCGTGCTGTCGATGACGAAGATGACCGCGGCTGTGTTGGCGTAGTAGCAGCGCCAGTACGGCCGGATCGAGGTTTGTCCGCCCAGATCCCACACGTTGAAGTTTAGATTCTTGTAGGTCACTGACTCGACGTTGAAGCCGATTGTGGGGATTGTTGTTACGACTTCGCCGATCTTGAGACGGTAGAGGAGGGTTGTTTTGCCGGCGTTGTCCTGCGCGTGCATGTGTTAGTCGTTGAGGGGTCAGGGGTGGGAGATGCGCAACGGCGGAGGAGGGGGTTGAGGGGTAACATACAAGACCAAGGATTAGGATTCTGATTTCTTTCTTTGAGAAGAGGAGGCCAGACAGCCATGACATCGAGTTCCCCATCTTGCTTGTCCCCGTGCCTGATCCCCTTTTACGCCGACGTAGCCTGTCTCAGCTGTTCCTGCGCGGTTTTTCAAGGTGTGATCGCGTCGGCTCTGTTGAAAAGCTGGTGAAGTTGGTCGCCGGTATCACAAAAGATCACAGTTTCCGCACAGGAATAGACGCGTATTTACTTAAGAAGAAAGTGGCATAAAGGAGGAAATTCAAATCAGCCCCCAGATTTCTTGATGACCCTGGTCTAAAAGAGCTACACTACATTACTAACAAGGTGGTGAGGCACCAAGGCACGCAGGCTTGTATGGATCGGGAATGGTTCCAAATACGCCCGACACAGGGCGCTAGGCGCGTATCCCACCAGCGCGCTTAAGTGCCAAAGTGGACGACAATGATGGTGAGAGGGCAGGGTCGTCGAATAAAGAACTAGAAGGTGAATTGGACGTGACGAAACATATTCTATATCCTATCATACATAATTTAGCCGTCGCGTCCCTGTTTTATAGCCGACAGCCTCGTACAGCAGCATCCCGAGATAAAGGCATACTGTAATAAAACGCTTCACCGAAGACACGATACCACCGAGTTGGGTGTGGGCTTATTGTCGGACCAATTCACCTTGGGACTCATCAGTATAGTCGCACATTATGGTGGGAAAGAAATCGGCCAAGGCCCTTCAGGTCGAAGAAGGTATGCATTTGTCCTCACGGCCACGGTCACGGGACAGGACCTTACTGACGCGCTGCAGGCCTTGAAAGGACGGACAATGGCATGAAACTAACGAGTTTCCCTGAGGTCTCACAAATAAACCAAAAGAATTATTATACGTAAGTGGAAGACATTCTTCGTCTTCGAGATTTACGCGTTATATCATGGAAAGGCGTTTGATCCACCGTTCCCCCAAGCCAGCCCCGCCAACAGAGAGGCATCCATAACCCTCTTACCATGAGAGCTTATCCGATATCCATTCATGTTTGTCTCTTACTAATAAATATTCCAGGGAGTATATGAAGCGAGATGACCAGATTCTCCCCCTCCGCCTTCAAGCTGAGGCGAGTAGGGACAAGATGATCCGTACTGCCAAAGACAAGGATAGGGCTTTGGCGAGGACAGGTGACACAGATGTCCCCGCTCCCAATCCTGATGAAACCGAGTTTGGTGAGGAGGATGCCAATACAGGGGCGGACGGATTTGACGCGTCAAAGATCATTGCCATCCATCTCGGGAGTCAGAATATGCGTATCGGCCTCGCCAGCGACGCACTACCGAGGACTGTGCCGATGTGTACCGCATGGAAGATGCCAAAATGTGAATCGGACATCAAGCCGCCTATGCCGAAACGGCAGAAGATGACAGGTACTCCTGAAGACCAGTTTGGTGACGAGTGGGCGAAGAAGTATACGAAAATGTGCGACGATCTAAAGAAAGATATGCGGACAAATAAGCGCAAGGTCCTTCCCAACTCCAAGGAACTGGTAGTCAACTACAACAGGCGGACTCCTCCAGAGAAAATTCCTGAGCACAATGACCCGGCAAGGATAGAGTGGACAGATATCGGTTTATCTAGTACATTCAACGGACTTGAGGCACAGAGGATTCCAGACAATTCTGATCCCGCATATCGACTATTTTGGCCAATCCAGCACGGAAGGCTGAATGAAGAAGATTTCCCGAGCAAGGAACAGTTGAAGATGGCGATCGATTCCATTATCACTGGAGCTTTAAAGACAGAGCTTAAGATTACGAAGACTGGGCAATGGAAGGACTACAGCTGCGTCCTCGTAATTCCAGATCTGTACGATAAGAAGTTTGTCGAGATGATGTTGGAAATGTTCATGAATGATTATTCTTTCGCCAAGGTCGCCTTCATCCAGGAGTCTCTCGCCGCAAGCTTCGGAGCCGGCTACACATCGGCGTGCATCGTTGACGTTGGCGCACAAAAAACCTCCATCTGTTGCGTCGAAGACGGCCTCTGTATCGAAGACTCCCGCATCAACTTGAAGTATGGTGGCTACGACGTGACCGAGACCTTCGTCAAGATGATGCTCTTCGACCACTTTCCCTATGCCGATATCAACCTTGCACGACGCTATGACTTCCTCCTCGCCGAGGAGCTAAAGATGAAATTCTGCACCATGAACCAAGCCGAAATCTCCGTCCAGTTGTACAACTTTCATCTTCGTGCCCCGTCCGAGTACACCCGCAAGTACAACTTCAAGACTTACGACGAGGTAATCCTCGCGCCAATGGGCTTCTGCGACCCATCAATATTCGATAACTCGGCGAAGCTTAACGGTCGCCGCAAGCTCATCGACCGCTCCTATAACATCTATGACCCTGAAATCCCCGATGACCCTGTCTCAGCCGCACAGATTTCTATCCTCGCGGCCATCAAGCCCTCCGCCGCAGCTGCCCCTAAAGCCCCAGCCAACCCTGCCACCAACGGAGAAGGGACGGCGGCTGTTTCGACCCCAATGAAAGAGAAACCGAATCCCTTCAGCTTCCTCGGCGTCGACACACAGGGAACGCCCGGGACTTCGCATGCCGGCTCTCCTGCCCCAGAGGGCTCGAACACCCCCGCCGCGAACGGTGGCAGCCCGGCTCCTTTCCAATTTGGCGGTAGCGGCAGTGGAGCTCCTCAGGGCATATTCGTGCCCGACCCAGCGCACTGCTCGCAACGTGCTCTCGCTGCCGAGCGTGACTCCGTTCTTCCGATCGCGCCATTGGACACGGCTATCTTGACATCGATCACGACGGCAGCAAGAGGAGACGAGAAGAAGCTACGCGACTTGCTTGGCGGTATCATGATTATTGGAGGCGGGGCAAAGACGCCTGGGTTCGGGCCGTTCCTCGAGGAGCGGTTGAAGAGGTTGCGGCCCGATCTTGGGGATAGGATATTGGTTGGGACGAGCCCCAGGGAGATGGATGGGCAGGTTGTGACTTGGAAGGGAGCGAGCGTTTTTGCGAAGCTTGTGGGGACGAATGATACGTGGATTGGAGGAACGGAATGGGAAAGGTTGGGGAGCAGGGTTCTCCATCACAAGTTGGCGTTTTATTACTAAAATTTGCAAAAGTGGGTAGCACAATCTAGAAAGGAAGGCGTAATGTATGATAAATGACATCGTGTGCTTTTTTATACGTGTATAGAGAGGATGGCTTCATTTGAAAGAACGCAGAAACGTGAAGTTGCGCGCAGGTGGGAACATGAACCTGGCCTTGTGCCTCAGCAGAAAACACAAAACTCCGCAACTTGTCAATGCGCGGGTACTTCTCTGAAAAATCAGAAAAACGACACAACTGGGTATAATGCCAGAAAAAATGACGCTCCCCCGCCCCCTGACAGACTTCCCCAAACCGCCCATGCAGATGCTCAAATCATAACTCCTCCCAATGCACTCAGTACTCGTCAATTGGCGACCATGGCTCGACGGGTTTCAGGGACATGTAATACTGAAATTCCCACTCGTCATCGTCCTTCTCCGGAACATAGGGCTTCCAGTCATCATCCATGTCCACGTATTCGGCGGCATTTTCTTGCTGGGAAAGTGGCTTTGTCTTGCTGCTGGTCGCTCCAAAGGGAACATTGGCACGGCCGTCTTCGCCAACCAGAGCAGCTTTCTTTCGGTGAGCGAGTGCATTCTTCTTGTAGTACGCCTTGCGGAATGCCATCTTGGCGCGCTGTTCTTCGTCATCGTTGTCAACCAGCATGGCGCGAGCTTTCTTGTACTCGACATCAAGGGCTATCTTGTAGTCCTCCCGGTCAAGAGCTGTGGTGAGTTCGTCCTCGGGGTCAGAAGGGGCCAAATGGCGGTCATTGTCGTCCTCGCCATCGTCGGATCCAAGAGCGGTGTATGCTTCGTGCGATCTGGCGTCTTTGCCAGGTTTGTCGCCGAGGCGGAGGCGCTCCAGGAATGAGTCCAGGTCGGTACTCTTGTTGGATTCCCCGCGCTTGGGGGGGTCGACGTTCTCGTAGCGTCGGCGCAGATTGGGATCGCTGGCCTTGCGCAAGTTCACTGGTTTGATTAGCTACTGTTGCATTCCTGTGCTCCGAGATTTGCAAAGCATGAGATCGAACACCAAGATTGGAAATGCGCAGGTCAACAGCTCAAGATCAGGGCATTGAATATAATATAAACACACAAGGCCATGACGGCCCAAATTTCAAAACCAAAACGCGCAGGTCAGGAACTCAAGATAGTAATACGAAGCACAGGGTGTATGGATAAGAATATGAATGTCAGAGCGCCAAAATTTGAACGGGCAGGCTAACAACTGAAGATCAAAACATCAAATATGGACATATAAGTAAGAATATGAAGGTCAATGCCTCCAAATGGAAACGCGCAGGCCACAACTTGAAGCTCACAGAATGAAAGTTCAGGACTCACCATCCTGAAACGCCTTCTTGGCGTTCATCACCAGCTCACCAACCATCCCGTCTCTGCCCCCCGTGGCCACTTCTCCGGGTCCCATAACCTCCAGATGGAGACCTGCCTCCTTCACCTCGACACCGTTCTCGTCAGAAGGTGTCATCTTGCTCTCGCGAGCAGGGTGTCCAACCCAGACACCTTCAGCCACAGAGATCCGTGGCGAACTGACGGTTTTGGGTGCCGGGCAAAGAGGCAAGCCAAGATCCAGGCTTGAGACCGACGAAGAAGTGAGCACAAAGAGCAAAGGCAGGATGGTTGGTGTGGCTGGCCTCGGCTTTGCATCCGACAGTTTGTCGGATTCGGCTTTGGATAGGGGTGGCAGCGGGTTCGATTGCCTGTCGAGAGTGATGTTGTAAGAAAACACTGTCTCGCAAAAAGCTGTTGTTGGTGACCTACTGCTTGTTGGCAATACCTCCGGGGCCTGAGGACGCTTTTTGGGCGTCCTTAAGGAGGGAGGCGTGACCCTCTGGGTCAGAGGCCTTGCGAGCTCCGAAGCGAGACAGGACTGGACAACGCGGTTAAAGGCGTCGGAAACGGAAAGAGCAAAGACAGCACAAGAGTGTCCAACTCAGATTTGGGCATTGTAAGCTTCTCAAAGCTGACTTGCAGAATATGAACCCCCTTTCACTAAAAAGGGGCGGAGAGTGAACCACTGTGTTCAGTCGCCCCAGAAACTCTGTGGACAGACAGTAAAAGGGTGAGGCTTGTAGGAGACTTTCTTTCTTTGAATAACATTTAAAGGGCATTTGAAGTATAGAAATCAGAATACTTACAAGAAAACGGAGCCATGGTTGTATAAACAGTCGTATCAGGAGGTTCAGTCACGTGTTCAGTCACGTGTGTCAAAATCATGAAGGTGGACAGAAATATGAAGCATACGGGAATTGGTTTTGGAAAGCCATAGCACTAGCTAGGTGTCCACGTGATATACAATTCCTCCTTCATCCTTCCCTCGCGTGACGTAGGAACTACGCGGCACCCTGGTTACCCCTCCTCCTATTCTCCCTCTGTCTCACCTCCTTCTTCACCTCCTTTTGCCTCTTCTTCCACGCCCGATTTGTCTCGCCCCTATTCTCATAAAACCACTTCTGGAAGTCTTGGTTTGGATCTGTCTCTTCTTTCGCATTTGGATCCGCTTTCCCAGACGCTCCTGCTTTCCTCGTGGGGCTGTCTGCGGTATTATAGTCTCCCTCGTCCTCTTCCTCAGCAGGCCAACTGAAGTGCTTCCTATGAGGATGTGCTGTATCCGGCGTCGGTGCAGCACTACGCTGTCCTCTCGACGAGAACTCTTGTGTGGTAAATGGTGTCATAGGAGCAACAAAGTCGTCTACCTCGTCATCCTCATCGACATCAGAGTTATTTCCGTCTCCGAAAAATGTAAATGACGAGGCAGCAGGGGCTTCAGAAGCGTTTGCGCCCTGGTCGCGACGCCCGTAGAGTGCCTCAAGTGGGTGGATAGAAGCGGTTTCCTTGGACTTTAGGCCTGGTGGTGGCGGGATTGATATTGTGAGCCCATGAGATGGTGGTGGTATTGAGGGGGCGGCTGATGTGGCGGGTTGGTCTGGTGAGTTTGAAGATTGTGCTTCAGCTTCATTTTCGGATTCCTGCTCTGAGGCATCGTCGTCCTCATCTTCAGAAGAGGAGCCAGAGCTGGAAGTATCGGAAACTTCTGCCGCAGCATCTTGCATGCTGGTGTCTGCGTCTTCCTCGGACTCCGACTTTTCCACAGGCTCGGCAGGCGGCAACCTGACCTTGTTCTCCTTCGCAATTTTTTTTAACACATCAACGTTATGATTTGACTTCTTTGGCTCTCCCTCCACCACTTCTCCATTCTCATCCACCCAGCCCTTCCCTTCGACAAACTCCACTGCTACTTTCACATTCCCCCCCGTGCTCTTCTGCCTCAAAAACGTTGCAAACTTTTCTGTCTTGGCAAATTCATGCAGAGTCACGTCTTTCCCGGCCTTTCTTTTCCTCCTCTCTTTATCCACTACCACACCCTCGATCCCCTTTGCAGGCAAGGCCGCTGCGATGGTCGGTGGCAACGTTGTTCGGAAAAGGCATTCCGCTTCAGTGGTATATTTGCTCTTCTCCCTCTCTTTCTTCTTATCCTTGCCCTCCTTCATCCTATTCTCTTTCGCTGCCTTCTTGGTAGCCTTCGGATCCGTCCAGCCGCGCTTGATCTGTCGATCCAGCACCTCGGCGCCCTTCATAGGCTCCTCGTGTCGCTTTCTCTTCTTGCTAGATTTCTCCTTCTTTTTCTTTCCCTCTTCCTCGGCACCCTCACCCCCATCAATCGCCTCCCCCCAAGCCTTCTCTCCTCTCGCCTCTTCAATTGCAATCTTCTTCCCACGAAGCAAAGCTCCCTTCAACTTCCTCTTTATCTTCCCCGCTTCCTCGGTGGGCAAATCCACAAACCCATACTCCTTTTCGGGAAACGCCTGCAGGGTATGGAATGAGATGTTTCGTGCCTTCGGTGCCAGCGATGGCGGCACAATTGCTGCCATTAGCGAAGCATTGAACGGCGTAATGTGAAGGCGTGAGTATCCTTCGTCCACGCCCGCCTTTGGGCCGCCCTTCTTATCGCTGATGGGCGCCATGTTTTGGTTGGTTGCGGGAAACGGATTGTGTCCTTTCGTCCCTCTTTGTAGGCAATCAGAGCGGCGCTCCGGAAATCGCAACCAGGGCAGTGGCGCGGAGAGATTTGGTGGGCGCTTGGAGGAGCTTGGGACAGCACAGAAACGAAAAATATCACGATAAGATAAAGTGTCGGTGCACGGGCCAAAGGTACCAGGAACCAATCAGACTTTAGCACTCCTTTGGACAATATGTTTGATAAAACAAACTATTTTTGGCTCTAAAGAATCATGCCTGTTTGATGTGGCCTGTTATATTAATTTCCATATTCAGGTTTATCTCTCTGTTCCCTTCGTTATTGTTAGTTATAATTTAATTTGCTGTGAAGATTCATTTTGTGGCCCTGCTTCGAATAAATTAATACTGGTACAATTCAAATTTTGCAACCAAAAAAATTAACATTTCCAAAGCCGTAACTTCATTTAGTATATATACATGAAGTCCATATAATAAAATCCTCGAGGGGAGATTTGGATATTAATAAACTGCCCGCCCTAATATACACGTCCACAAGCCCCATCCCCATCATCATTACCCATTGCTCTATCAAGCCATGAATGGCTGAGCAGCCGTACTCCGAATTAATTACAAAAATAGGTGTTTATATCAATTGCTGTCCGATGCTTCCTTAGCAGCATCACGGACCTCCTTTCCGCTTGCTCTGTAGTAAATGTCTCCACCCCAGCGCATCGCACGTGCGATGGCGAGAGTTGGGCTGTCGATCGCTGGTCTGACATCGAGATAGAACACTGGCTCGCCTGCCTCATCATCCGGCGCCTCGTAGTAGTCAATCACGTATCTGACTTCGCTGGTTTTGTCGCCAATCTTTCGCTCCACATACCAGTCATGGCGATCGAAGGGAGGCGCGGTCCTAATGTTGTTGTTAGTACAGTGATAAGTTAAATCTTCACCTGGGATAACATACTTGAACCTAGAAGGATAGATGCCACCCAAAAATTGGACCATCGCCGCCTTCGGTGTCATCTCCTTTGGCCGCCCTTGAAACCTCATCAACTTCGGGTCTGCCTCATCCATAACGCCGCTCTCCACAATGCCCTGCTCTCCCTTCATACACTTCCTCCATCCATCGCCCAGGCCCTTGGCAAAAAGGCCCTCCCAGACGCGGATCTCGTTCCATGCGCCCTCATTCAAAAAGTTATGCACAGAAACCATGCTCGTCACATGCTCTGGATCCGTATCGTGGTATCCCTTGCGCAGCAGCGCATTGTACATTTGCTGCGGCGAGGGGTACTCCCAGTTTCCACCGGTACCCTTCGGGATGGTCGACGGCTCGCGCTCAATGTCCAGCGCTACGGTCTGCTTCTCGGCGCGCTCCTGTGAGAGGTCGGAGAACATGAAGTTGAGAGGATTGTACTTGGAGAGTTTCTCCGTGGTAGTGGGCTTTCGTGGCTCGGAGGGGACGGCTGCGCTACCGCTCGGGGGAGTGTAGGGGCAGGCGGATTCCTGGGTGACGGGCGCTGGCGCGGGCTTGAGGGCATCGGCGGACTTTTGGTGCATGGGACATTCTGGCTGTAATGATATTAGAAACGAAGAATCGGAGTATGGAGTTCGCGACACTTACCGGAGGGCTGCGGCTTTTATCGATGGAGGAGGCGTTGTGGTGTGTTGGGGGCGTCGCAGGCGCTTGGTCTGCCCAAAACCATCCCATGTTTGCGATATGACGAGTAGAGGTACGTTAAAGATTATAAGTCGTCCAGATTCAAGATGGACGAACTGCGGGATAATGCGAATATGCGAATAGGTTATGGGCGTGGAATGAAGGCAAATAGCGAAGGGGATGAAAGTTTGTCGAGTCCCCGGATTTAAATTCTGCCATTTTGAACGCCAATTGCGGCATAGATTGGTTAATCAACGCCCCTAACAAGGCTATCGGACGAAAAAGTTAAAGGCTATTTACAGTGCACACATGTAGACGATGGAGATAATATTGAATCTAGATTAAATATTAAATATTGTATTGTTTAAACATGATACTGTTCATTTTGCGCCTTGTTTACCTACAGCCGTTATCATTGCACGTGTTAAAAAGTTATTTTCGTTGATCAAGGGCCTCCCGACACTGGAACATCGGCCTAGTACCTGCCTGACGTCACGGCCTGAAGTCGGTACTCCACTCCCGGATGACAGCACTTCTATCGAGAATTCTACCGCGGCGCATTCATGGAGAGCGGTTGATTCTTTCTTTAGGCCAGCCCATGGTCATCATCTTTTCGCGGTGATGAGGCCTATTCTTTCGTTCAGCCGACTGTGTCTCCGGCAAGGTCTATCACAGATTCGACCCTCAATCGCCCGTCAAGCCCGCACCTACGGGACCACCGCGAACCGCTTTGCGACAGCAAGAGCCCAATTCCGTCGGCCACCGAACAATGGAGGCAAACTGCTGCTGGCCTCGGTGGCAGCGTTGACGCCCGCGTTTTTCGTGCAGCTCTCCGAGCAGGATAACGATGGCACCGACAATACCGGGGAGGAACGGATGCTGGAGGCTTCGCGGGAGGAGATAGAAAAGAAGCTGTCTGACGACGACGAGGGGATTTTCCGGATATTCAAAGGCATAATTCTCTTCCTCGACCTGAATATATGGGAGCCGCTGTGCACTGGGTTCAGATTCCTGCACTTGGTTATAATATTCGTCCCTGTGATCGCTGCCGTGCCTTTGATTTGGATTGGACAGAGACAGGCCGAGCAAGACCACGAGAGGTCGGGAACGCTACTATGGTATCGATTCCTCGTCAACTCGATGGAGCGCGCCGGCCCAGCTTTTATTAAAGTATGCCTCTATTCGTCGTCCCTCCAGGCTATGCTAACAATACCCAGCTAGGCCAATGGGCCGCATCCCGTTCCGACATATTCCCAACCCAGATGTGCGAGATGATGTCCCAACTACACTCCAACGCACCCGCACACTCTCTCCACGACACAAAGCGCATCATCCGACGCGCCTTCGACCACCGCCCATTCGAAGATATCTTCGAGGAGTTCGAGGAGCAGCCCCTCGGCGTCGGCGCAATCGCGCAAGTCTACAAAGCAAAGCTAAAGCCCGACCTCGCCGTGCCAGGCGACCCGGATCTGGCTGACCACATCGAGTTCCGCAAGACCGTGCGCCATAATGTGGACACCCTCATCAAGAAGACCCCGCAGCGCGTGCCGTCCAACTACGTCGCGATCAAAGTGCTGCATCCAGGCGTCGAGCGCCTCGTGCGCCGCGACCTGTGGATTATGGGATTCTTCGCTAGCGTACTCAATGCGATTCCTACGATCGAGTGGCTCTCTCTACCCGACGAAGTATCGCAGTTTGCGTCTATGATGCGCCTCCAACTGGATCTGCGCATCGAAGCTACCAATCTCCTCCTTTTCCGCCGCCACTTCGCCGACCGCACCACGGCGTGGTTCCCATACCCCCACACGGCCTTCACAACTCGCCAGGTCCTCGTCGAGGAGTTCGCCCAAGGTATTCCCCTCGCGGACTTCATGGAAAACGGCGGCGGCGTCTTCCAAGAGGCCATCGCGAACGAAGGCCTCGACGCCTTCCTACGCATGCTCCTCATCGACAACTTCGTCCACGCCGACCTGCACCCCGGCAACATAATGGTGCGCTTCTACCAGTCATCAAAACCCCACCTCCCCTTCTCAAGTAACGGCCCCGACCCCGCCACCGCCACGGACGTCACCGAGACAGTCCTAGAGCGCCTCCGCCCCTACCGTAAACGTCGCGACAAGACAGGCTGGGAAGACGAGCTCGCGCGCATCGACGCCGCTGGCTTCCGGCCGCAGTTGATATTCATCGATACAGGTCTCGTGACGGAGCTGAACGCTACGAACCGCCGCAACTTCCTCGACCTCTTCAAGGCGGTCGCAGAGTTCGACGGTTACCGCGCGGGACACCTCATGTGCTCGCGCTCGCGCCAGCCCGAGGCCGTGCTAGATCAGGAAATCTTCGCGCTGAAGATGCAACATCTCGTGCTGTCTGTCAAATCACGAACACTGGCGCTGGGGAGCATGCGTATAGGAGATATCCTGCATGAGGTTCTCCAGATGGTGCGCGCGCATCACGTGCGCATGGAGGGGGACTTTATAAATGTCGTTCTCAGCATCCTGCTCTTGGAGGGTAGTGGTAGGCAGCTAAATCCGGATATCGATTTATTGTCTAGTGCGCTGCCGATCCTGAGACAGCTCGGGGCGCAGAGTGGTGGTGGGATGCTGAGACAGGGGGATTTCAGTATGTTGAAGGTCTGGGCTGGGTTGGAGGCGAGGAAGTTCATGCAAGCCAGTGTTGAGGATGTGAGTTTTCTTCCGTTTTCTGTGGAGGTTTGATGGGGGTGGTTGCTAATATTCGATAGGTTGAGCGTGCGGTGAAATATGACCAGCTCTCACCGAATGTATGAGTGGCTACATTATGGATATTTAATTGGTAAGTAGGGTATAACTGCACGGTGCCGGCAATACGGTCGGGGATATGTATATAGGCGTTTTGGTATAGGCATTCATCTCAGGTTGGCGAGAGGAAGGGTGGTAAGGGGATAACATAGTAATGTAAATACTCCACTATATATAGACGAGATAGACGGGGAATACATATATACCCATGAGAAATGTACAACAGGCAACAGCAAGTAATCTTCACAACACACAAACAAGCAAAAGAGCAGTCTTTACGATACCATCTATCAATTTACCCCCCCCAGAATCTGGTGATATACAGAAAAAACAAAACACGATTCTATCCACATACCCAGAGCCAACGCCACATCCACCCCCCCCAGTCAAATTACCCATATCACCCCCTCCCATAACCCACACCTAATTACCCCCCTTACCACCATCCATCACAACCCCACTAAGAAGACAAGCAAGACAAACTTTACATCCTCCCCTCCACCTCCCCCACCACCTCCCCAAACACATCCGCGACCTCCACCCCAACGCGGCTACGATTCCACTCCCCCCGTCCCTTCCACAAACACTCCATCATCTCCCGATACGCCATCTCCAGATCCTCAACACCCCACCCATCTGTCCTGTTGACAAACATCTCGAGAAGCTGCGCTAGGTACACCTCATCGATGATAACCTCCTTCTGGCTACTCGCCGCCACGCTAACCACTTGACTCGGTTCCCCAGCCGTGCTAGCTAGATCCTGGTCCGAACCAGCATGCATGCTCGGGTAAGCAGGCGTAGGCGCGCTAGCACCACCAGGTTGCGACGGCGCCGACGTGGAGTGCGACACCGATGCCGACGACGCGGTGGGTGGTCTTCCATGAACCTGGCTGTGCACCCAATCCTGGCTCTGCGTATCAGGGAGCTGGCTATCCCCGTCACCATGACCATGAAGATGCGGGCTATACTGCTGACTCCCACCATGGCCGTTCGTAAGCTGCGTACTCTTGTCACCAGAGGACTGCTCGGTTTTGCGTCCCGAGGTGGTGGTCGAGGCGTCGTTGAAGAGGGCGGTGGGGGACATGTCGTGGGGGAGGGATTGGAATGCGGAGCGTTGGCTGAATTGGCTTCCTTGCGTGTTTAGTGCTGAGGGCATGGAGGTGCGGGAGCGGAAGAGGGAGCCGCCGGTTGTGGCGGGGGGTGGGGGCATGTTTTGCGAGTCGAGCTGGGATGCCTCGTCTGTGCCGCCCATGGCTACGTCGTCGCCGCCGCTGTGGCGTGTGCTTGGCAGTGACGAGCCGTTGCTGAGACGCTGCTCGCTTGATAGGGAAGAGTGCGTAGCCGTCCCGTTGGAGAGGGAGGTAGGCGTGCTGAACAACCCTGGAGCGCGGGATTTTGGCGTTGGCATCCCGAGGACGATGGGCTCCTCCCTTGATCCTTCAGCGGGGATATCTGAGCCAATGAGGATGGCCTCCTCCTCAGCGCGCTTGCGATGCTTCTCAGCCTTCTCCTTGACGCGCTGGAGCTGTCGTTGATACACGTTTTCGCAGTCTGCGACGACAGGATTGGCCTCGATGAGCGCGAGGTCGACCTCGACGTTCGCGAGCAGCTCCTTTCCTCTTAACGCACGCTCCTGGTCGCCGGTGTTCTTCATGTCCTTCGCCAGTCTGCGAATATCGGCTACGAAGTCCTTTGGACGCGCGTAGAACCCGTTGGACAGCCTCTCCTCGATAGTCGTCGTCTCGAGGTTATAAAAGAACTTCCCCGTCGCACTATCCCTCAGCCCAGACACGCCTTCCTTATCCACGTCAAGCTCGTACGGACGGAACTGCACAACGTCCGGTCGTACGTAGTTGGGATCTTGTTCGTCATAGAGGTACTGAATGACGGATTGCGGGACGGCAGGGTTGCGGAACTTGCGGTACTTCTTCTGGATCTGGTCCATGATAGGCTGGATCATCACCTTGAGGGTGTTGAGGGTCTGGCGGTCGCGCTGCTTGAGCGCCTTCGTCTCTTCCTTGGTAGGGACGCGGGGAGGTGGCGGAGGCGCGATAGCGAGTGTGTCAAGCTTGCGCAGCTTGCGGTTCACAGGATCAGGGAAATCAGTCGGTTGTTTCTTGATGTAGTCGATGATGTTCTTGAAGAAGTCCTCGCGATTGTGCTGCATAAAGTTAGCAAAAGTGTCCCCAACAAAACCACCCTCCCCAGGATGTAGGACGATGCACTTACCCTCGTCGGCTTCGTGATTAAGAAGCGGTTCTTCTTGGTGAACCCAAACAAATCCCGAATCATCTCCTGACTCGCCTGATCAGGCTCCGCATCGCATATCCCAAGCACCAGCACCGGATCCGTGGGCGGGATTCCCCTCAGCAGCCCCAGGAAAGTGGTGATCGCCGAGTCGCTGAGGGTGTGATACCATGTATCCACTCCCGGCAAGAAGATCACACTCGGCTTATGCCTCTTGACCTCCGCAAACAGCTGCACGATCGCCGTCTCCGCCGACCTCGCTGAATCGCTATAGATAGTCGGCAGATCGAAACTCTGGACGTGCAGACCCTCAAAGTGGTTAAGAAGCGCAGACCCAAGGTACCCCTGCCCCATCCCAGGATCTCCGCCGATGAGCAGTCTTGGGCGGAATACACGCGCCTTCTCGAAGTCCTGAGCTAGCGTCTCTCGGCCAAAGCCCGCGTCCGCGTCCTCATACTGCTCGTACAGTGCCTCCTGGAGCGCAGTGGTCTTCTTCTTGATTGGAATCAACCCATCCAGCAGCGCCTCAATAGACTTCAACTGGTCGCGCAGGAGTGGCTCAACAGCCTTCGGTAAGGGCGCTGCGCCAGACGACGTCGCACGCTCGGAGGAAGGCACCATTTTCTTGATCGACAACATGAAGTCCTTAGCCGTGATCTTGATCTTATCCGGGTCAACGATCAACTTATCATTCGACGAGTAGATCTGCGGGTACGTGCGCTGAATCGCGTTCAGCGCCGCCTCCGTGCAGAGCGCGCGCAGATCCGCACCTCCATACCCCTTCGTAACGTGCGACAGGCTGTCCTTGAACTTATCATCCACGCCCCAGTCGCGGGTGTGGATGTCGATAATGGAGCGCCTCCCCTCGATATCCGGTAGGGGGAAGTAGAACTCGCGATCGAAACGACCCGGACGTCGCAGCGCAGGATCGATGTTATCAGGCCTGTTGGTCGCACCAATCACGATAACTTGTCCACGACCATCCATACCGTCCATAAGCGCGAGCAGGGTGGAAACGATGGAAGCGTGGATCTGCTCCTGCTTGCTTGAACGCACAGGCGCGAGACCATCAATCTCATCGAAGAAAATGATACTAGGTTGTGTCTTCCGCGCCTCCTCAAACAACAGCCTGAGCTGGCGCTCCGCCTCTCCGACCCACTTACTCAGTGCATCAGCACCTTTACGCATGTAGAAAGTGATCTTGCGACCCCCTGACCCAACACTGGCCGCGAGTGCTCGAGCAAGAAGCGTTTTTCCCGTACCAGGAGGGCCGTGGAACAGCACACCTCGAGGAGGCGTGACGTGGAACTTAAGGAACAGCTCCGGGTACAGCAATGGCATCTGAACCATTTCCTTAAGCTGGTCAATGTGACCCGCCAACCCACCGACCTTACTGAAATCAACATTCTGGTCCACACCAAGCGGATCCGCATCAGCAAGAGCCTTCTGGCTCTTGATCTTGCCGAGATTATTTGGCGTCCCCCCAACAGCCGCCATGGGTTCGCTGGGGTTCGTTTGTCCGAGACCAGGGAGAAGACCAGCAGGCATGCCAGTCGTAGGCGTCATACCAACATTGCCCGCCACGCCAGTAGGTCGCGCCAGATTCTCATCGTCACTACTATCCGAGTCGGCACCTCCCGCAGCGCCCGTCCCCCACGGTCCAGGACCTGTAACAGGAGTTGGGCCACCACCACCACCAAATGGTCCATATGTCGTATGCAGCGTGCGCTCCCATTTCGCCTGACTGCCCGTATTGCGCTTACTCCTCCCCGACGGCGCAGGCGCAGCATCCTCGAGGTCCTCATCCGCAGCATAAATCTGGTCCATAGGCTTGATAGTGTAGTCGACGCGTTTGCGCTCACGGCGACCCATAGACTCGTACAAGATTTCCGGGTCACGACGCGCTCTTGGCCGACGCCGACCATTTGCTTTCAGCTCCGCGGCTTCCTCGAGAAGCTCGTCGGCATCAAGGGCCTCGGAGTCACCGTCGGAATCGTCGCGTCTGCGGGAGCGCGAGCTCTTCGATTTACCGTGGGCGCCACGGCCGCGACGAGGGGTGGAATCTGTGTCATTGTCGCTTCCCTTGCGCTTACGAGGTGAGGCGTCGGAGGCGGAGATATCCTCTTCGGATTCTTCATTGGGCTCGAAGTCGCTGGTCTGCTCGAGGCCAGCCTTTTGAGGTTGAGTGCGTTTCCGGAGACGTCTGCCTCCGGGTGGTGTACTGGGTTCGCCCTCGACGGTCTCCTCGACGGTTTGCTCGACGTTCGTGGCTGTCTGGGATACACTCGTCCGGTTAACACGCGTACGCGAGACCGGTAAGTCATCATCCTCATCATCCTCCTCCTCATCATTAGCCCCATCCCCAGCAGCAGCAGCCGGAAGTTCCGCCAAAAGATCCCCCGTCCCCTCATCCTTCTCCGAAAAAGCCTGCGTATCATCCTTCGTAGCATGACTATCCCCAATCTCAATATCCCCCTTCGTCTCTTCATCAACCTCCATCGCCTCCCCCTCCGCATCCTCCTCCCCCTCCTCAGGAACAGTAGACTCATGCGAGGCCTCCAAAATCGTCTCCCCCACGGGCATCTTAAGCCCCTTCCCGCCCCTCATAGGCCTCAACGCCTTTGAAGTCTCAGGCGTAGGCGATTCCCCCTGCACAACAGCATGTCTCCCCGAATTAGACAGCGCCACAAGCCCCTCATCCACCTCCTCCGTATGCGCCCTCGTATTCCTCCTCGGCCGATTCGCCGCCGTCGTCGGTTCCGCGCTCGCGCGCACGCTGCCCGCGCGAGTCGTTCGCTTCGAGCTCGGCACGGGAGTCTTGACTTTGAGTGTAATCATCATTTTCTTCGGGCTTCTGTTCTTCTTTGGGGCGATATCCTCCTCCTCCTCATCCTCATCATCGTTGTTGGTACCCACATCCTCGACATCACTCTCGCTCTCCTCATACTTAACGCTCTTCTTCACAACCCCCCGTAACGGCCTCCCCGTCTCCGTCCTCTCCGGCTCCTCCTCCTCCTCATCGAAGCTCTGGTCGAGCAGACTGTCATCCGTGAGATCGTCATCATCATCATCGACGTCCGACCCGCGGTATTTCGCGCGCTTCTTCTTCTTCGCGCTCGCGCCGCCCTTGGATTTGGAGCGCCCGACGGACTTGCGGCTCGTGCGGCGCTCGGGGCCGGACTCGTAGTCGTCGTCGTTGGAGTCGGATTTGTTGGGGTCGAAGTGCTCGAGTTTGCGCTTGACGGGCATCGTGGCGGTGTGTGGGTGCGTGGGTGATGCTGTATTGTGATGTGGTGTGGCGGAGAATAGAGTGTGTCGGACTCAGTTCGATGGATGGGTGTTCAGCTGTGCTGCATCGCAGGAGCGAGTCTGATGGGAGGAGGGAGTTAGCACAGTGTATCTCCGTATCAAGATCAATGACAGTAAACGAAGTGAAGGAAGGTAAACCCACAATTTCCGTTCGTAGAACTCTTCTCCAACCTTCGTGGCGCGTACCTCACTCTCCCTTTGTCAACCTCTCAATCCTCCCAAACCGCGCTTCCACCGAAATCGCGTATACGCTGAATCGCCAATAATCCCCCCTAGCACACTAGACCTCCAATCCAAACGCGCCTCAAGAATAGGTATCAACAACAAAAAGAACTCAAAAGAACCTCACAAGAAATCGCCTCCGATCCGGCTCCTATCCTTGGGACAAATTGGACTCTTGGGAGTTCGATGGATCGCTCGTTCTGGCTCATCCCTCAGTCGCGTTTGTCGGTTGGGCGGCCTTTCTCGCTTAAGGCACCAAGGCAGGAATTTGAAGGGAAATGACGCTAGTGAATCGCTAGTGGCGATTGAGGCGGAGACATTTTGCGCGAAGTTGCTATCGACGATTCCAAGACTCGGATGCGATGGTCATGATGCTCATCCAAATTCCCTCCCTACAGCTTCAAATAATCTCTCAATCCCCTCAATTTCCCCCCGGAGGCATGCGACGGGCATTAGGCTCCGATTTTGAGGCATTTTCGCCACGGCCGAAGGGGATATTTACGCCTTGCAGGACTCTCTAATTCTATTATTCTTTTTCATCTCGACATGCCATCCCCAGGTTCAATGGACCTAGTGCGGCTCGAAAGCTTAATTCTTGGTGACAGGCCGGATCGTGCATGGCGCGTGTGGTTCCTGACCACTTCGACCGCCGCATATCACGTGGTAATATGCACCCTTTCATAGATCAGATTAACCCACCCTGATCCCTAAATATGCAAGACCCTAATATCGTTGGGTTCAAGGTTGACGAGGTTATTTATTGATTTTGCTATTGGGAGATGTAGATGGGGTATCGATTAATGACAGCGTCTATGATCCTCCACCAGGTACTGGATGGCCCGCATACATTACACACTATATCTTTAAAAGCTCCCACCACCATGGTCAGTTAGATTACACAACCCCATAAAACCAACCCAGGCCGCTGCCATCTCCCCCAGAATTCCCTCATCATCACAATCACAACGTGTTCCATACACACAAATCACGTGAAACAACCCCATATCCAGTTCAACGCTCAAAAAAAAATGTGCAAATCCGGATGCTTAAGATTCCTAGCTCCGGCACTTCTCTCTAATCTCTCTCTCTGTCCCATCTGCCTGACTGCCACGCTCTGAACTGCTCTTCTTGAAATGCTCAAATCAACCAACTACGCATCCATTCGCCGCCACATATTACTTTCCACCCCGTCTTCACCGAACAAACCAGCCCATTCCATTCAGCTCATCCACACTCGACCCAGTGACTCCATGTACCCCTTCCACTCACTCCCCACCACTCCAGTATCCACCCTTCTTTCCATCGTCATCCTGCTCATCCTCGCTCCCAAGCTGCCCAGTCAAGCAAGCAACGAGAGTCGAGAAAGCCGCCACCCCTCAAAACAACAACGAAACAACGGAACCCAGAGGAGAGTGGGGAAAACGGATTACTCGGCCAGACAAGTAAAACAAACAAAAAGATAAACAACGCTCAGAATGTTGGATGATCAGACACGGTTCCCGGCGCACACACGGACATGAGGTTGTTGTTGACTAAAAAAAACGCGCGAACCGCGAAGAGATATAGGTGTGTGGTGGTGTTGTGGGAGATGCGAGTAAAGTTGGGTGTTATGCTGGTGTGTCGAATCGTAATGCCCAAGGAGAGATATGAGGAACGTCGCTATCATCATGCCGCTGTATTGAGTTTTCCGCGAGGAACGAAAAATAAAAATCAAGTATAGCCAGTTTCCTCCCAACCACCACGTAATTCCCTTCCTTCGATCGATCGATCGAAAAACAAAGACGACCAATTTCAAATCTCCCCCTATTTCATGAATCTTTCTCGCCAGCCGGCCACCAACGGAAAAAAAACACAAGCAAGACGACGCAAAAACGAACCATAATGAGAAAAGCAAAGTGTGGAGGAGTGTGTAGGGAAGTCATCCAAATGCACGCAAGAAAAAAAAAAAAAAAAAAAGGTAAAAATCGCTCAAAAGGTGCTGTTTCTCTCTGTTGCGCCCATTACACCCCGCAAATGCCCATGGAAAATAAAACAAAACGACGTTCGATAACGAAAGATTTGACGCCTGACTTTGAGAAAAGGAAAAATAAAGCGCGGGACGTGAAAACGTTGCCGGCTTTGGTAGAGCAGAGAACACCACCAATTTTAGTGTAGTCGTGATGATCGTTAGAAAAAGTGCGTATATATTTTAGACGTCTCGTGGACTTCCATTTCCTGGAGCAATAAAGTCAGTAACACTTTCCATGAAAGAAAGAGGGGGTTAATAATCTTACCATCTTGAACGTATTGAGCTCCTCCTTGATCTGCTGCGCGAGCATCGGCGTAAGACGATTGCATGTGGCAATCTCTCCACGGCGATCATACTCCGTGCTTGCCCATGTATCATGATAGTTCGCTGCGTTCTTCCACGAGATATTGCGTTTCGCAGCAGGAGTCGCAGGCGAGCTCTTGGACGCGGTGCCCGTGAAGCGCAGCGCGGACATGAAGTAGTCCTCGCCGTTGAGTGTGACCGACTCGGTGCGGCGGTGCCCGTGCACATCGGAGTTCGGGGTGCTGGGCGCGGAAGATGGTGGCGAGTCGTCGACGCTGGGGATCTGTGGGAGTCCAAAGTTCGGCGTCTTGTGGTCGACTGGAAGAACGACAGGAGATGAGCTTGTGGAGTCGGTACCAGAGCGCTTGAGGATGCCCTTCTTGACCGAGGCAAGGACCTCAGCACGCTCTTTGTCGCCTCCTCGGATGCTACGTCTGTGTGCAGAGTCGGATCCGATGGAGACGTTGTCGGTGCTTCCAGAGGCTCTGCCGAGATTGATTGGAGCTTCGAGAGAGCTGGTGTCTGGCTCTTGGCGACTAGTGACGCCGCTTTGGTCCCGAACAGAGATATTGCCGTTGGATTGTGGGCGCTCGGCCTCGACATTCACCATGGACACTTCTCCTGTGGTTACTTGTGGCAGCGCGGAGTCTGCAGCTGGGACACCAATCACCGACTTCGGCCTGAAGAGACCAACAAGCGAGCGTGTAGATTTCTTCATTCCCTTGCCCATCTTTCGAATCATGATCGACGCAGAAGAAGCAGTGGACGAGATGGACAAGTTGTCGGTCGAACCCGAGAAGAAGTTGCCCTGACCAGAGTATATGCCTGACCCAATGCCACCCTCCTCCTGCTTCCGGGCAATTCTTGCCTGCTCAGCCTCTTGATCATCTTGGTATGTCTGAAGACGTGCGGCGTCTTCGGTGTGGTTTGGGTTCGTCTCTGCCGAGGCCTTTCGAAGTTCAGCCGCGCTGCCAAACGAGAAGGCTCGTCGTAATCGCGATGGCTTCTTCCCTCCCTTCGCATTAAGCGCAGCCAACTGCTTCGTAGCAGGGCTTTGCGGTCGCGATACATTTGTCTTCTCCGGTGTGTTGGTGTTGAGAGCAGCAGTGACTGCGGAGGCAAATGTATCCTTGGTGGTGACCGCCGACTCGGTACTCATCGTCGGCTTAGAGAGCGGGGAGGGGTTCGCTGTGCGCTTTGTCGCATCGGATGAGGAACCACGGGCAGGAATATTCACGACCTGAGGTTGGTCATGTTTCAACGACCCAGATCCTGCAACGGTTGACGAGGCGGGGTTTATTCCTGCGGTTATCACGCTTGAATCTCGCTTCGGTCCCTGCCAACATATATGTTAGCGTATATACACTAGCAGGGGCAGCCCCATCACGATTGGTGGGGATAAATCTAGTCGCTCATGTATGCAAGAAGGGGCCTGCCATGTATGGGTAAACTTACGGGTGCTCTTGGCTCTGAATGACGAGTCGCGGGGATCGCCTCGTATCGCTCTGTCCTCCCAGGCGAAGATGACGGCCGAATGGTCGGGTAACTTGGCTTCTGGTATGGATCATTTCGAAGTTGTCCTTGTTGGCTGAAATTTTCCAGTTTCTGCGCCTCGTTGTTGAAACCCTCAACGGTGTGGATGCTGCGGCGGCGTGAGCGATCTTCTTTCGCGTGTCTCCGGAGATACATGTCGTCTATAGCACCACGGGATCCGTTGAGTAGCGTATTTCCGGAACTGAAATTCGGCGCTAATATCTGGGGTGCTTGGCCTTGTTGGTGAACTGGTGCTGCATTTGAGTTGGCCAGGGGTGGTGGAGAAGGCAGAGTGGGAACTGTATCAGCACGACGGTGGGCAGGGCGGCGGTAGCGATCTGGTGCAGCCTTTGTGGGGGTCGATGGGCCGCTGCTACCAACACTGGATGAAGGTGTGGACGTAATAACTGTAGGCAGAGGACGAGTGAGAGTAGTTTCCCATGCCTGAGTAGTCACTGCTCCTCCACTGTTAGAAGTTGCATCACTTGCCGAAGAACCCGAGAGGTTGGACGACGACGATGAAGTCGTTGTAGACACAGAGGCGGGTGCTGGATATCTAGAATGACGAGCACTGAGGTGACCTGTAGAAACTGTAGGGACAGTCGGGGCAGAGGCGGTTCTGTATTGTTGCCTGGGGTTGGTCAAAGCTGGCGTGCTAGTGAAAGCATACGGAGCTATTGGTGCCATAGAAGAAGTATGTCCACGATATGTATTGGATCCAGCACTGCCTGACCCTAAGCTGTGGTAGCTATTGCGGTGGACGTTCGTAGAGCTCTGGCCGTATTGGTGAACCTGACTCTGAGCAGTGCTCTGGAGGATGCCAGAAGCCGAAGCCGGGCGAGATTGCAGCATAATGGCAGGAGCTGACTGTTGAGGAAACGATTGAACCATGGCAGCCATATTGAGATCGGTATACTGGGGGTGTGTGCTGTGGCCAGTGAAGGCTTTCAGCTGTATGATCGTGGTCTATTGGGGTCGCATTCGTGTACGGGGGATATGCTGGAGTATCGAAAGAGAAGGCAAGAAATAGCAAGCCTGGATCGGAGATTGTCAGTAAGGTTGTGCTGTATAGGTCTGTGGCACGATGACGAATAAAACAGCGTTCAATGTGGTACAGTGCACCTCGGGGACAGCTTCTGGAACGAAAACGCGTCGTCAAAGGGGAGATAAGGAGGACATGAGCGAACGAACCTTCTGGTCAAATGATGCCACGCCAAAGGTATTATAATCGAAGTAGGCTATCAGAAGCACAGTGAATGTATAGTAGCGAGTGTTGGTGAAGATTTGCCGGAGAGATTCCTGCTCGTTTCCAGGCAGAACACACTGTTACCGTGAGTCTTGTCTTCGGGGGGTGGTGCCTCCGGTGCTTGCCGACCAGGATGATCGAGTAAGAGGATCAATGGAATCCAGTCGAGATGACCTCAATGCCTTTTTCGAGATGAAGGCTGTTACGGAGGTCGAGATCGATGAAATTCGGAATCGGAACCGGGGGTAGAAGAGGGCGAAACGAGGGAGTTTGGTGGAATGGGTGAGCGACAGAAACGAGTACAATCCGGTAAATAAAACAGGGATGGGGTGAGGAGGAGGGGGGGGGATAAAAGAGGGCGAGGTTATAGAAGAGAATAGAATTAGGGCAGCACGAAGGGGTATGGGGGAGGGGGAAAGGGGAAAGGGGATAGAGAAAAGGATGAGGTCGAGAGGAGGAGTAGGTTGGAGAGAGAGAAAGTTGTCGACGACGACGATGATGAGGATGAATTGAGGAGAGGAGGCACACAGAAGTAGAAAGTGTGGTGTCCAAGATCACAGGCACAAACACGCACACACACCTATTTTACTACCAACAGTACTAACACCACCACGCCCACCACGCCCAGCACACACAACCCACCACCCACACAGATATGCAAGTACCTTTCGTATGAAGTACAGACACTAAGAGTACTTTTGTTTTGCTACTACTTTAGTACTACTCTACTGCTACTCTACTACTAATCTACTCTGCTAATATTCTACTACTCTGCTAATACACTCCGTACATACTCTCTCTACACGAGAGGGAAAGTACAGATCTGGATATCTGGCCGTACTTCTAGGCAGGGGTTTAGTGCAAGTTACAGTACACGAAGTACATTAATAGCATCAGCGTGGTACATTCGCGTCCATGTGGACTCCTCTTGATGCTAGACCGATGCAGGCTGATGGACATAACTAGGAGGTTCTAGAGGTGCAGGATTATTGTGCAGGACTACTACTACTACTACTGGCGTGCAGGCTGATACACGCCGATGATGCAAGGCAGGAGAAATAAATACGACCATAGCATCCAGAGCATCGCCGACTAACGGGATGATTGGCTAGAGGGGGGGTGTTGAAGATGTAGAATAAACACAGAAAACGCCAAAAATACGCCTCCGTAAACAGCATAAACGGAATAGACGGGAATAAACACAATAAATGGGGGCATAAATGGAGACGCCAACGCCTCATCGGGCTATTGTTAGTTAGTTGGTTAGTTAGTTAGTTAAGCATGACGCGCTAGAGTAGTGGGAAAGTACTTTTGCGGAGAGTGCTGATCGCGATGGGATGGAAGTACTACTCCACTACTAGAAACCTTCAGTAGTAGTAGAGGGAGGAGTAGGAGGCAGTGAGGATGGAGATAGGGGGGGAAATAAAATATTATGCAGGAGAGAAAAAAAAGTAGTATGTAAACACAACAGCTAAATATCTATAGTGTAGAGTAGTTAGTTAGTGTATGTAGCTGTCGTACTCCTATCTGAAGCCGCGTATGAGCCTCAACAGACTCCATCACCCGTATCCTCCCTTTCCCACCATCCACCACAAACATACCAACCACAGTACGCAAATACAAAAAGCAGGCACAAGAATACCACCACCACTGAATTACAGCGTCCTAAGCGGCTACGTACTTCCCACCTTGCCCCTTGAACATCCCATCCCCAATCCATCCCAGCTAACTGTACATCCGTACATAACATACGAAATCCCCGCCGCCCACACACACCGTCGCTCATCCCGGGCCGTTCATTCGCTGCATCCGGCATGGGTCTCCGTAACAGAAATCCCCACATTCTGAGGTACGACGCGACGGTGCGGTGGCTTCTACTCGTATGGCCGTATAGTATGGCGGGCCCGAGGGGGGGTAACTGGATGGGGAGTAGTGCGCTGTGTGTGCTATATTCGGCGGCGATGCGTGGAGAGATTTAGAGGGGGATGGGGGTAGGGAGTAGGCGGTAGGGAGAGACAGGAAAGACAGACTGGAAGACATAGCAATAATACAATACACAAGAACACAGAGTAAAATAGAGACATCTCTCTTTCCAAGTACCCAGCCAGCCCGGCCTAGACAAACAACACAGCAGCATGACGACCAAGTTGTGTCGTGCCACCGACAGCTCACCAAAACTCCACCCTAAGGACTGGTTCGGCTAAGATTGGGGAAAAGGAGCAAGGACAGCAAGATTGAGTGCGATTCAATGGGTTGGCATATATATGTACTATACTATACTATACTACCATAACAGGATTGCATAAACCATCCTCTTCCTCAACCACTCTCCATCCAGCAAACCACAGTATCTCCCCTCAGCGCATAACGATATCCCCATCTCTCCACGCAGTCCACCCCACAGCGTGGTACTCCCCCCCAAATCGCTCGAATCACAACCTCTAAACCACTCCGTCCTCCACTCCATGAAACACGAGCTCCTCACCACTACACATTTTACAGTACAGTAGTATAGCATGACGCGTGTGAACTTACTGACCCACCCCCAACTCCCCCTCCACCACTCCCTAACAGAACACACACACAGCGCGGTGGTGGGTGGAGCAAACCCAAGTCCAAGACTCTCTGCGACGGCGACCTCCTCCCACTAGCCCACCCCCCCTAATGACGCACCACCGCCCCAATCAACGCGCTGAGGGACCTTTATACAACCCGTCCTGGGGCGGGCGGTGATCTGGAATCTCTGTCTCCTAGGTGGCTGAGTGGCGAATGCAATGCTACGCTGCGGTGCGGCAGCGGGCGGCGTGCGTGCGTACAGTCGTGCTAGGAATGCAGCCTACGCACGCTGTGGAGGGGCTTACTACAGTGATGTGCAGGATAGTTACAGAGGTAGTTATCGCCGATGGAGAGAGAGGGATGCAAAGGCTCGGAGGCTCGAGGCACGATGGGCCTTTTTTTTTTTTTTCTTTCTTTCTTTCTTGCTGCAGCTATCCATTCATCCCACCCCACTGTCACTACTCGTCCCGTCCGTAGGGGTTACAGAAAACACGCTTAGGACGCGACTATACACGACTATAGTAGATAGCTCTACCCCCGAACTCCGCCTACGCACGCGCTTCGCTCATGTAAATATTAGGATGGATTGATTTCATCTCTCCCGTCTCTTTACAAGACAATCGCGTACACCACCCTAACTGAACCTCAGGAGTTCGCGACGGGCGGGTGCTATGTTATGCGGGGCGATTGATTGATTGGTAAGATTTTGTCCCCGGTCGATCTTCGTGCTAGCTCGGCAGCAGCAGCGGCGAAGTGATGATGCGCAGCGAGAACGCCGACCGAGTGAGACATACATGGGCGCTGCTGCGTATGTGTGTGTGTGGTGTGGTGCAGGAAGCAGGCAGGTAGGTAGGTCTTAGACATACATACAGAGGCGTGAGTTAACGGTTGCAGAGTAGTGGCGGCTTCTGCTACTAGGAGCAGCTAGGCCCTGGTGGCGGGTGGGTGAGGGACTGGTTGGTCGACGGTTGTTAGGTCAGATGCGATGCATCTGCAGCCCTTTCGTGAGGATGTCTTACTTGGGGTGTATTAACAGATACGACACGGCTACGGCTACGGAGGAAGTTTGAGGGGGAGTGCTCATGTCCGACTTCTCCGTCCCGTGTCTAGGAAGTGCGTGCTGCTCACCATGGTGACTTCTTTTTGGGATTTAAGAAACTCGCTGGTGCGTGAGACAAAATGACAATTTAACGCACGCCTGAGCCACACCACACACACACTCAATACCACTCTCCTCAAACAGCCACTCCTCCTAATACCTACCCCGCCCACCACGACTCTAGGATCAGAGTCGTCTGTGTCTGTGAGCTTGCCCGCCATGCAAGGGAGGCGCAGAAACAGAACAGTCCGCCGCGCCGGGCTACGACTTCTAGCAGTAACAATTTACTTACCCCTATTCTCATCCCAACCCATTCCTCGCTCATCTCGCCCAGCGAGCGGCGCTCGGCTTACTCGCATGCGCGGCATAGCGTAGCGTACTATAGTAAATTATCAGCACCAAAGCGTTAGGTCCCTCCGGACGTGCATTACGCCAGCGTGAAACACCACCATATTACGAATGGTACGAAGTACGCTCGCGAGCGCTCCCCCACACACAACCACCATCCACGAGCCGGACAGTTCGGCGATGACGATGGTGGTTGAACTCGCTAGTAGAGTAGAGCTTGGAGTGGATACCTATCTCATCTCGATCGTGGAGAAGGAGGCGTTTTTTGGTTTGGTCGATTGCAGATTATAGTCGATGTGACAGATTTGTATTATGGTTTTCTCTCTCCCCCCCCCTCGTCGACAGACTTCGAGAATGTAGTTCGCAGGTGAGATTGTTTTCTTTTGTTTGGGTTTTTTTGGGCGGGTTAATTTAATATACACCGAGGCTTGGCCGGCGGTTCGATTATTGTATTTGGTAGTGTATTGTGACACTGATCGACGCAGGCGAAACTACTTTAGGCATGCCTCTTGATCCTGCGAATACTGGTACCTGCCTGATCCTAGAGTGAGTGAGTGAGTGAGTGAGGGAGTGTTTAACCTGGCGCGAACTGCAATTTGTCAACACCAGTAAGGCGAGAGATCACAGAGAGAGAGGGAGCGGGTAGGGAATCAGAGATAGATTAACAACAGCGGGAGACCCTGAGATCTCATCTCGTCATGCTAGCCGTAATCCTGGCTCCTTAAAGGGGGAAGGCATATTACTGAGGGGTAATCTTATACTCTATCTATCTGACGGATCTCCCTCCGCCCCTCTCTATAGGAGGGAATAAGGACAGCCAGCCATGCCATGGCAGAGTTTGGACCTCCATCAGCCATGCACACCCATGGAATACCAATATTACCACCACAACCAGCCCTCCTCCATGGCCAATGTTATACAGAGTAGCATTGCATTCACAGTCTCTGAAGCGGTGTCATCCTAACACAAAAATGTATTACCCTGAAACAATACACCTTAATATCCTTAATATCGAGTCTGAGCCTGCCGCGCCCGCCGCGCCCACCAGGGTTACATCGGGACCAACGCGTTCCGAGACATCCCGTGTCCAAAAAAACCGTCTCTTGGCCGATTGAACAGCTCACGTGATTCAGCCTCGCCATGACTAGGAATTTAAGGTTTAGCGCCTCTAGCGCTGGTCAGCCTTGTGAGCCTTCTTTGGGGGACGCGAGTGTAGAGGCGAGGTATTGCGACGAGCATCACTTGCGCATATAGCACGATCACAATGGCGCCTCCTATAATCGATGAAATCGTCGAAGACGAAAACTACGCCTCCTCAGAAGACGAGGATTTCGTCCCCGACGAGGCACCCGCTGCTGTCGCCTCAGCATCCGAGTCTGAATCCGAAGCCGAAGGCGAGGGCGAGGGCGAAGCACCAACTGAGGCGAAGAAAGGGAAGCCTGCTACGAAAAGGAAACGTGCAAAGCAACCTGCGGGTGAGGATGCGGAGGATATAGGGTTTGAGAATTCGGGAGATGAGGCGATTATTGGGAAGGGGTTGAAGAAGCAGAGGAGGCGGCGGAGGAGGGGGGAGGAGGAGGAGGAGGATGAGGGGGGGGAGGGGGGGTTTGTGAAGACGAGGAGGATGGCTGCTGCTGCGTAAGTTCTGCTCTTGTGGGATAAGCCGTGGTGCGGGAGATGGATAGTGCTAACTAGATATAGAGAGGAAGAGCGCGCACCACTTGCAGATACGAAAAATGCGACTGTAGATGTCGACGCGCTATGGGCATCCATGGTATCCGGATCACCCAAACAACCCACCGAACACACCCCCCTACCTCCCTCCGACACCCAAGCCCTCGACACCGTCGGCCCGGTATCAAAAACCGCCGCGGCGGCTGCGTCGGCCCTCACGACACTCCCGGGCCCGAATGGGGATGACACAGTGACAATCCAGCGCACCTACAATTTCGCGGGCAAAGTGCACACGGAAACAAAAATCGTCCCCCGCGACTCCGCCGAAGCACGGCTGTACCTCGCCTCCAACCCCTCCCCCACCACAGACGCGCCCACATCCACCTCCCCCCCTAGGCGGCCCACCAAACTCGCGCGGCGCTCTATGTTCGAACCCGTCATCGATACTGGGCCGCCGCGATCGGATTTAAAGTTGGGAGTAGGGATGATACGGGAGAGATTGGTAGCGCAGCAGGAGGTGGAGAAGGGGAGGAAGTTGAATACGGTTGAGAAGAGTAAGATGGATTGGGCTGGGTTTGTGGATAAGGAGGGGATTAGGGAGGAGTTGGAGGTTGCGGAGAAGGGGAAGGGGAGTTATTTGCAGAGGAAGGAGTTTTTGGAGAGGGTGGAGGGGAAGAGGGAGGAGGTGCGGAGGGCCACTGTTGGGAAGTTGTAGGGCGTTGGTTAGAGGGTGAGTGGGGTGGGTTTGGAGTTGGAGTTGGGGTTTGGGGGGTTGCATTGGGGGTGGGGGTTGAATGTGGGATTATGGGTAGAAATGTATATTTATAATACGAAGAGTTTGCTACACTTGAAGGAGACAATTACATATGAACGGAGTCGTTATAATATGTTCACCTATGCCCCAGGGGCGGCAACTTCAGCCTCGCCACAAGGCTCGCGCACAGACCACATCTCACAAAAAATAATTACTCACCTCGGCCACTCCAAAAATCCTCAAGGTCTCGAAACCCTCACCCCTCCCTCCAACTCTCTTCCCGGTTCCAACAGTGGCGTCCATTCCAAGAATCCTCAGCGCCTGTGCAAGGCGCATCCTCTCCTCCAGCACGCTACGATCCACCCGAACAATGGCAACTGCAACTACCAACGGCACGCGCGGCGATGCGACGCCGGCGGAGTCGATGCAAACACCCACCGAAACCACCACCGCCGCAGAATCCCCCAAGCCGACGAAACTCCATGGCCGCGCCTTCTACGAAAGTATAGGCAGTCCCAAGTTTGTCCTCGCTCCCATGGTTGACCAATCTGAATTCGTAAGCCCCCCCATTCCTCCCCAAACATCACCAACCAGCCAGCTAACTCCCCCACCAGGCCTGGCGCATGCTCACCCGCACCTACATGACCGCCTCAAGCACCAAAGACCTCCTCGCCTACACCCCCATGCTTCACGCGCGCCTCTTCACCACCACCGAAAAATTCCGCTTCAACCACTTCCAACCCACTCGCTCTGGCCTCCCGACCGTTCCTACCTCCGCCCCTCCTGTTTCGTCGACAGACACCTACCTCGACGGACACCCCTCTATCGACCGCCCGCTCTTCGTGCAGTTCTGCGCGAACACGCCGGAGGATCTGCTGGCGGCCGCGCAGTACGTGGCGCCGTTTTGTGATGCGGTGGATTTGAATCTCGGGTGTCCGCAGGGGATTGCGAGGAAGGGGGGGTATGGGGCGTTTTTGCAGGAGGATCAGGAACTTATTTATAAGTTGATCAATACACTACATACCGGCCTCGACGTGCCGGTGACGGCGAAGATACGCGTGCTTGAGACGCGTGAGGAGACGTTGGCGTATGCGGAGAAGGTTTTGAGCGCGGGGGCTAGTATATTGACTGTTCATGGGAGGCTGCGCGAGGCGAAGGGACATAAGACAGGATTAGCGGATTGGGCGGCGATTCGACACCTTAGGGATAATCTGCCGAAGGAGACGGTTATCTTTGCCAACGGGAATATCCTCTCCCGCGGCGACATCGAGAGGTGTCTTGAAGCCACAGGCGCGGATGCCGTGATGAGCGCCGAGGGGAACTTGTACGATCCTGCTATTTTTGCCGAGGCGCCCGAGGTGGGGGAGGAGGGGTGTATGTATTGGAGGGGGAGGGATGGGAAGGGGGGGTTTAGGATGGATGAGGCGCTGAGGAGGTATTTGGATATTCTGTATAAGTATGTGCTTGAGCAAGCGCCGCCGGCGAGGAAACCGCTTTATATCCCTGGCCAGGCAGCGGCGGGTGCGAGGGATCCTCCGACGCCTGAAGCGAGCGATGAACCGCCGCGCAAGCGCGCGAAGACTGGTGCTGAGCCTCCTGCTGAAACCACGGCGGTGGAGGCAGCGACTGAAGCACAGCCTACCGCGGCACCAACTACGCAGACGCCAAATAAGAAGCAGAAAAACGCAAACAAGAAACAGAAGCGCGAAAAAACATCTAGCCCCAACCTCCTCGCCATGCAACCTCACTGCTTCCACCTCCTGCGCGCGCTCGTCTCGAAACACCACTCCGTGCGCGACGCCCTAGCGCGGAGTCGCCCGGGGGACATGGAGGCGTATGAGGGGGTTCTGGCGATGGTGGAGCGGGTTGTGGAGGAGGGGATTAGGGAGTACGAAGCTACGGGGGGGGCGAGCTATCATGATGCGCTGGATAAGGAGGGGGAGGGGGACGGAAATGTGCTGTCGGCGGTGGGGTATGAGGGGTTAGAAACGGAGGGGGAGGTGGAGGGAGGGAAGGCGGTGGAGTATGAGACGAGTGTTAAGGCGGTGAGGGAGTGTAGGAGGCCGTTTTGGGTGTGTCAGCCGTATGTGAGGCCGTTGCCGATGGAGGCGATGGCGAAGGGGAGCTTGACGATGAGTAAGAAGGAGTTGGCGAAGTTGAAGGAGGGGGAGAAGGAGGTGGTGATGGGGATGGGGGCGAGGAGGAATGATGGGAGGCAGAATGGGGGAGTGAAGCAGGGGGAGGAGAAGAAGGAGGAGAAGCTGGAGGAGAAGAAGGAATTGTAATGGGATTTTCATGTGGTTGGTAGTGGTTGGTGGTGGTGGTGGAAGAATAGGATCTTCATGTGGTTGTTGACGGTGGTGGTGGTGTGTAGATACGTGGGGGAGTGGAACGTGACCCCATGGGGATGGGATTTTTAGTTAGAGGTGGCCTGGGAGGGTGTGGTGGGGGTTGCGGATCGTGTGGAGGTTGGGTAGGGATGTGTTCCCAGTTGTCGTACAGTACGGCGACGCCGAGTGCGAGTGCGACGACAGACGGCAGACAGATAAGACGTGGATTCAAGCGCTGAAATTCACAAGGGAGGGGGAGATAAGAAGGAGGGCAGACAAGACAGAATATAGACGGATGGGAATTTCTGTAACATCTAACCAACCCATAGACACATATACAAATTATTGTACGTAAACAACTAGCGCAGCACCGGCAGATGCCACTGTTGATCTTTGTTCAACGTCGACGATCCCAGACAAATTACATTGGAGGAGGAAAGGAAAACAACATGCATAGGTGATCACGTGTCCATGTTCCTGAACCGTACGCACAGTAGTAGTTTACAGCTGCTGAAGGTGGAGATACAAATCTTACCCAATTTTCTCCATACAATACAGGGTACAGCAGCACGTCTTTGCAAGTATCCCCAGCTAGCTCGGTGATAGTGGAGTTGTTTTTTCCTTACCAGTGGAGTTTAGCGTCATCACGGTCGCCCCTTCCCAGTGTCAGAGACATACCAAGGACATCCTAACACCCGCCAAAACATACCAAGATGCTATGCACCTTCCATGTTCCGCGTTTGCCCCCCACTATGCTAGGAGGCCTACGTAGGGGAGTACGAGGATAAGCGATGGGACTGGCGATGAGCTCGTGTGATGGCCTCGGTTGGTTGGTTGGTTTACTTATGGGTTTGTTTGGGGGACTATCTATGGGCTCGTGGCTTTCTATGGGCTCGTGGCGTTCTATGGGCTCGTTCGGGTGACTATGGGACTCTCTGTGGCCTCTGTATGGTTTACTATGGGTTTGTTTGGCTTTTCTATGGGCTCGTTTGGCTTCTATGGGCTCGTTCGGCTTACTATGGGACTCTCGGTCGTTTCTCTATGGCTAACTTCTGTACTTGCTCTAGGGGCTAATCTTTACTTGTTCTGCGTGCTCCAGTGTCTAAGAACCCCCCTAACGACTTCCTAAGTCTCCTAAACACCTTCTAAAGTCTCCTAAGAACTCCCTAAAGGCCGCCTAAGGGCCGTCTATAGATCACCTAGGCATGATTTACGACGATCCATTCCCAACCGATGCTCTCCCTATGGACAACCCAGACATTATTTATGGGCAGACATGGTCAGTTCAACGGTTAACCTATACCTTCTCTTCCGGCCTATACGACTCTCAACGGCCTCTACGGCCTCTCTATGGACAACCTCAAGAACCCAAACATCTACCCTCGAATCTCTCTACCTTCTCTATGGACAACCCATACTTTTACAATATTCAAAAGTGTAAAATGTACATCACCTGTGGATTATCCTTCGACGATCTATGGATTAATCTAAATCCTCCCTATTCTCCCCCCACGTGAAATGCGGCATAATGTCGCTATACCATGCCACTCTATAGGGCATAGTCGTCTTCTCGGCGCTGCCTTGTACTTATCTTAACCATACAGATAGCCTCGTCATTGCCCGAAATGGCTTGGTCACCTTTTTCCCTCGGACATTATCTTTTAGCCCGCTTTCACTTTTTCGTCCATTCCACTTTCCATGTTTTCAATCAACCACCCATGCCAGCCCGCTATTTTTCCCTTCAGAGCTTTCCTTGGCGTCGCCGTCAGATCTTTTGTACCATGTTCCTCTTCTGCCTCATTTCTTTTCCCTTTCCTTTCTTTTAATCTACTGTTTTTTTGAATATCAAAACCCTCTATTTATGTCCAAATCCACATAGATTTCCTGGAAAACTCCCGCTCGTGTTGCGCATTCACAACAGCCCGCCAAGATGGCCAAGGATACAGCACCCGGTGATGTCATCTCCCCGTCCGCCGGTAGCTCAGACGGTCACATCGTCCGCCACCGCACCCGTAGCATCGGACATCTCTCCACCAACAACGGCCCCGACGGGGCACGCTCGCTCTCCAACGACTCCCAGGACGGCGCCGACAGCGACGATGCCCAGCTCCAGGCCGAGTTCGGGTACAAGCCCGTCTTCAAGCGCGAGTTTGGCTACCTCTCCACCTTTTCCTTCGCCGTGAGCATCTCGGGCCTCTTCGCGACCACAATGACTACCTACTCCTACCCGCTGGCTGCTGGCGGCGCTGCGGCGGCGGTGTGGTGTTGGTTGATCGCGGGGTCCGGGTGCATGTGTCTCGCCTTCTCTGTCGCGGAGCTGGTCTCGGCGTACCCTACGTCTGGCGGACTGTACTACACGGTGTCGCGCCTGGCGCCGAAGAAGTACGTGCCGGTCATATCGTGGATCACGGGCTGGATCAATCTGCTCGGTCAGATTGCTGGTGTGGCCAGTTCAGAGTACGGTGCCGCGCAGATGCTGCTCGCGGCCGTGGCTATGGGCACGGATTTCAAGTATGAGATTACGGAGAATACGACGGTTGGCGTTATGGCTGCATTGACCGTTCTCACGGGTCTGGTCAATTCGCTTTCCACGTACTGGATTGAGAAGATGACCAAGGGTTATGTTATCTTTCACATTGCTGTGCTGGTGTCTTGCTGTATTGCTCTGCTCGTCAAGACGGAGAACAAGAACACGGCGAGCTTTGTCTTCACAGAGATCGAGTCGAGCTCTGGATGGCAGCCAAAGGGGTTCTCATTTTTGTTCGGCTTCCTCTCTGTCGCCTGGACCATGACCGATTACGACGCCACGGCGCATATCACTGAGGAGATCTCGAACCCCGCCAAGAAAGCGCCCTGGGCCATCTCCGCCGCCATGACATTCACCTACATCGGCGGCTTCCTCTTCAACATCGTTCTCGGCTACTGCATGGGCCCCTCCTCGGCCGACATCCTCAGCGCCTACCAGCCCGTCGCCATGATCTTCTACAACTCCCTCGGCAAGGCCGGCGGCATCTTCTACACCGTCTGCGGCTTCATCATTATCAAGTTCGTGTGCTTCACGGCCCTCCAAGCCACAGCTCGCACCTTCTTCGCCTTCTCCCGCGACCGTCTCATCCCCTTCTCCCCCGTCTGGACAAAGGTCAGCTCCATCTCCGGCACGCCGCTCACCTCCGTCTGGCTCAGCGTCGTCCTCTGCATCCTGATCAACCTCATCGGACTCGGCTCCTACACCGCCATCTCGGGCGTCTTCAACGTCTGCGCCATCTCCCTCGATATCTCCTACTGCATCCCCATCGCCTGCAAGCTGATCTTCGGACAATTCAAGCCAGGCCCCTGGCACATGGGACGGTACTCAAGGTACATCAATATCTGGGCGTGTATCTGGACCGCGTTCGTGAGCGTCATCTTCGTGCTGCCGACCGCGTACCCTGTTGCGGCTGATACGATGAACTACGCGTGCGTCTTCTTGGTTGCGATCTTCTTCTTCGCGTACTTGTACTGGATTATGAGGGGCAAGCAGTTCTATACTGGTCCGATTGTGGAGGGCTATGAGGCGCCGCAGGTGGCGGGGGAGGGGGAGGAGCGGGAGAGTGGGTTAAGTGGGGAGTTAGCGGGGGAGAAGGTGGGGGAGAAGGTGGCCTAGGGGGGGTTGATGGAGAGGTTGGTCCGTGCGTTGGGCTTTGGCTAGTTGTGGTGGAAAGGGGGTCTCGGAGAGCGAGGCTTGTGTGTTTATATTTATTCCCCTGTATGATAGATTAGGTTTACGAATTGAGTTTCATTGCCATCAATGGGGTAGAAAAGAGGTGTTTGTGCTGCACATGAATCGGAATTTGGAATAGCAAAGCTCACAGGATGGTTTACCCATGTTATGTGTATGTCGACTATGGTAAACGATGGCGAAGAACCTACCTACTTACCTAGAAGTGTGAACATAGGACAGAGACGAAGTGAAGGATGACATGTGAGGTGGTGAGAAAGACGACGATGAGAAATAAGAGAGGTGGTGAGAAGTAAGCGGGCGGCGAGAAAGGCGAGGACGGTTGGGAGAAAGAGGGTCGACGACGCATGCTTCAGCGGGTTCTTGGGCATCGGCGCCGTTGGCTATGCATGCGCGCACAAGGGGGATGTTCGGGAGGGGAGATGCATGATACTACTTACCTTACTACCATCAATATTCCACAGCTTTAATCTTACTCTCATCAACATGCCACATCCCCACCACCAACTCCCTCGCCTTCTCCAAATTCACCCCCTCAATCCGTCTCTGCACCTCCTCCCTACTCCTCTCCACCTTCTCCGCCACCCCCTCCCACTCCAATCTCTCTCCTCCCTCTAACTCAACACCCACCAACTTTCCCCCTCTCTTCCTCACAACGCCATCAACAATCACCGTTTCCACATCCCGCACACCACTATGTCCCACAACAGCAACAACAGGATCCCAAGAACTCACCCCCGCCATCCCTGGAGTCCTTCCGTCGACCACCACTAGATCAGCTAAATACCCCTCCCTGATTCTCCCAATCTTATCACCCATCCCCACCGCCCTCGCACCGCCCACAGTGGCGAGATTAAACGCTTCTCTTGCTCCTCCTACCAGTTTCTGGGGAAACTCACCTTTGTCTAATAACGCGGCGTTGGTCTCTTGTCTAGCAAGCAACAGTGCAGCACGCGCTTCGGAAAGGATGCTAGACCCGCAGAAGGCATGACTGTCTACCCCCAGTGAACCATGGACGTCAGAGCGCAGCGCAACAGGCCATCCAAGCGCAGTCTGCGCCTCTGAAGACGGTGTAGAGGAGACATGAACTTTAGCAGCGTGAAGCACGGCGTGTTCAGCAAACGTAAGATTCGTAGCATGAGACAAAACAATGTCCGGCCCCAGTAACCCATAAGAATCCAAAAGTTCCACCGTAGACGCCTTCCCAAAAACAGGATTCTTCGCAACATGCGAAGTAATAACCTTCACCCCCGCCCTCCGGAACCGCTCAAAGATCCCGATGACAACTTCCTGAGGGAGGAAGTAGAGGTCAAAACCGAGACCGATGGTGAGGCGGCCGTTGGCGTGGGGTTGGGACTTGGCAAGGGACTCGAGTTGATCTAGGGACCAAGAAGAGAGGATATCGGATGAGGGGACGACGGTGGAGACGGTCCAGGAGGTTAGGGGGACGGAGGGTGTGGCGTAGGCGTAGGTGGAGCGGAGACCTGAGGCGGTGGTTGCGGATAAGCATTGAGTTGCTGGGGGATGTTAGTGTGTGTTGCGAGGTAAAAAGGGGAAGGAGCGAAGGGGTATGGCTGAAAGGGCAGGAACGAGGGAGATGAGGTAAGAGTAACTGAGGTAAGAGCGAAGGAGTCAAGAACGAGTGAGGAAAGAACGAGTGGAGAAAAATGAGGTGGCAGGAGCGAGGAACAAGAGCGTGGGGACAAGAATGAGGCAGGGGCAATCGGGTGAGAGCTAGGAGGCAAGAATGAGGGGGGAAGAGCGAGGAGGCAGGAGCGAGGGCATAGGAGTTTGAAGAGGCATGTGCGATAGGACAAAAGTGAAGAGGCAGGAGCAAAGAAAAAGCAAGGCAAGAGCGACTCACCATGTTCGGGGGTGTAGTTGCCGTGCGAGTGGTCAAGGACATATGTGGTTCCCGCATCGATGGCTTCAAGACAGCCGGCTAGTTGGCCCCAGAACATGTCCTCTGGCGTGAAGTTGTAACTCTGCATATTTCCTACTCCATCCCGAGATTAGTATTTTGCTCATCATGTGGGGATTATGATGCTACAGTACCTGCCACCATATAGTCCAGCAGCGTCTCATCCATATGCCGCCCCTTCAACTGCGTCTGCCATAGGTGATGATGCGTATCAATGAAGCCAGGGGAAACGATCTTGCCCTTGCAATCGATAATCGTAGTGCCTTGTGGCACCTCTATACCCGTCGCGATTTTTGCAATCAGGTTCCCTGTGACGAGAACATCAGTGTCACTGAGTGCAGTCACATAGTCTTCATCGTCGTGGTATAGAACCGTTCCGCCCTGAAGGAGGATACTTGAGGTCATGGTGAATGGTTTATACTATATGTAACCTTATAATTGATTCAATTTACTTCTTAGTAGCGGGCTTCCAAGGGGACTTTATATACGGAACGGTTACACGTAAGGGACACTCCATGTTCCTTCGTGTTATACAGATATTGATACAGGTATTATATTTGCTGACAAGGGATTAATCCGCCAGGGCGGCGGAGCCGATGAGTATATTCACATGCCTTCAAGATTTGATTCAGTTCTATGACGAGTCCATTTGACAGTGACAGGGCTTTAAACTAGTAAAGTCGTGTTCTGGGCCCGTCGAATGCCAAAGCTGGGCCGGCAATAGGAATCTCGGAATTCATGTCTCCAGTTTTCTGTCAAATGGATTTGATGTAGCTGGTAGATTTCAATCGGAATTTTGAGCTGTGAAGCCCGAAAGGCCGAGTGTTGGGTAAGCTGAGCGGAATTAAGTGCTCCTAGGCCCCGAATTCCGATGCCGATCTGATGGAAATTGTTATTAACTTCGGAATATCCGGCTTATAGAAAAGTTTAAAAAGCTCTATATACTCTTCGTTTGCCAGATTCCGGTCTTCAGCGACCCCTTGGATCCTTATAAGCGGCTTTGGATCGCATACGTCAACACAGCCCTTGGAGTTCCGCAATTCCGCAACTCGTTCTCATCACGCCATCCTTAGACCGTTTTAAAGCAACATGCTTCCATGTTCCTTTATCAAAAGGGAAGGTGACAGAAAAATAAAAAGGAGATGGGAATAGATCTGTATATCGAACATTCAGCTTCAACAATCCGAGGTACTCTATCTATATAGTCCTATATAGTCGGAGTCTGATACTGTCCGTCCCGCCCGGATTAGAGTTCGACGGGAATAGGGAGGCTCGGCCCCGTCTGGTAACTCTGGTTGAGTGGGGATGGCACATCACCGACACGTGACAAATTGCCATTGTCGGCGCAGCGCAGGAGTGAAGCACGAGATCAAGTTGTCTTAATCCACTTTTCCCGGAACTCGTCGCATTCGGTACTGCACATCAAAATAAAGTACGTATATTGTGGTACGGGGAGTAGCATCAAGCCGCACTAAGGCGTCAACATCAGCCTACCACATTCTGACTTTTGCTTACTTTGGTAGCTGCGACCCTGTATAGCATCCCAAGCTAAACCCTTCTCCTCCAATCTCAGTGTTCTCAATTCGGCCTTATACATTTGGAGTCCCACGATACCTCCCCCCTCTTCCACCCTCCCCCCACTGTCTTGTCCAATTATGTGGTCCTCAAGGGACCAGCCCTCACTGGCAGCACACCCTTTTTCAGATGGTGTCATTGCAGGCATAAAGTAACGATCATTATGATCTGCCATTCAGTCGGTAGCTTGATATAGATTCCATATATATACCAGCACATAACCCGGGAGGGTTAACAATGGTCCCCCATTTCTTGCTTTTTCATTCTTTGAACCTCCCGCAGCAACTTGAATCTCGAAGAAGCTATACCCTTCAGATAGGACGTCATGGGGGAGGTAGAAGAAACTCCATCTCCATCGCCATCGCAGCGTAAAGCAGATTTGTCCCAGCCAGCATACGATGACTCCAAGCTTGAGGCCGGAGTGCTCTCGGTGACCGAGAGCGATACCTTTCGTAACGCGGCAGATGAAGCGGTTGCGGCAATCCCCAAGGGCACAATTGACCCGGTCTATGAGGCGAAAGCTCGTGTCTTGAACCATGCGGTAATTTAGCCAGAGGCCTTTTCCCAAGCACTCCGTCATTATCGGGCAGCTCATGGCTCAGATACTTATTGCTCCCAGATCCAAGAAATCGGGATGGGGTGGTATCAGTGGCAGCTATTCGTCGTCGTGGGGTTTGGCTGGGCAAACGACAATCTGTGGCCCATTGTGACCTCTTTGATATGTAAAGATTCCTCGCTCAATTCAAATCTTCTGTTTCCCCATGCGTTTCTTGCAGTAATGTTAACAGCCTGCAGTCACTCCGATCAAAAACGAGTTCAATCCGTCCAAACCACCGCTTCTCAGTCTTGCACAGAATATAGGCCTCCTTGCAGGCGCTATGTTCTGGGGCTTTGGCTGTGACGTCTTCGGCAGAAAATGGGCATTCAACTTGACACTTGGTATCACAGCCGTATTTGGTCTGATCTCAGCAGGGTCCCCCAACTTCGCCTCCATTGGAATCTTTGCTGCCCTCTGGAGTTTCGGCGTTGGCGGCAACCTCCCAGTGGACTCGGCTGTCTTCCTCGAATTTCTCCCAGGATCACATCAATATCTCCTGACAATTCTGTCGATTTACTGGGCAATTGCTCAGGTCGTGGCTACTCTGGTTGCCTGGCCGCTTCTGGGGAGCCACACATGTGAAGAGAAAACAGTGTGCCATAGATCTGATAACATGGGCTGGAGATACTTCGTCATAGTGATGGGGGCGATATCAATGGTTGAGTTCTTCGTCCGCTTTGGCTTCTTCACGGTCTTCGAGTCCCCGAAGTACCACATGGGTAAGGGAAATGATGAGGAGGCCGTCCGGATTGTCCATGAAGTCGCCAAAAGAAATGGAAAGGTTTCCAACCGTAAGCACCTACAACCAGCTACAACAGTTTCCTAACTAACACTCACAGTTACTCTCGCCGACCTCCAAGCCTGCGACCCGACTGGTGCTGGTGCACAAACCGACGCAGCCGCAGCCCTAAAGCGTAAACTTGAGAAGTTCAACCTAACGCATGTGCGCGCCCTCTTTGCAACTCCAAAACTGGCACTATCAACGTCCTTGATCATTTTGATCTGGGCCTTTATTGGATTGGGATACCCTCTCTACAACGCATTCCTGCCATACCTACAAGCAATCCGCGGCGCTGAGTTTGGTGACGGGTCCACTTACCTCACCTACCGTAACTCGCTCATTGTGGCCGTCCTCGGTATCCCTGGCGCTCTGATAGGCGGTGCCCTCGTTGAGGTCCGCGGCTTTGGGAGGAAGGGCACACTTTCTGCCTCAACAGTTCTCACGGGGGTTTTCCTGTACGCCTCAACCACGGCAGTGACATCCAACGCGCTGCTAGGTTGGAATTGTGCCTTTAACTTCTTTTCGAATATAATGTTCGCAGTGCTTTATTCGTATACACCAGAGGTACGTAGCCCATATTGATTTTGGAATAACATCAACTAACAGGATGAAGGTATTCCCCACAAAAGACCGCGGGACAGGCAATGCGCTCACTGCGACGGCGAATCGGATCTTTGGGATCATGGCTGTAAGTTCTATATTTATTTTGTCTGTGGCGAAAGTCGGTTTGAGAATGAGATGCTAACATTAACATTAAGCCCATCATTGCAATGTATGCAAACCTGGAGACGTCAGCTCCGGTGTATACCAGTGGAGCTTTGTTCATTGCGGCAGGACTGCTTGTTATCATCTTGCCCTTTGAATCACAAGGGAAATCGAGTTTATAACTTGTATCTAGTAACGGAGGTCTAGCTAGAGTGTTGACCATTAGGTGTACTGATGCTGAATATTGAGTAATATATAAAACCTATTATAAGGTTATAAATGCAGAATTATTATTTTATACTTGCTTTAGCCAAATAAATTTGTTGGCTTAAATTTGTATATATGATAGTGGCCGACAATCTAATATTAGTTTGCCTCCTCTTGGCTCGCATCCTTCACGGTAGTTGGGCGGAGGCTTATAATCCCGATCTCGCCAACTTGTCAATCACCTTCTGAACACCACACAATCTCACAACCTATCATGTGCCATCAGGTTTAGGCTTATACGACAGCGAGGCTGAGGACCAAACACGCTGAAGTTTCCACCAGAAAGGCCTCATTCCTTTCATCTCCCAAGATGAAAGGACTGGGGGAATTACTCGGAAAGGCTCGTTTGTCAGAAACAGCCACCACCCCAGACACCTCAAGCCTCCCCACATTCACACCCTTCCCCCGCCTTCCCACCGAGCTCCGCACCGCCATCTGGCGCGCCGCCCTACCATGTAACCTCCACATCACCGAGCTTCTCATCTACAACAAAAGCATCGCACCCCATCTTATTGCCCACACGATCTTCAGCGTCAACCGTGAGTCCCGCGCCGAAGCATTCCGGGTCCTGCTGAACGCCCCACCACCGTACAGCTTGCCCGCCGACCCGGGACAAGACATCATTTCCCTTGATCCGCGGATATGGAATGACCTACCTCACATGTCCGTCGGCAAGGCGCCTATACGCGCCGCTGTCAGCGATGTCGATCGTGCCTACCGATTCGTCGCTTCGACGCTGGTGGATAGCGAGGGAGGTCGGTTCGACAGCCTGCCAGTTGACATGCGGTTCTATTCAGCGTATGGCCACAACAATTTACCTGCGGGCCCGCGGGACTTCCAAGGTAGGCCGCTGAGGATGGATTTTTTTTGTGTTGCGAGGAAGTTAGGGAGGGGGAGGGGGGGGTTGGGGGGGGGATTCTATGTGAACAGTGCGGATGGTGGGGACGGATTGGTGGGGATAAGTGGGAGGAAGGACCAGGGGTCGAAGAAGCCTGTTTTGCGGGTTGTGTATGTGTTATAGTGAGATGCTTGGGTGGTACATGGGGGGACTTCGGGGAGCAGGCAGGGGAGCGCTGCAATTCGGGCGTGCCGAATTCTTCATTTGTTAGCTTTGGCATCCTATTTTTCACACCTATCCATGGGCAAGGTACTATCCAGTTTGCAACGTATCTTTTGGTTGGGAGAACGGCAGGGGATAGTAAGCAGGTGACTTTCTAATATGCTGGCAACCGGAACGGTCTTATATTTCATGCCTGCACAAGAGATGGTGCATCAGCGCAGATAAACGTTGGATTTCGAAAATATAGCTATATATCTCTATGATCCGTCCGAACAATCCATTTCGTTGCTTCATGATTGGGGTATAACCAAGAGTTTTTAGCTCAGTGGTGTTCTTGGAAATTGTATCCAGATCCTCCTCTTCTTCGCCTCTTAGAGGCTGGCGGCCGTGTAGCTGAACTTCCTTTTTTTTTCCGCTTCCGAAAGAGAAAAATGCGCAGACTGCCTCTCTCATTCTCATTAAATAGCCCTTTCTTCCTTCTTCCAACCTCTGAAGGACTTGGTCAGGGACCGGGTCTGCCTTCGAGCCATCGCGTCTTCATCGTGTCCCGTCCCCCCTCCTATCTCCTCAGGCAACTACAGACGTTTCCCTACACCTGGAAGAATTTGAGGCTGATATCTGCTTTGCCGCTGCTCTCTCCTTCTATTCCTCTCTGCCATTCTTTGACTCTCGTGAGCTCCCCTGCATTTGGGGCCTCTACCAATCGCCATGAGGCGATGGCGTGGAGGAGGGCGTGGGGTTGCTGACGAACGCTATGGAATTTCCATGGGACTTCATTCCCTCCACTTTAGGTGCTGCACGACACGCCCACTGGACAGTTCCAGTCAATAGCATTGTAATCCCACCCATAACAGCCGTCGCAAAGTTGAAGGCCCGAGGCCAGAAGCTGCTATATAGCGCGCGGGACTCCATTGTGGATGCATTCAGCGTTCGACGCTCCAGATTCGTCGTGAATAGACATTAGAAGGACGTAGTACCCAGAAATAAGTACCAAATCGAAATATCGTATCAGAGGCTGAAATCGACATTGCCCAAGGACGCGACAATTTTGTCTTCGTCGGTTACGTGTGTTGCTGATTGCGTTGTGGACGGAGAAGATTCGATGACTTCACCGCTGGTTCTAGTAGTGTTATGTCCAGTACCATTGCTACTAGTAGCAGTAGCATTGGTTCTCTGTCTCAGTTCTTCCCCCGAGGCAGTGTCTATCACAGTGACGTTCGCCACAGTAGGGTTCGCTTGGCCCTGTCTGATATTCTGAAAGGACCATGTAGGCTCAAAGCTCTGAGATTTCCAGGCGTGGCCGACTCGCTCGTACATTTCATCGATTTGCTCGAGTGTGAGCTTGGACGTCTCATACACCATGATCCAGACGAAGAAGAATGCGAAGATGCAACAGACTCCCCAAACATAGAATATCTGAGGACCCAAATCCAATGCACCTGGGCCGCTTCCTAGAAGGTAAGGGGTCGTGTATGCGATTATAAAGTTTAACAGCCAATTCGACGAGGTAGAAATTGACATCGATTTGGCGCGGACTTTCAGTGGGAAGATCTCTGCAGTAACGACCCAGCATACTGGACCCCACGTGGAGGCGAAGCAGAATAGGTAAATGCATATGAACGCAGCATACAACTTATTCGAAGTATCCGTACTCAAGCTGTGGACTGAGCCAACTGATGCCACAATCAGTTGGCAAACAGCCATACTGACAGCGCCGACCATCAGCAGTCGGCGTCGACCGAGCGACTCGACAAAAACGATGCCAGGAAGTGTTCCAATAACATTGACAGAGTTTGCGATCACCTGAAATAAAAACCCTGAACCGATGACTTTGTCGAAGAACGAGTTTCCAAAGTAGAAGATGAAGTTACAGCCACTCAATTGTTGCAGCATGAAAAGACCACAGCCGGTAAGAAGGCGCCGACCGAGGTGGGGCGTTCCGAAGAAGACGTCGCGGTAGGTAGATGGGCCAAGGGAAACCTCGTAGGCATGGTTCGCTTCAATTTCCGCAATCTCGTCAACCAGAGCCGGGTGCGTGATATCTAATCGTCGAATTCGTGAAAGTGACGCTGCTGCTTCGGCATGGAGGCCACGCTTGATGAGGTATCTCGGCGTTTCTGGCAGGACGATCATGCCCAGTACGAGAATCGCTGCCCAAACGTACTGTAGCGCCACGGGGATTTGGAACGACGCAGCGGTGTCGATTCTGTTGGAGAAATATTCGACTATTGCTGCAATGAGCAGCCCCACTGTGATCGCCAGTTGATATGTGCAAACTAAGACTCCGCGAACCCATTTCGGTGCCATCTCGGATTGATATAGAGGAACGATGACAGAGATCATGCCCACGCCTACTCCAGCGACAAATCTAGTTGTAGTCAGTATTGTCTGATCATATATTCGATTGATGTCACATACCTTCCGGCCACATACAATGGGAGGGCCATTGACGCGACTTGAAGAGTGACTCCAATTGCGAAGACGCCCACGGCAATCATCAGAGCACGTCGGCGACCAAGCTGATCGGCAAGCGGAGCTGCACCGAGCGCGCCGACAAATGTTCCAGCGCTGAGTATAGACACGACCTCGGCCGTTTGGGCGGGAGTCAAGGCTTTCCTAGAGGGGTTCTTGGGATCGACTTGTGTCGCGAATTGATTGAGCCACCAGGGTGTCGCGATGATGCCGCTGATGATCCTGCAGGCCCCAAGTTAGCCATGCGTCCCTCATAAGCATTCAAGGTATATCGCAAGCTGGTGTCTTACCCAGTATCGTAACCATAGAGGAGACCACCGAACGTGACGAAGAGGCCGATCAGGATAGCCGGTGCAGTCGTGCCGGCGACGTTGTCTGGTTTTTTCCAGAACATAGCGACTGCAAGACCCTGCCTCCAGCGGAGGGCCCAGGTCGTTGTTGTTATCAGCTTCTGGCGGTTTTTCGTAGATGACAAGAGTGAGGTTTGTTTAGTTGTCGGTGATCTGCAGATGATTAAAGTGCGGAGAAAGAAACATCATTGGATGAGACGAGGTGTAATCGAGCAACAAGTGGGCACTTGGCGATAGCAATGGTGGAGCCAAAAATTTGGGGTTTCTTAAGGTTCTGGGGTGGGTGGAGGAAGGATGTGGAGGTGTGGAGTATAAGTAGATTAGTACTCGTAAGCGCGGACACCAAGACTTTTGGGCCAATGTTTATCAATCAAGGGGGGGAGACCGAGGAGAGTAACACGAATAAACAACTGCCAACAGCAACAATAACAGTAATGTCTCCCTGTAATAAATGATGCTGAGACAGAGAAGTATGATATACGCCTGGTACATAAGAGGCTATTGTGATATTTATGCGTCAATATTGATTTATTGTATAGGCTTTTGCTGCTTCATAAATGCGGTAGATTTTGAGAACAGAACTCTCGACATGTGAGATCTTGAAGGAACTAACAACCAAGTACGACAATAATATGAGCATGAAAGAGAGAGCTTCTCCTCGATGCCTCGGCAGCGTACAGCAAGACAACAATGGACGCAGTATGGTTTGCGAACCGGGGTTTCAATGTGAGGTTTTGAATGGGGTGGCTGATCACTTCGGAATAGAGCCCCCTTGGCTCCTCGGCATTGTACAACAAGACGGCAAGGTGCATCAGAGGCAATTGAATTCCCTATTAAGTTTATAGAGACTGTGTTGCTGAATGAATGCAGGAAGGTTTGAGAACCGGATTTTGACTGCAAGGACTTGCACGGGGCGTCAGCCACCACTGCGACTATATCTACTTGAGCCCCTTCCTTCCGCAACATGGTGTAACCAGACGGCAAGGCACATATATGCGCCAGCACACTCAATCAACCACATACTTTGGCTCTATTTCCTCAGCCTTACAGCTCCTCTTCACAACAACTTGGTCCCAGTCCACGCCATCCAATATTCGCAGATTCACAGGCAATATCTCTGGCCATATGGTCTGTATTGTATCTGGCCAATTTGCCGCTTCTTCCGGCAACCCTTTTTTGCCAATATGGACGGACACGCCACAGATCGAGCAGAACTTGTGCTGCTGGAATTTGCGACCCATCATGTACGCTGTGAGGCTGTTGGTCGGGTCTGAGATGGAGACCTGAGGACGGAGGGGGTAGAAGAAGATTGTGCCATTCTGGAGCAATGTTAGTTGAACAGATTGCGGAAAGACAAAAGTTGAGTAAGGTAGTAATAGCTGCAAGGAGATATAAAATGCGGGGTTGCGGTGTAATAAACAGATACATACCCGCATGCAAATACTGCAATTGCATTCCTGAACATATTCCGTATGCTCGGCGAAGGGACTCCCCGGTCCTCTAATTTCTGGCAGTGTCTGTCCCTTGCTTGGGAGAGGCTTCGCCTTGACCGCCACGGTCACATTGCCACAGTGGCAACTTCCAGTAAAGATGGTCGAATTCTCAATACCGGCAAGGGGCAGGGGGCCCGCGAATTCTTGTGGCTTGTATGCTGGTTCACTTGCAGTGCCATCGTATCTGATATTGTTAGCGGGTGGAACGGTTGCTGGGAGCCAGTGAGAGCTTCTCACGGCTTGTTCTCGAGAGCCCATATATCGACGCCCATCAACGTCCTGGCCTGCAACCACCATTAATCACGCAATAGAATCAGAAGGGCCTTGCGTACATTAATTCCCACATCGATACCCTGGATTTTCCCGTGAGGCAGGCCCAAGACATTGGTCCCGCAAGTTGGGCAGAACTATTGCCGTGAGTTTTGTCATTCTAAAAATTAATTGCCGATGATACCTTGTGAATCATGGAGCCAGCTCCAAAGTCATACGCTTTCAATATTCCACCTCCCCTAACAATATTAAAATGGCTCGTATCTGTAAATATCCATTTGTAGCCATTTTTAAAACAGGTATTGCAGTTGCATTCAATAAAGCTTTTTAACTCGGGGATTTGGATATTGAACTTGAATGCCCCACAGTGGCAGTTGCCGGAATAGGTCTTGAGCTCAGGAGTCTGTTCGGACATTGTCTTATTTAGGAACTGAGTCAGTGATTTTGATAACCTACTTGAACGATGTATGGGAACGACTGCATTTTATAATTCCTGGACCAGTTTTGGGTGCTGATCTCGCGTCGCTAATAGGCAACAACGGTTGCGTGTCGTTGACAACCATTGCCAACCGGCACCTGGTCTAAACGGAATAGGAAGGAATGTTTGTACGTCCCCAAATATTTGAATTGTACAAGTCAACATTTTGTGGTAGTAGAGGAATTGCCCCGCACCCCCAACATGGCCAAGGATAGTAAAAAGTGGCACTAATATTCTTTAGTATATCGAAACTTGGCAAAATTGCACTTGGACCAAAAATTAGCTTAAGGCCAACTGACAATATAATTGTAGAATCCGTATCTAATTATGTAGGAGGTCGTTAAGCATATTTATCAGAAATAGAAGCTCAAGCGCGTTGTGCTGGACCCTACAACGGTGTGACGCATCGCAGGGTATAATTTTCACTACGCCCACCGGCCAGATCGGGCAACGGCGTGGACGGCACCGACGCTGCTTGGACCAGAACATAAATATAGAGTACGACTATTTGACCTTCAAACATCGAAACCATTACTTGCTTCTACCAACCTCGCTCCTCTGTGCCATTTCAATACGGTCTTAATGTCGCAAATCAGTCTCAACATACCGCTAATCCGGAATGCCACACCCAAAGAACTTGTGTCATATCTCGACGAACTTAGACAAAGTCATCCAGACGTTAGCGTTTGCCAGTCACTCTTCGAAGCCGTAGATCACGAGTACTTGTCGCCGCTCATCTTTAATGCCTTTATTCCCCGGGTTTCATGTCTTGATGCTATCGTATTATGCATTCACCGCGGGCCATCACGAGTAATTCGGAAACAAGGCATCAAACAATTCGGCAAAGAACTAGCTAAGCTTGAGCAATGGGAATCAGCGTGGAGAGCGATAGGCGGAACGAATGGGCTCATCGACCTCTTCGCAAGGGTATCCGTCGCAGAGGTGAAGGAACTTGCTAGAGCAATTGGATCCTGCCATCGCCCTCACCACAAGGCTGCTGCGCGAGAAAGAGCTATTGAGGGCTTGCTACATGCACTGCTTCCATCGCACTATCCTGGATCGAAGCTCCAAACACATGACAAGCGTCCCATTACACACCACTATGCTCGGATAGTACCCGCATGTTCAGTTGAGTTTGTGAAGGAGCTACTTGACGCCAAAGATCAGTCAAATCCTCTTTATGAGCATCTGTCTTCAGGCCGTTTGATAAAGACCCACGGCGAGCTGCTGCAGAAGCGAGTATTCGATGGTATCTTTGGCCCTGGGAAAGAGGACGCCCATATTCGCCAATATCTCGAGGCTTTCGTATATAGCCAACCGCCGAAGCCTAGCCCAAATTCGAACGTGTCAGTATCGATGGCCTTTGCGACTAAAATATTGCAATCTAGGCTAGAGGATATTAAAAACGATAAGCATTGGCCCTCCCAGGTCTCCGAAGCTGACGTGCTATTCTCCCTTCTCAATCGTTCACTTAAGAAACGACTGTCTGAGGCTAAATTACGAGATGTCATCATGCTAGGGCTGAAGTTACTAGAGGCCAAGCCAGGACTCAAGTCTACGTTTCAGTCGAAGGGCATGTGGCTCAAGTTGAGTACCCGTTGGAAGAGAGCACCAGAACTCTACGAAGACTCCATTACGCTCGCTCTCCGTCTGCAGTTAGGAGGGACTCAGAAGACAATTGGCAAAGACTTTTTAAGCACGTCAAATACCATACGGCTGAAGCAAGAGTTGAGATGGCCGCTACTTCGACTGTACTGTCTCCATGTTCCGAAGAAAGCAGTCGACTTAAATGCAGATAGTGACTTCACCCCACTTGCGGAGCAGCCGTGGCCAAGCGATGTCTTTTACCAGCTAAGCAAGGACCAAGCAGTTAGACTACTGAATGGTCTTTATCGTGCGAACCCGGGGTATAGCTTTTTGCAGACGCCGGCTAAAACGACGATTCTTGATAATCACGGGATCGCGCCACAGAAGAACTTTAATGCTGTTCTTCTTTTGACTTTACTTCAGCGTAGCTCTGAAGAAATACAGATGAGGGCCAAGAGTGCTGTTGATGAACTTCGAAAGAAGTCAGCTATTGCAAGAGAGCAGCCGGATAGAGCAAAGCTTGCAATATCAGCTTCTGCCTATGCCATCGCAAGCGGTAGTCTTGATCTGTATGGCGAGACCATCACATGGCAACAGCGGTTTGTTCGTGATCCTCTTTCAGTGAAAATGATCTTTGCTCATGATGCTGTCATGACTGCCGAGGGGATAGAGCTTCTCTCTGGGATACCGAAACCATTGCCAGACGGCATTACATTGGGCGAAGTGGCATTAAGCGTGGAAAAAGCTAACGAGATATTGAAAACTTTTCACGAGATTATGCTCATAGCGAAACGAGAGCCATCATTCCAAAAACGGGATTGGGGTGACGTGACATCGTTGTTCGGTGCTTCAATCAGTCTCCGTGTTGAGCGCGCGGCAGCCCTTCAGAAGCATCTGCGTGACTCTGAGTCCGATGTGTATACTGCAATATGGGATGGTACTTTAACCATGCTTGGGAACGTAGATGTTGCTTTCCTCAAGCAATCCTATCAGCTGATCAAACGTCTTCTCAGCGCCCTCCCTCCAACATCTCTCGCCGCTACATCAAAGGCCATGCTCGAAGCCGGAAATGAGGCGCGTATGCGGAAAGAACGCCAGTCGGGCGACGATACTATAGAGCTTCTGTCTTATGAGTTGCTACTGCAGCTCACAAAGAGTGAGAAGCCAGAACTGGCACAACAGCTTGTCCTTCGAACAATACTAGATCGGCCAGATGCAAGCTCTTGGCATAGACTATTTCTGTCGGTTCCATTCATGAAGTCCTTGTCTGCAAAAGACGCCCACCAAATGCTTCTCGCTTTTGCTACTGCAATTGGCGAAAAGCTGGAAGAGCAATCGTACGTCAAAGTCGGCGAGGCTCAACCACCCAAGTCAGCGCCGCCTACATCACTTGTTAAGGTCACGACAGTCAAGCATCTAGCTCAGCTCCTCGATAACGCCGAGTTCATCTCCGCGGACGCGGCAGTGGAAGTATTAGTGGAGCTGTTCAAAGCTGGGACACACAGAGATATCCGACTCGCCACGCTAGGCAGTCTGCTGAGCTTGCTAAACAATCTGTGCAGCGGCGCAGACGAGAACTGGAGATCTAATTCTTTAGTCGAAAAAATTATGGAAGCGCTAGAAACGGTCATACCCATTGTTGGAAGTATCAATGAGCGTCGCCCACTGCGGGAGGAGGACTGGTTGGAAGCTAGAGAAACGGGAAGTCTACCAGACGTATCTGACATCTCTGATGGCTTGCCACCCCTGCTAAGTGCTACACTTACAGCAGCCTGTTCGCCGCAGTATCCCGGGTTGAAGAAGTTAAGGGCTGAATTTGTGACGCGGTATCTACTGCCTGCTCTCAGGCTTTCCCAGAGAGAACACCAGAAGTGGGTTGCTTTATTTCTAGCTAAGCACAAAGCGAACCTCACTGTGGACGATCTTCCTCCGACGCCAATCACCCCAAAAGTATGGGAAGTTCTCGTAGGAAACTACCTCGAGTTAATTCCTACCATGGTGTTAGATGATTTCAACAAGCATATTGTCATGACTATCGCCCCGTCTGCAGACTTGAGAGACTTCAACAAGTCGCTTAGAAAGAACATTGATCTTTGCAACACCCCGGAAGTTCAACACTGGCTGTCTGTCTTTGGGCAGAGTATGGATCAGTACCGTACTTCTGGAACTCAAACGCTAGTGAGCATGATCCATAATGCCAAGCCAGTTCCTTTAGTTCGCAACGGCATAACTTTCGACAAAGTGCTAGATAAAGTCCTTATGCACGCATCGCTGTTTCTTACTGAATACGAAAACTACACTGATATTTGGAGCGGCTTCGTGAAAGATCTTCGTCCTCCAACGTGGTTCACTTACCGACACCAGGGTGCGGATTCAATGCGTGCAGCGTCCTCGGCGTGGACTACAACTAGCAGACTCGTACTTGAGAAAGTCACTGCGTTAGTTTCCGACAAAAGGAAGAAGAATACACGAGAACGCAAGCTCAGCCTTCTCCCTTCGACGACAAAACTCCGTCTTTGGCTCCTTCCTTATCCCTGTTTTCCCGACGCTACGAAGGTCGACCATCAGTGCAAAGCTTTTGCTAACGAGATGGTGGAATTGCTAAACGATCTCCTCGCACCTGAAGCTAACTTGATGCGCTGGCACGTAATCGCCGAAGATGCGTGTACCGTTTCTGACTTTCTCAATACGGCCGAAGAACAGCTTCGTGTAGCTCTATATATCGGAAAGCTTATGGGATCGTCGGATAGAGCTGGGGATCTGAGATCATCAGCCCTGAATTTTGTAAGGATTGCGGTGGCGATGAAACTTATTGGACAGGGGCGGGAAATCCTAGAGAAGCCTAACAAGGGCGCATTGTCTGAAGATGTTGTCCGCGGCGTTGTGAATATGGTTGAAGAGTGGCAGAACCATTTTGACGAAGGTATTCGGGAGAAGGTGGCAGAGTGGAGGAGGGCACAGAGTGGTCTTTGGAAGATTTTGATGAGCAGAGATTGAGCAATTTCAATATATGAGATGTAGTAACTTTTCAAAGAAATTATGTTCTAGATATAGTGCATAAGAAGAAAATACCATGCTGCGTAATATTTGACAAACGAAAACATATGTGTGCCCAAAATACTACTGCCGCCTGGTGTAAAGAGAACTTTGGATGACAGCCACCTCGCCTTTGTGTGGCACCAACACTATCCCATCACCTGTTACCGCACACAACCCAAGCATCTCCGTCGTCACCCAGTCCCTCGGTAGGAAGAAATGCCGCTGTTCTTTCTCTTGCTCTGAGCCGATGCTCCATGAGCAGATCCAAAAACTTCGATCAATGAACACTAGCCTGTCCTTCCCAATAATTCCTAAGGGGTATTCGATCGTGCTATTTATCTCATTTGGTATTTGAACCGGAGAAATTTTGCACGCATCTAGGTCTTGGATGTCGGATAAATTAATTATTTGAATACCCGACCTGCGATTATCATAGGGTCCTTCCTGTGAGATAGACATGATGGCGTAGTTTCGAGTAGTGGAGACAAGAATTTTATCGACATAATCATGGGCTTGTCTATTAACTTGTAAAATGATCGATGTCGTGCTGATGTCTCCCTTTTGTCCAATTTTTGTTTCCGCCAAGTGAGGCTTGTTAATATCCCACTGTCTCATTATTTCCAAGCCTTTCCATGAATAAGATGAGACAGTGTCGATATTACAGGCAAGAAGCTGGTCCCCTATAATGGGATGATTGGCCCATTTCTGACTGCCGTCTGATTCTAGTTTTGCACAGGCCTCCTTTGTTGAGATGTCATATATGATGGCGAATTTATAACCAGCAATGAGTAAGAAGCGGCCTCGGGGATGGAGATGGATTTGGTGTACCTTGCCACTTTCTCGGTGGCAATCTTTGTTGAAGAGCGTCTGAAATGCAAACATGTCCCCGTTAGGTGCAAGAACACATTCTTTCACCGTAAAAGAATCGAAATCTGAATATGCTATATAGTTCCCATCCTCATGCCAGATGAGAAATTGGACTGCTCCTCCCCACTTTGTGTTTCCGGCCCTTTGAGATTTCAATATAGACACATTGTTAATTTCTACTAGACCATCTTCGTTTCCATACCAGAATAAGCCACCGAGCGGTCTCGCGGCAAGAGCAGTAATTTGCACTGGCGCATCCACAAATTCTTCAGAAGGATGGTTCGAAATGACTACACTCATAGATTCAGGGTCGCTTTTGCTGCTGCCATAATCTGAGTAGGGAAGTCTAACAAGCGCACTCGGCTCCCATATGTTGCAGTATGACCCACGAAGGTCATAAAAGCGCCTGCTATCCATGCCGAAACAGAGGTCTGTAATGACATCCTCGGCGGAGAGTTTATATAGCAATGAGAAATGCTCGTAGCTGTAGAGTCTAACAGAACCGTCCTGGTCACTTAATAGAAAAAGAACGCCATCTGGGCTACACTGGATCTCTGATGGACAATAGTATATGTCGGCTTCTAACTCTTGGTGGTCACTTTCTTCAACTGGATTCCATTTAAAGACAGTGCCGTCAGTATAGATTCCAAGCAGAATTTCTCCACTCGGATGCCAGACAGCTCTAATAACACCAGTCCAGCCTGCGTTAGGACCAACGCTGTATGTAAGTCGTCTCTTGCATGCGCTTACTCGCACTAACTCAACCATATCCCACACTTCCAATGCAGAGCCACGGTATCCAATTGCCATTAAGGTAGCATCTGTATTAAATGCCATAGTCGTAGGTGTGTTTACATATGCATTCGTCTCAGCCCCCTGTAAAAACTCGGAATTTATTGGAGTCCACGTTAATGACTCCAGATAGGAGGCTACTGCGACTTTGCGACTGTTGAGACCCACAACTAACTTTGTATCGCCACCTGAGAAAACGATGGTAAGGGCGTGTGACTCCGGGGGATTATTTATTGTGTATAACTCCTTCCTCGTAGTCACGTCCCATATTTTTGTCGTTTGATAGCCATACGTTGCAAGGTGTGTCCCAGTGCTAGTGAAACTCATTGCAGTGACAAATTCGTCATGTTTAATAGCCGGAATTTTCTCGGGGGTTACACAATCCGAATCCACAGGAGGACAGAGGACGAGTCAAGAAATTTAACAAGTCAGGCAAGGGATGGTATGCCCACGAAGCCGCAGCATAAATAGCAAATGGTGGTGCATCCTCTTGGCTGAGCCTTTCTTTTTGGCCTAGTTTTTGTCGGAACGTTTGCTCTAAAAATATACCAATTGATTGCTGAAATAAATTTTCATGTATATGCTCCGAATTAAATTCAAAAGGTAGATTTGCAGTTTTGAGTAGGTATTCCCGGGCTGTTTTATGGACTAGAACTATTGCGTTGTTGCTATCGACGACGACAAAATGACCGCAGAGTTGTCCAATGGTATACCGCAGATCAATAATAACCGGTATATCGCGAGGTAATGCTTGTAGGAAATCATTGACAGTTAGAGGGCGCTGACAATATGCAGCCCAAGATAGGATTGATTTCGCAATAGCAAGATCAGATGGCCTAGCGAGACGACACACTGTAGCTTCCATCCGCTTATATACGGACTCCATGCCAGATGGCATTTCCTCGAGAACTTGTGATATGTCCTCTAGACTGTGGCACTGTAGGACCTCTTTGATAGCGAGAGTTACCCATAGGAAGTTCCCTTCAGCACGGCTGATTATTGCTTCGAGGACTTCTTGTCGGAATTTCAAACTGCCATGCATATATTCCATCTCGCTCTCTGCACATAATCTGATGTCGTCTAAATTATCAGATAATGACAACCTAGTAAGTAACGACGCTGGAGCAATGCGGTCAAAGGCTGTAGTAATATCTGGTAATTTTCGACTGGTAACTAGTAGCCGGACGGGCATGCGAGACCTTTCAATATTCTGGAAGAATCCCACGATCGTACTAATCGAATCGGCCTCGTCGAGAGCGTCGATAATAATATATAGTGGCTTTGGCGCTTCGATTTTAAATAAAACATCGTTGAATATCCTATTCCAAATCATCTGTGGCGACATTTTTTCGATAGCAACTCCATAGTCTTTCATTGCAACCAATGATTTGCGAAATATGGGTAGTTCCTGAGCAATTTGATAAATGAGAGACTGTAATAAGGAGCCTGGCGACCTTTTGCGGGAGTCTCCGTATCGAAAAAAGTAGTATGCACACGAAAGGCCCCTCCGTTTCATATCTTGAATATAAACAGCTGTCGTAACAGATTTTCCGCCTCCTGGTTGCCCATAAATCCATAGTATTTTAGACTTGAATGGGTTGTCTCTCCAATCTTGAATTTCTTCAACTGAAAAGGCACCATGGCAGGTTCCTTGCCTCCGTAACTGCAAAATATATGTATAATCGTCCTCCGAATTTGAAAATGTCCCGAGTAGTGACATAAGTTTTTCATTTTCTGCCGCGGACTGTGTTTGCTGAAGGCGGACTTTTGTTTCACAATAGCTGGAGACCTCGCAGACCTGCACAAGACATCTGTTTCTCCAACTGGGAAATTTGGCTTCTATCTCCCAACTTATGATGGCTGGCAACCGCAAGAGGTTGGACAATGGGACCCCTCCTGGACCTCCTGCTTTTCGAGACTTCTAAAAGGGCTTTGGGAACTAGATGCTAAGATGAATGGGCACTAGACGGAGCTGGACATTGCGATGGAGGATACGCTTACTAAAGTTATTCCAAGGCTTATTGGCATTCTGGAAAGAGATGGCAGAAGCATCAAGCCTTGCCTCATCCATGGCGATCTCTGGGAGAGTAACATCGGCACCGATTCTACGAATGGTAATATCTATATCTTTGATGCTGCAGCATATTACGCGCATAATGAGATGGAGATTGGGATATGGAGAGTTGACCATCACAAGATGGTGGAAAATGAAGCTTACCGACAAGAGTATGCAGAACAGTTCAAGAAGAGCGAGCCGGCTGATGAATGGGATGACCGGCTTAAATTGTACGGGGTTAAGACCAAGCTCATGTATTCGGCAGGGGTTCCGAATGGTGCAGATGTTCGACAGAAAGCTTTGGATGACCTTCAGGATCTGATTGAAAAGTATGGCGGCGAGCATACAGGCCTGACAAGATCCTAGAATACCAATTATATAGCTGTTAATGTTAGCACTGTCAGTATAAATCATTAAAGTGGCGGACAACTCTGTCTTGCATCAGCTCTGCTACCGATCTTCACTGAAGTCACCCTTCTAGCTACGAGTGAAACTCGCAGGATGGGCTACAAGGAAGGTTGGCTACCTAACATGACCCATTCACCAGTACTACATTTTCTAGTTAGGTTACAGTAGTCTGTCGCCTATGGAATTTCCCAACGGGCTCCATTGCTAATGGTGGGGGTTGATATAACGGTGAGAAGAGCGGACCAGTAACAAGAATGGTGGTCTGGTAGGAGGAGTTCGGTGAGACGAGGGACGCCGTAGCAGGAACGGTGACAGCGAGATTCGGCAACATTTCTTACTCCTGGTGGGCGTCGAAACTCAGTTGTTGTTTTTCCATCGCCAAAGGAGATTCCATAAATTCCACCCGAAGTACTTGTCATATCCGTCGTTCATAAGCTGAACGATTTCGGAGATAGATGAACATCCATCAATGAGGTGGAAGAATAGAGTCACAAGTTTCGGTAAATGATATACATTGATATACATCTATAATTCAAAGAGCTTTATTGATCAACGTATGTGACTATATATCACCAAATAGCACTAAATAGAGATACATTACTCTGTCAACTTTTATACCCTCCCCCCTTCAACCCTCCCCCACACGCAACTAATACGGCCATACCCAGTTGGTAATTTCATCCGGGTCCGTCCCATGCTCAAACGCCCAGTTCCGCATCCTGATCTGCTCATCCAGCAGCGCCTCCCTCGTCGCCGCGCCCCTATTATGCAGCTCACCCTCCAAGCGCTGCAGCGCGTCCATAGCAAGACTATACCGATCCGTCTGGTTCCTAATCGCCAACTCGAGCGGCGTGTCGATATTTCCCTTCTCGCGGTATCCACGGACGTGCATGTTCGTGTTGCCAGGGCGCTTATACGTCAGGCGGTGGATGAGGAAGGGGTAGCTGTGGAAGTTGAAGATGATGGGCTTGTCAGCCGTGAAGATGGCAGAGTAAGCAGAGTCAGTGAGACCGTGGGGGTGGTCCGCGGCAGAGATGAGTTTGAAGAGGTCGACGACGTTGACGAAGCGGATCTTGAGGTCAGGGACATGCTGGCGGAGGAGGGCGACGGCTGCGAGGGCTTCTTGGGTGGAGATATCACCGCAGGCGGCCATTACAACGTCGGGTTCGGCGTCTTTATCGTTAGAGGCCCATTCCCAGATTCCGATACCCTTGGTGCAATGGATGACTGCGTCGGGCATGGACAGGAACTGCAAATGCTCCTGTTTATCGGCCACAATGACGTTGACGTAGTTCTCAGACTGGAAGCAGTGGTCCATCACGGAGAGCAAGCAGTTCCCGTCGGGGGGAAGGTAGATGCGCACAACCTCCGGAGACTTTTGCGCCACGACAGCCAAAAATCCGGGGTCTTGGTGGGTGAAACCGTTGTGATCCTGGCGCCAGACGGTGGCGGTGAGAAGAATGTTCAACGAGGCAATCTTAACGCGCCATTCTGTCTCAAGCGCCTTCTCGATCCATTTGCAGTGCTGGTTAACCATCGAATCAATGATGTGGATAAAGGGCTCGTAGGAATTAAGGAGGCCGTGTCTCCCTGATAGGAGATAGCCCTCCAACCAACCCTCGACAGTGTGTTCAGAGAGCATCTCCATCACTCGTCCTGCAAAAGCGAGATTTCCTCCGTCGGCATCTTCCTCAAACGTCTCAGCCATCCACACCTTTTTACCAGCTGCATAGATCCCATCCAGCTTGTTGGACTGAGTCTCATCGGGTCCGAAGACACGGAAGTTAGTCTGGTTCTTGGCGATGATGTCGCGGAGGAAAAGAGCCATGTTTTCCATTGAGGGGCCCAAAGCGTGCCCATTTCTGGCCACCTTGATTGCATAGTCACGGAAGTCTGGAATATGCAATGGCTTGCGCAATATCCCGCCGTTCCCGACGGGGTTGGCACTCATACGGCTGTTGCCTTTCGGGGGAAGCTCCCTTAGCTCGGAGATAAGCCTACCGTCTTGGAAGAGACGCTCTGGCTCATAGCTTCGCATCCACTTTTCAAAGATGGCAAAGTGCTTCTTATTCTTAGCAATATCGGGGATTGGGATTTGATGGGCGCGCCAGAAACCTTCGAGGAAATGGCCATCAATTTCTCGAGGAGCAGTCCATCCCTTAGGAGTGCGAAGAATGATCATTGGCCAAAAGGGGCGGAACGCCTTCCCGGAGTCGCGCGCTTTCTTTTGGTATCCGCGGATTTCTGTGATACATTTTTCCACGGTGGCCGCCATAGCTTGATGCATGGTTTCATGGTCGCTTCCTTCAACAAAGTATGGTTGCCAGCCGTATCCAATAAAGAGAGCCTCAAGCTCACGGTGACTGATGCGAGCCAATATTGTTGGGTTGTTGATTTTATATCCATTCAGATGCAGGATTGGGAGAACAGCACCATCTGTAATTGGGTTGAGAAATTTTGTGCTGTGCCAGCTGGTCGCAAGAGGACCCGTCTCGGACTCTCCGTCCCCAACCATGGTGATAGATATGAGATTCGGATGGTCAAAGACTGCGCCGAAAGAATGAGAGATGGAATAACCAAGCTCTCCGCCCTCGTGAATGCTGCCTGGAGTCTCTGGTGTTGCATGGCTTCCAATGCCGCCTGGGAATGAGAATTGCTTGAAGAATCGTTTCATTCCGTCTTCATCTTCAGACTTATCAGGGTAAACCTCGCTATATGTCCCTTCAAGATAAGCCTGGGAAAGGACTGCAGGTGCGCCATGACCCGGTCCAGAAACGAAAAATGCGTCCAGATCGTACTTCTTAATCATTCGGTTGACATGGATATAGGTAAATATCTGTCCGGCATCTGATCCCCAGTGACCAAGTAGTCTTGCCTTCAAATGTTCGACCTTGAGAGGCTCTTTGAGAAGCGGATTCTGTTTCAAGTGTATCATGCCAAGGCAAAGATATAAGGAAGCTCTCATATAGTCATCTATCTTTTTCAGCTCGTCAGGCGCCAATGGGGCACCCGACACGGTTGATCTGGCCTTGCCATATGGTGAAATGCTCTTGACCGCTATATCGGTCTCAGCTGGCGTAGCCATGTTTTTGGATATGCTGGAAACCAATTGAGGCTGGGTCGTTTATAGCTGATGAACTTGTTTCCTGTCAGGGATTCGGCAGAAGGATCTGAGAATTTCAGAATGACAGAGGGAAGACAATAAACGGCAAAGAAAAAGAAGGTAGAAAAGAGTATGTGGGATGGAAGGAAAGGCTGGCGGGGTTGTCGATGGAGTTGAAAAAGCATGATGACGTCTTCCATTCATGGTTCCGGAAGCGTCAGAGACGTCCGCGGACAAGCGCAAACAGGCATATCAAACCTAGACTATACGAATAAGTATAAGTATAAGTATAGCATTTTTAAATCCATTGGCTCTTGATTAGCTATAACTAAGTTATTTCCTCTGCATTAAATAGTAGCATCGCAACGTTGTTCGCACTTTGTATCAACAAAATCTATGAATACCTAAAGCAGTTATAATTATCCACCCAGGTCACGAGAAAGTGACGTAATTTTGGGGGTCCGGATAAACAGCGAAGCCGGGCGGAGTTGACTGAAACTGCCGGCACGTGCATGGACCGTGCGAAGCCACAACCGTTAAAGTCACGTTTTTTCGTATACCTTGTTACTATTTATGTACTTGACTTAAATTGAGAGCAGCCAAGGCAGCCAAGAGCAAATGGAAATTGCGGTCTACTCATACAGGAAGGTCGCCCTCAGCTTTTGTTGACCGTTTATTAATCTTCTCCTGATCTACTCATGATCTCCTTTTAATCATCCTCTTGTGGGGGGTTTTCTCCTGAGATCTGCACTAGCACCATTTATATCGCGCTACGAGAGAACACTATGAAGTGAGCTATACCAACTCCAATCCACTACTATCCACTCTATATTACGCTCCGCACCCGCCGTCAGCTGTCAGCTGTCAGCAAGTCTTGTCCAAACGGAGGCTAATAATATTGTCGACACAGATCGTATTAGGCGCGAGAAAAGCGTTGTGGCTTGCCTGTAGCCTCGCATTCCGGCTAAGACGCGCGGTGCCTGCGTAGACCGTGGCTATATAATACAGACTATGTCCTATAATATGCACCCTCGGACTCCTCGCCAGAGCTACACCGAGCCACAGAGAAAATCCGACAACGTGCAGTAGTGATCTACAACATTTTGAGATATCACTGTGAGTCGGGTTATGTTTACCCAGAGTCTTATGAAATATTAGACGAACTCTTCGCGACTCGCTTTCCAAGCTCCTCAGTGGTTTTCTAATCTCCCCAACCCCGAAGAGAACCCCTATAATGAACTGTGCGCTAGCCCCCCGGCACTCAGCTTGAGGAGCTCGGATGCTGCGTTGTCCAAATTAATTGGCATCATATTGTGCTGACTATAGTACAATTCTACCCTATATAGCCGTGTCAGACTCCCTTCAAGCGAGGTTGAGAGAAGGTTCACTATATCTGTTTCACTACTCATGCGGTTGGAAGATGCAATATGGATCCAATATAAGCATGCGGCACAAACGCATATGCGGCTCCCAGCTTATTACATCCATATTGACAGCCAATCTCCGCCCATAGCCAGCCCAGGCCTTCGGCCAACGAATCTCATACGGCGGTAGGTTGCAAGGAATGCGAAAGGCCCCCAATTGTGCAAGCATATTCTGCCAAATCTACCCTGCACGGACGCAGTACCCCGATGCCGGTGTCACAAAATATCTAGACGCATATAAATAACTTCGGCCCTTCTTACTGATGTGGGTATCTTTTCTCAATTGCTTTCTCCGTGGCTTTTGTAGAATCAGTCTCTTCTCTCATCCTCTTCAAAGCAAATAAATATCATATATTTGTTCTTCTCTTTCACCATGTTGGCCAGCGTCTCCAATATTCTTGTGGCATCTCTCTTTGCCACTACCGTGGTTGGTTCTAGTGTCCACCGTCCTGAAAATGGCAACCACGGCGGCGACGCTGTAGATGCCATCTCTGCTAAGGGTCTTGCCAAACTCAAAGCATGGACTAAAAGCAACCCTCCCGCAGGCAACTGCACATTGGAAAACGCCGTCATTCGACGTGAATGGTATGAATCTCCCCATGCCCACTGTAGGCCATTAAACCCAGTCAGCTAACTGATTAGGTCGGCCTTCTCTCGCCAAGAACGCCTTGATTATATCGATGCTGTGCTCTGCCTCCAGAAAACGCCACCCACCACACCCTTGAGCATCATCCCCGGCGTTCGTAGCCGCTACGATGACTTCGTCGGAACCCACATCAACCAAACGTTGTTTATCCACTCCACAGGCAACTTCCTTGGCTGGCACAGATATTACGTCTGGACCTACGAGCAAGCCCTGCGTAATGAGTGCAATTACCAGGGGCACCAGCCTTACTGGAACTGGGGGAAGTACGCTCTCGACCCCGTCAACTCCCTCCTCTTCGACGGGTCCGATGAATCCCTCAGTGGTGACGGCTCCTACTTCGAGCACACCCCCGTTGCAGTCGCCGGTGCACCCCCGCCATTCGATGTAATCATCCCTGGCAACGGCGGCGGCTGCGTCACATCAGGCCCCTTCAAAGACATGGTCGTTTCCCTCGGACCCGTGGCCGGCACCCTAGACGGCGTAACACCAAACCCCACACCCGACGGATACAGCTACAACCCACGCTGCCTGCGCCGCGACATCTCCGAGAATGCCGCCGTATCCACGCGCACCAACGCCACAGTCTCGCTGCTGACCACACGCGATAACATCTCCGACTTCCAGGATTACATGCAAGGTGTATTTGCTGAGGGCATCCTCGGGGTGCACGCCGGGGGCCACTTCACTGTCGGTGGTGACCCGGGAGGTGATTTCTTCGCGAGCGCTGGAGACCCGGCGTTCTGGTTGCACCATGCTAGTGTTGATCGGATCTGGTGGATCTGGCAGAATCAGGATCTGGCGACGAGGCAGAATGCTATTGCGGGGCAGACGCATATGGCGGGTGATGGGGTGCCGACGACGCTGGAGGATGATCAGTTCTTCCAGGTCAATGGAAAGGTGCCTAAGTTGAAGGATCTCTTGGCGACGTTGGGTGGTGCGGATGGGGAGTTCTGCTATATCTATCAGTAGTACGGCTTGGTGTGAAGGGTTAAAAGCAGGGAAAATAATTTTTTGATATGCCACCTAATGACAAAGTTCTCAAAAACTCATAATGTCCCTTTGTTTGTGTGATGTCCAGTAAATTAGAAATTATGTACCACTCCAGCTGAAGCGCCTGGAATGTGTCAGGGGGTATGGCGTTCCAGGGGCCTGTGTAGCCGCCGAGGAAGACGGGCCGAGACTGTGGGGGCGAGTTGGCTGGGGCTGTGGTGGTGGGATGACAGGGCGCGCTGGCAAGAGTCGTTCTTGAGCGGTGTGTTGCGGGGCATGTCATGAAGAGGGAGCATTGAAGCATGGGTAATTAATTGATTGGCGTGACGCTTTATTGTGCATTTATAACATGGTTCAAAGCTAGATGGAGTCTCTCTTGGCTGTTCTCATTCTTGACGAGTGTTACCCGCAGATGAGTTGCTACAGCGGCCATCATAGCCTAGAAGTCCACCCAGTCATCACATCCTGGCTCCGCCCCGGCCAAATACATCCAACATCTTGGCCACTATATTGGCCCGGAGCGAGGAGTGCACCTCCTACCTGGAGTTTGCTGTCCCCGAGGCCGCGGCCGGAAAAACAGGGCCGTATTGGGCGCTGTTGTAGACTCTTCGCGCGTGGAGGCTTGTACCAAGATGGAAGCTTTGCTCTGGATGTCCTGCATGCTTGGGCAAGGCGTGTTATTCTAGATAGTTCCTTTTCGGAGGGTATAAGTTGTGTTCGAAGTAAAAAGAGGATAGCTGCTCAGCTTCCTGGTCGCTTCTTTTGTTTTCTGGCCCTGCTCGTAGATGTGGTTTCTGGCTTCACAATCCCCTGAGGTTTCGCAGCTTTCGGTCCCCCTTTCTTATTACGCGGTGAGCGATTCGAGGATGGAGGTAAGCGTGGATCCACATTATTAGCATTTATCCGCCGAGGTGCCTCACGCTTCTGTAGTGCTGTCCCTTCATATGGGAGCATATCAAATTCAGGTTGTTTGCCTGCGAGTCTAATACACGTTTCGCAGCGCGTTGCAATGAAAAGGTTTTGTAAAATTTCGTCAAGGCTGTTCACTAATATAATACTTCGAACAATACCATCAAACAAATAAATGCATATCAGTGGTATGTTGGCTATCAAATACTAACAGATGTGTGCCTATTCGGAGGCCAGATATAAAATGTTCCCCGGATGAAAATTGCAATATATTCATTAAATAAACTGCTGTTTGTACAGATTTAGGTTAGCAACATTCTGAATACGACTTTGCTATTTGCGCAGTGTTCCAAGGATCAACATGTGAGAATAGCTACCGTGTATTGTTCTGACTTTATAATGGCGAGAACTTCACACGATGACGTTGACGCGGGCAAAAAAGCAGACCGATACTGAGCATAAGCTCGCCAACTCAAACCATTTTGCTCTTTCTCGCTCTTTTCAGATAAATACTGTAATATGCAATCCACAATAGCAATGGACGGCAGGTGCAAGTTCCCTCGCTCCTTCCTCCTTTATCTTTCCATCAACTCCCCATCGCTCTTTCCATCAATGGCTGGCTACCTACCATCTTTTCTTGGCCGGTAGGTGCTATGTCAGCCTAAATAACTAAAAGTTTGACTTGTCAGCCATCCTTCTGCGTCATCCTTCATCAATATCCTCACCACTATCCTTATTATATATCCCGCTCCGTCTTACTGCGCAGCCATTCTCTCCAACCGTCTCTATCTCCTCATTTTACGCTGCTTCTTGGTATCCGGAGAATTTTTTTACCTGATATCGACTATTACCGACCACCCAACATTCATTCCTTTGTTACAATTTGCCCCTTTTGGGATATTGATTTGGATATACGGGAGAAGGCCAGGATTGGCTTGGAATAAGGTTGGATGGAAGACTGTGCACTCTCTGGGGCCACCTGGAGTGATCTTCTCCCATCGCCATCGACGATTCTACTTCACATTACGCGGCTTCTGGATTTCTACGGCTCCAAAATTTCCATTCTCGGTGTCTGTGTGGTCCTTGACCCTACATATGAAACTCATTGTGGGCGCTGAAGGCTGGAGAAGTGCGAAGGATTTCCCTCAAGTCTGAGAGTCAAATATTTCCTACCATTACGCGGCTCCAGAATACTCGCCTCCACCCGACCATGTCTCCACTGCATCTAGCTTCAAGCTCAAACACGAGGACCTCTTCCAACAGGTTAGATACGAACAATGCCACGAAACAACATGGAATTGCCACTCAAAGACCTCGGACAAAACAATACAGGCCGTCTACGCTTCATGATTTGCCTCTGTCGGCAAATGTTCTGAGGGCCAGGAGTAATCACAATCATACATGCGCCATCCATGGTCGAAGACGAGCTGCAGTTTCGGATCCACCAGCTCTCACAATACCATTGACTGCTTCCACACGGTCTCGCCGACTGCCTACTCCACCAGGAGTAGTCGGTGCCACAAGCATTGGTGCAGCAGAAGCTACCCGCCGATATAATTCTCGGCGGTCTCCAAGAGAAAGCCTCGAAGAGGCTTTCTACGACTGCCAGGAGGCTAGCGTTGGGTTCTTAACGCCATCACTCAACCAATCGCACAGTGATCCGCCTAGTAGGGATGACGATAACCCAACTGGAGACATGATTCGCATACTCTGCTGTTATCTGCCGAAGGTACATCTTCCACAGCTTCTACCTATTTCTTGTTTGGGGTTTTCCATTGCAAAGGGTGAGCCAATGATAGTAAGTGGCAGTGATGCCACCCGTGCGAATCTGCCGGCAAGAGCCTGGGGTAAGAAATCAGCTTCTGTTTCGAATGATGAAGCGATGCCCTCTGGTGGAAACACGAATACTGTTACCACTCTGGTAAAAAAGTCTATGGACTTGATCCGAGGCACGAAGGTTGGGTCTCTTGGCCGAAGTGATAGCACTATTACTGTTCGCCGCAATGCATTATTCAGCCATGGCAGACGAACCGATACAGTAACTGAGATGGCTACAAAACAAAACATCCAAGGCAATATACCACATCAGATGGAACTTCCCACAATAGTCACTCTCCGACGCGCCATTGCCGTTCTAAACACTCTCGCTCAGCCACCTACGCACAACGTCAGCGCTGACATGAATGACGCTGCGATGCTTCGAGAATACCGTCGCAGCATTCGATCGATGGCATTGCCGGCCGAGTATTTGATTACATCTGAGGAGATCAGAAGTTTGAAAAACCAGATGAAGAGCCAATTTATTGGACCAGATCCAAAAGAGACTGCCTTGGTCAAGAAGAAGAAATCCCTGGTTGGGCTTGGTTGGAAGGGAAGAGTCAAGAAATCAAGCAGCGGATCAATGGTCTGGTTTGGAGCTCCGCGCAAAAATCTCGAGTCGAGGGTCGCGCTCTCCGTTTCAAATATCCATACAGCATCGGTGTCAGTCTTAAACCGCGGGCGAAAGGGCTATTTTATATCTCAACAAACGAGCATCATCCCCATGCTGATGACAGGAAAGAGTATACATGAGATAGTCTGGGAAGACGACGGAAACCCACAGAACCTTTTTTCTTCGACGTGGAGCGTTGCGACTAGTCTGGCACAGGTCGATTTGGTGACTCGGTCTCCTAACTCATGTCCCCGAGAGCCCGACCCAGCCCCTATTGAAGATATAGAATCATACGGCGGCGGGACTGCAATCATGGGTATAAATAGAACATTTAAGACTGTCTGGGAGCACCCCTCCGAGGAGGTTTCAGATACGCCTTATGACATTGACAAATCTCTCTCGCTCTCCGAAGTGATGATTCCAAGCTATGTGACTCAGCAGGTTTCCATCTGCACACCAAAACCCATCGCCGATGGTGTCTGGCTCCCGCCAATTTCGACCTTTAATGCGCCATTGGTTGAAATTCCGGCTGCCAATCTACGCACCTCGGCGCTAGACCTTGGGCCTGCTTATGACATTTGGAGAGATTACTATGTCTCTTTGATTACACAGTCTAAGCATCCACTGTTAGGAAAACAAGGTTTAGCGGCACCAGTAACCATTTCGCAACCCAAGCCATCGCCATGGAGACATTCCACCCATAGTCTAGTGAGAGTTCCAGTAGGCTCACGGCCGAAGCCCTCACTGTGGAGCAGCGATGTCGCAGCCTCGGGCCAGATTAGTGCCACCCGCGATGGCAGAGAGTCAACGGCAGAAAATACTCTGCGGCTATGGAAGCGAGCCTCAGCGCGTCGTCTACGAGGTGCTCTGGGTATGGGAAGCGGTGAGAGCTGGAGACGCGTGATGGGCGTAGAAAATATCAAAGATGCGGAGATCGATGGTGCTTTGTCATCTGCAGCAGATGACAGAGCACCATGGGGAGCAGAGGCCCTGGATGATGTGTCTATTATCTCTGATGATGCGGAAAGCGATGGATCGTGGAAGAGAGATGCGATATCGCGGAAAGGGAAAAGGAGGTTGTTGAGGAGGATTAGCCAGAGGGCCGCGCGTGCGAGACAAAAATTGATGGCGGCACGCGAAGAGAAAGCCAGGCAGGGGACAGAGAACGGAAAAGGTGAGGAGGGAGTGGATGGAGGCGGCTATCCTTCTGAGAGGACTCTCGACCATCGCGGGATGCTGGAAGAAAAGTCGAAGCATGAGGAACTGGAAGAGTGGATGAGAAGTTTAGAAGCAACGCCTGTCTTGAGACCTCGGTCTGGCAGAAATTACATGAATTTGTACGGAAGCAGCAGAGCTACTGATCGGAAGACTGGCGATCATCGGCCCTTCAAGCTTAAGGGTGAATCGCGGAGAAGCGTTAGTATCACTACGATTGTGTAGGATGGCTGTGTCGTAATGCGGACTGGGATTATCATTAAGAAAAATTGCTGGAATGGGGATAGAAAGCGATGTCAATAGTCGCGCACTAGACTGGTAGAAATCAAGTACTGTTATTCCATTTCATCCGATTGAAGGGGAAACCCTCTTTCGATGGGCTCGATATTTCATGTCACCGTCACGTTCATTGGGACGGAATACAGAGAACTTCATATGTCTAGTAGCAAGTGTTCTCAGTTGCATACATGATCTGGTCATCTATATGTGTATAACATTTAACATTCTCCCATGCACCCTCATCTCATTTCCTTCCCCCAAACACCACCAAGCCAGCCCTCACCCTTCCCTTCAAACAAAACCAACCAGTCGCCAAAATGCCACACCCACAGCAGACAAACAGCCCAAAAAAAAATCAACTCCTCCCAGCAAACTAAATAATCGTGGTATAAATCATTCATCCTTCCTCATAAATCCCGCACCCGTCACCTACAACTCCTGAACCCTCTCCCACTCCTTACACGTCCCAAACCCGAACCAGGCCCTCTTCTTACACCGCTCCTTTGGCGTCGGAGCCGCAGGGGATGTCGGCTTCGGATCCGCGCAGACAAAACCGAACCATTTGTAGGTGTGGCATTTTATCGTTGTGGTTGGACCCGTAGGGTTTGGCATGGCGGTTGGGACGGAGGGAGGGGATGTGAGGGGAGGAGGCGAGGTAGGGTCGCGGCAACCCCACCAGCCGGGAGTGGCGCAGGTGGTTGTGGGTGGGGGTCCGGTGGGAGAGGGGTCGTTGCAGCCGCCGAAGTAACCGGGGGAGGTGCAGGTTGTTGAGGGTGGAGAGGTGATGACGGGCTCGGTGGAGTCGTTGCAGCCTCCGAAGAAGCCGGGGGATGTGCAAGTTGTCGAGGAGGTAGGAGGAGAGGTGGTAACGGGGTCGGTCGGGTCGTTGCAGCCACCAAAGAAGCCAGGGGATGTGCATGTTGTTGAAACCGTGCTAGTGGTTGTGGTGGAGGACGTAGGAGTTGGGGTTGGAACGGCCGTTTTGGAGGGGGTGGCTGGGGTGGTTGTTGTTGTCCTGTCATTGCATCCGAACCAGCCGGGAGTCTTGCACGTTGTTGTTGTCGCGGTAGATGTGGTTTTGCTCGTGGCCGTTCCAGTTGCCGTTGTGGTTTCATCAAGACATCCCCACCATCCAGGTGTCTTGCATGTCTCCGTTCTCGTACGCGTCCTTGTGGACGTTGGCTTCGATTTCGTGGTTGTGGTTGTCTCGGAGCTGTTGCTCTCGTAGAACTTCCATAGCGGGCAGTCAACACACTCGGGTGTGGTGACGCATTTCGGTCCGGTGTCATATTTGACCAATACTGTGTCAATGACGGAGCGTATCGAGTGAGAGGAGAGGGAAACGCGCCAGCCAAGATCTCCGACGACGTCGTAGGCGCACTCTTGACCAGAATGACAGGCAGTTTCCATGGCGTACCCAGCGAACGAGCAGAGTGATGTCACCCCATTACAGGTCCCAAGGAAGACGGGGTCGGCGGTGTGGCCTATGTGGTAGGTCCCGGTATATCCGCGTCTTCGTAGCTCATCACCACCCATGGATGGTGGTAGGGGTAGTCCAAGGCGCTTGGCTGCAAGGTTGTCCGGAGGAGACTCAAAGGTAACAGTTGGTAACCCATAGGTCATTCCAAGCAAACTGCTCACGGCACCTCCAAGGGAATGGCCGCTGACCCAGACGTTGGACGTAGGGTATAATGCAGTAACGTTTGAGTACAACTCTCGAGCTGCTTGGTAGTACCTGTTCTCTTGGCGCAGGTTTTTGACGACGCAGGTGTTGTTGCAGGAGTATGTGGATGTTGCGCAGTCGCAAACTTTTCGCCATGTCAACTGTCCCTGTTGCCCACAGCAGCAACTGAAAAAGAGGTTGTCATTCTCCTTGTCATCCTTCGTTGTCTCTTGTCCATCGAAGACAGCCATGCTTGTGCCCTTCAAGCTGATGATAATCGTCGAGTTCTTGTCATTTGCCCATATATGTCCCCGGAGTCCGTCTCCTTCCCAACCAAAATCCGTTGAATTGTGGAAGTGGCTAATGTTCTCCCAGCCTCTCAGATTGGGTTCCAGGACATATGCCGCTGCTGCCATCTCTGCCATGCTGACTACTGTTGCCTTATCTGAAATATCCGGCCCCTCGATCTCATCCACCGTCCAGGCAGATGCCGATAGTGATACGACCTCTCCATGATCTCGTGCTGCTGCTATCATTGGGTCGATCACTGATGGCCTTCGATCCGCTAGCCGTTGCATCTTCAGCGGCACGCTTCGGATCATAAGTGGAGGCAACTCTTGCGGCCGGCCGTCCTCGGAGGTGGTATATAACTGTGCTTCCGGGTTGAGGACATCCTGCCGCCTATGCAACGTCGGGTATCTGCTCCCGCCATGATGGAATAGATGCCGAAGAGACTAGACACACGAATCCTGTTAGCCCACTGCACTCTCTATAACTACAACAGGCATCCACGATAAGAGTCGACTTACGAATCGTTCAGCACCACCCTGAGGCTCGTCACCTGGCTGACCTGGGAATGACGGCGGAATAGCTGGGAGCTCCTGCCCTCCTAGGTGTATTTGGGCTCCGTTGTCTTGTCGGGCTGAAACCGGAGTGTGCAATGCTAGGAACGATAACAACAGTCCAGCTGTGACTCTGCCCGCCGAGCGGCATCTGAAAGAGAGGTTGCCGTCTGGAATCATGGTATAATATAGGGACTATAAGGCCTCAAAGTCGCAGCAGAACCCCGTCTGCTACGTCTGTAGTTCTTTCAGGCCTTCAAAAGACGTGTTGATGTGTTGTAAAGTGGTGAAGGTTGAGGGCTGAATGCCGACGGCATCGATAGGTTGAGGCGAATCGATGGGGTACCTGCCTGGGTGGCTGACCAGAGCCGTGTGTGACGTATGGTGGGACGCAATTTGATTGGCTGCTGGTCCCGATAGCACTCAACTACGCGTCCAGCACGTGACCCATGGCTGCCACCTGTGACGACCACGTACGCAGAGTGTATTATGAGGGCAATAAAGGCACGGTATTGTCAGTATATATTAACATTTGTGAATCCAAATAAAATAAATAGTATACAGCATATAACAGATCTATGAACCTCATAAATAAATAACCTTCATCGTTGTCTTATCAACTGCTCGCGGATAAGATAAGACTGACGATCAAGGCCGTAATTTCCATAGCTACTCTGTCACATCCCTGGAGACACCTCTCAGAAATCAACACCGCTGCCATTTTACGAAGATTCAAAGGCATGGAATCACCCTGTCTCATGCTAGAACTGCTATAAAGCATTAAGCTGTTACGTTTCTTTTCACACACGCTCGTTTCGCGGCTCCCTGGTCTCTGACATCCCTACGTGTACGACGAAGACCCCAAGCACCTCCCCAGGTAGCACGTACAACTATGCAAGCTATCCCAACTCTACTCTCCAGGACGCTCTTCTAACAAGATTTATACACAGACCTACAATGGCACCGAAGGTATCGAAGACGCCCAACAATGGCGATGAACCACGCCGACGACCCCTCCAAGCCTATAACTCATTTCCTCGAATCGACTCCGACCCCAAGGACTCCTCACGACGGACCAGAGCCAGTACATCCGATGGCTCCAGCCCAAATGTCAATTATGAAAACGATGCTGAAATTGCCAATCAACCATCCGAATCCGATTCGACCCCTAGCACAATCGATCGGGCAAGGAAGGGGAGCGACAAGAGTGGTGAATTAGATACTTCAGAGCTTCCGTCAGATTTCGATGCACTTCCAGTTGAGCTCATTAGCTTAACGGATACGTAAGTCTACACATAACAGTCAAGGGTGCGTATACTATACTGACCCAAAATAGCTTCGTCGATTCCCTATCCGCGAAAGTCCACGCAACTCCCCCGACAGTCGACAGGCTATCCATGCTGTTGCAGGACTTCTACGTCCTAGCTGCCACCCATATAAACACGCACATATCAATACTCAGTTCTCGTCAGAATCGACGGGCCTCACCGTCTGCTTCAATATCTTCCAAATCATCTGCTGCCAGCAGGATAAGAGCGAGGGCGGTATCAATCGGCACCAAGGATCGGCCGAAAGCGTTAGAATCCCAAGACTCCGAACAACAACTTCTGACAGTGGAGGAAATTGCGGAGAAGAAGAAGGCGAGGAAGGTGCTGGAGCACAAGCGGTTGGCCTTGGAAGAGGCTGTTGAGCGGAGAGTATGTGACAAGGTATATACCAAGATATGGCGGCACCGGAGCACGCAAGACGAAGCGCAGGATGAGAAGCTACGTTCGAAGACAGCAGCGCTGGCCGTTGTGGGTATTGGACTGACAGACCTTGGCATTGACCTGGGCGAAGAAACCAGTTCAAATGACGCCTCCAAGGAGGAGGAAGTGAAATCCTGGCTCGAAGGGGCCAGGCAAGAGCTTCTTTTGATGAATTCCGACACGTCGCCATTGGGAAAGCTACAACATCTTAAGGCTGCACACAAATGCATAGTCGAAACACTCTCGCACTTCCATCCTTCCTCCTCGGCAGACGAAATAATGCCAATGCTGATTTATACCTTGATCACCTCCCCAACAGAAGATTTAAACGTTATCAGCAACCTATACTTCATCCAGCGCTTCCGCTGCGAGTCTAAAATTGATGGAGAAGCTGCCTACTGCCTTACCAATCTTGAAGCCGCCATCACCTTCCTCGAGACTGTCGATTTGACCCAACTCCGAGCTGACGAGGCTCCTTCAGGACCTCCCAAGTCGTCAAGCCGTCCAACGACCCCTCGTTTCGAATCGCCTCATCCTATCTCTGCGAGCACGCCAGCTCAGGGCGTGAGCACCCCTTCTCTAAGTCCTGCGGTCATCAGCCCACCCAGCACGGACTCCCGATCAGGCACCGTACGCAAGTCAGATCTTTCCCCATCTATCCTACGCCCTCCACCAACAAACCGCCGATTGAGCGAGCTATTCCACCCCGCGCAGGCCCTCGGTGCAGCAGCTCAGGACGCGGTTCTCAATACCGCTGACCAGGGCATCAAGACCATCGGCAACAGTCTAGGCGAGAGCTACAACTTCCTCCTTGGCAAGCTCAAGGAGCGCCAAGAAGCCAAGCACGAAGTCGTCGTTCCCAAAACCCTCGATGAAGCGAGGAAACTCGTCGAGCCTAATCAGCCCGACGATGATGATGTAGACGCCGCCTCAGCCTCGCTAAACTCCATGGCTCCGCCAGCACCAAAATCAGACGACAAAGCCATCCACCTCATAGCCGGCCGCCCGCCCCGCGACCGCAGCATTGACAGCGCTAGTAGCTCTGCGAGCACTAAGCGCGCTACACCAGGCGTCACGGCGCCGTCTCTGCAGGTCGCGGATGGGATCCGTATGCTGAGCAACACGTTCAACCCCATGAGCAAATTTGCAGGCGGGATCGGGATGATGCGCGGGTTCGGGCGTGCGGCGCCTCCTGCGGCGGGGAAGGAGGAGATGGATGGCGCCGTGGAGGAGCTGACGACTGCGTTTCCTGACTTGGCTGCGGTGCTGCCCCCGGGAAAGGCGGGGGTGAAAGTTGACCCGCCGATTCAGCGGTTTATGGAGGTTAGGGATCCGGGGGAGTTGAGGCTCAATGAGGTTGTGGAGTTGTTGAGGGATTATCGGAGGTTGGCGGGGTCGCTGAAGGAGTTGGGTGCGCTGTGAGGGGATGGGGGAGATGTTATTTTCGTGCATATTTTCTGTTGTTATTTTGCATTTCAGCTAGGTGTTCATGGTGGCATTGGTGCTATGGGATGGGCTTAGATGTATTTCCTATGATTCGAAGCGTATAAATATTGTCACAAAAAGCGTGTGTGTAGAATCTTTAGAATATCTATATCATGGTTTGATATTATGACCAATGTAGCTACCACTGTTCAACTCCCTGATGCTCTCGCCTTCTTTCTTTCATATCTATGACAGGGCAGGCTTGCACGTTCCTGCACCGCCAAACGCGCGGCATTGTATCTGAAAGTCATCAAATTTCTCATTGCCACAGCTGAATTGAAAATCAGCAGAGACAAAATTGTTTCCAATCCTTGCGTACTGTAGGCCGCCGCCGTATTGAAGTATATCAGGAAGTTGCTTGTCGTCGTAGTTGTCGTTGACGCATGTCATGACATCTCCAGCTGTGCCTCCTGGGCCCACTAATGTCACACTACCACCAAGGACAGTGTGGAAAAGACAGAGCCCAACTGTAATAGAATACAGAGAGACCTGCATCTTAAATGGGAGGGTGGTGTAGGAGTGCAATGGTTGAGAGTTGTAAACGGCGTTAAATATGAGAGCTTGAGGAGAAACGTGATGTCGGAGTATGATTGTTGAAGTTTATAACTGGCGTTAAATGTAGAGAGTTTAAGCGTTGCAGTTTATGACGGCTAACTAACATCAGAGGCCCTTGACCTTATGTTTATAGTAATTTCAGATTGTCACTCCCCCTAACCCTTTGATCTATAGCTTTAAGACCTACTCTAGCCCCCCTAAACAAAAGCACTCCTAACCTGCAGTCGTGGGCCTGTATTACTTCGTACGACTAATCCAATGTAACGAAGCTGGGCCTGTTCTGGCGCATAATTCCTATTGGTATACCACGATTATTGGGCAAGAGTTCAATGTATACAGAGTTGACTCATCTGATAAAAGAAGGGCCGTTTTTGGTCTTTGTTATAACAGATCGTGGAAGCGTTGGTTGGTCAGGCAGATCTATGTTGAGCCATTCCACACGTTTATACTGAGCTGAACTAAAACATGGCCAGCCGACGCCCGTTGTACGACTACGAGCAAACCCATCAAACAAATAATGGCATATGGGTGGTATGTTGACCATGAGATACTTGTAGGTATGCGACGATTTGAAGGCCAATGTCATTTGGGCTGTTTGTCACTGTCTGGGGCCAAGGGGCTGGCGGGATTCGGTATTTCATGTTGGAAACTGCATGATTTAATGATATTATCATACATTCCAAAGGCAGAGCCTGTTATATAGACACGCATGTGGAATATTATGCTATACAGTGGCGCACATGTAAAATAAAATGAAATCTAAATACGCAAAGATGCGCAGGCTAACAACAAACTCCCTTTCTATATTCCCCCCCCCCCAAAAAACCCCCAATCATCATTCACAGCCATATTTTAATACGCAGCCTGGTGGGTAAGAGCAGGACAAAGCGCGATAAAAGTATGGATCAAACTGCGGATTTGTTAGTCTAACTCCCAGAGGTAGGGAGCAACCGAGACTTACAAAGTTATTGCCGCCATCAACACAGCCACCATATGCCTTGGCTTCGTCGTCTGAGCAGCCCACTTGTTATTCTCCTCATCCATCGCAATGATACCCATCGTGCACGTAAACACCGAGTAGGCGAGGACAACCGCCATCGTTGAGCTGAAGCGGCGGCACGCCTTCCCTGTGGGGGCGTCACCCGCAACAGCGCAGACACACAGGCCAAGGAATGCGAGGACTTGTGCAGCGAGCTAAATGGGGGTTAGATAAATGCTCGTATTGTATATTTCAAGACGGGGTAGGGGAACGCACGAATACGGTTTGGAGTGGGAACCCAGAGGCGCTCCATGTAGCAGTGATGTGCTCCATTTCACTGTGCCAGCTGTACCACATCCCGTTCCAGATGTTCATCGAAGCACCGACGGCGGACATTATAGCGGTAATGAGGTACAAGCCTGAGGCTGCGGTGTGGCCGCGGCGGTGCAACCAGTACAAGACGGTGCCTGGGGAAGCGGTGCCACGGGCGAGGGTGGCGATGGCGGTGAGAATGCGGGTGGTTATTATGACAAGGTAGATGGCACTGGAGGGGTCAGTGATGACGATACAGAGGGGGGAGATGGCTTACGCAATAGGGTAGACACAGAGTAGGCCGGCGAGTTTGTATTGTCGTGCTAACTCACTATAGCCTTTTGTTAGCGACTGTATAGAATAGATGGGGGGTAGTGGTTTGTCGAGGAGGGGCAGTAGCTCACCTCAATGTGTTTATACGCTGTTCAAGTTGATCATGGCTCCCAAAGGTGTCCAGAACCTCTTGCCACTTGTATCCATCCATAGCGATCGAGACGGTTGGGAAGTATATGAGCAGCACGATCATGGTGATTTCGTAGATGCTGCTGAGCATTGGCACGATGCTGCGTCGGCATACGCGAACGCTGAATTGCATGACAAGCCATACTATCGGGACTACGAGCTATTCAGAATGTCAGAGCTGCGCCATTGTCCATGATTATAGGCTCCTTACCAGAGGGAGTACATCTGCGGCTCCGTTCGACCAGAAGCGTTTGTATTCATAGCCCGCCCATTGGTCTCCACCAAGTTTATTCGCCTTCAACAGCTCCTTCGTCTGGTACAAGAACCGTCTCCCCGTAACCGCAAGTAAGACGGCAACAAAATGGAGCAACAAAGTCCACAAACTGCCAGCAGGCTCGCGGACAAGTAGGCTCAACACAGTCCAGCCCTCCGGGGCTGCGGCTACCCTTCCCTCATTGCGCTCATCGAGGCATAATCCAGCCTCGCGCTCTTTCCTACGCAGGAAGCACTCTTCTTCACCAGGATCGATAAGGTGGAGTTCGACGAGGTTGTGGATAATATGTGCCTCTTCTTCCTCTTCGTCGGTGAGGCGTAGCTTGTGAATGGGTTCCCCGACTAGCTTCTCGTCGACGGCCAGCATATCGTCGCTCGCGTGGCGGACCGCGCCGGCGCTCTTCTGCCAGAAGAACGGCATCGTTGGTGCTGTGGTGTTGTTGTTGATGAGGGCGAAGATAGGGAATGGGAGGGAGGAAATACGTTGACGGTCTCGACGCTATGATTGTTTGACACCCATGTTCCTTGGCGTGTTGGACCTTCTAGATTGAGGTATCGCAGCCGATCGAACATATTTTACTGGGCCAGGTCCGGGTCCTCTAAGGGTCGGTTGATCAGGGGTATGCATGTGTGGTTTCCACATAAACAAGGCTGCGGGCCGGTTAAATAGTCTGGCCAGTAAAAGCGCTGGGAATGTGACAACGTGGAATTCTGCACAACATCTTGGAGCGAAGGCACGAAAAATATGAGTACACAGAGACAACGATAGATTAACAAAACATGCATCTATATTTCAAAATGCGCCCAATAACTATACGCCAAATAATAACTTTACGCTAGATAACAATATGTGACGCTTAAATAACGATATATGCCTCCAGTCCCAAGCAGGATCCATTCCAAAACGCCTATACATGCTCAATATCAACTTACACACACATATCGCCTCAAGTCGCGATATTCACCTTCTCACATAGCCATTTTATGGCTTAGACAACTGCTCTTTCCTGAAGAACCTCAAAAATCCAAGAGTAATAATAAGCTGGAAGATCAGCCCGACCCAGAACCATGGCTTGCTCAAGCCCGGCAACGGTCCAACCGAGAAGTCGGGGAATAAATCGCCCTGCCCTTCCCTGTTTGGCGATGTAGCCCTCGCAACCATTGTTGCCACGGACCCAAAGATCTGCGCTCCAACAAGCGTGTACGCGATGTGCAACCTCGTCAGAGTCTGGAGGAGGATCATACCGAACCCTACACCCTGGAAGGCGTCGAGGACACCGAGCCACAGCCACAGCGAGCGTGAAACAAGTGCGGATGCGAGCGGCGATCCGGTCCAAGGAAGGAGGATGCCGATGTTGGAGGTGGCCCAGAGGATCTGAGCCCAGCGGGGTGCGATGAGACCGATTGCGAAGAGAGGGAGAATCCAGGAGTGGCCTTGAGAGAGCTTGGCGAAGAGGAGGAGAAGGAGGGCCCACACGATTATGAAGAAGAAAACGGCGAGGAGGGCGATCTGGTAGATCTTCGCCGCGTTGCTGCTCCAGAGGTATTGCCAGTTGCGACCTGTGGAGGCGGAAAGGAAGTAATTTTGAATGATGATGACAATAAAAAACCAGATAACGATGTTACGGCGCATGATGGCCTTGTAGAATGAAGGTACATGGCCCGGAGCTTGTCGGTAGTAAGATGGTAGTCCGAAGTAGCAGAGTGCGCCGATACCCCAGATGAGGCAAGCAATAGGGATCATGATGCCAGTGAATTTGAGGCTGGTGGTTGTAATCATGCTATCGGAGAGGGCGGCACCGGTGCCCAAAATGTTGTTTTGGTAGTTACCCCATGCCCAGAGAGCAACGACGTAGATTTGCTGGGTGCCTTGGATGACACAGGCACGGAAAACCCAGGATTTGATAGGAGAACCTAGACATGTAAGTTAGTTTCGAGTTGTGAAAGGAATGGGATAATAAGTCAACGTACCTCCTTCGTCACCGAAGTTCAGAGCGAAGAAAATTGAACCTGAGGGCGACGCGGCAGCATACAATCCAGTTGCAATATTCTCTAGCCAAGTTTGAGCAACTTTAGAGCTATTGGCGACTGGTACAAGGCCGAGCAAGAAGAATGCAGATCCGTAGAAGATGAAAGGAATGGAGAGAACATAGACAGATGCGGCTTTGCGGAACAAAATCCACCAAATTACCGAAAAGACGATGTAGATAGCTCCAGTAGCGTAGATAATGCTGGCTGAACTGGCTGTTCCAGAGAGCAGGGTAACTTGATACGAGTTGGCAGCCATGATCTGACCGAAGGCAAGGACGAAACTGTAGACGGGCCAGTCGCCGATACGGCGCTGCATCAAGTATCTGACACCAGTGGGAGGCTTGTAGTCCTGTCCAAGTAGCCACTCGTCATCATCATCACCCATGTTGTAGGCTTCGTGCTCTCCATCGTATAGAACAGGGGTGGGGCTTGCGCGGTTCTTCTTGGTCAGGACAGATGACCCGCTGTCCGACCGATTTCTAGATCTAGATCGAGAACGGGAGCGGGATCCTGAGCGGGAGCGGTCGCTTGAGCGTCCCAGCTTAGCATTTTTGAAATCGCTATACCACTCTCGCTCTGACTTTACGAGGTAGTCTTCAATGCAAAGTGCATCTTCAGAGTTACCAGCTGAAAGGTCGGCAAGTTTGCCCTCGAAAGCCTTGTAGTATTCGCCCTTGCTGTCAGTGAAATCGGGGTCGACCTTCTGAAGAAGGAAGTCCTTTTTGTCTCCCACCACAGTGTTCAAGCTTAGCATAGAGACAGGGCGGGAGCGAGATTGATAGTGAATGCCCAGGCCATCCCTAGTTCGAGCTTGGTTACCGAGTAGACCATCTCCCTCGTCTCTTGACGGCCCATCCTCAGCCTCAGGGGGGGTCGGAATATCGCGAGACAACAAAGAAACGGGCTTAGAAGGGTCTGAGATAAGGCTGTCACGGTCACGTCCGTCTCCGAGGTCGTTGTCGTCGTCGCCCAGGTCGAGAGGACTGCGGCGGCGGTCAAAGTCTGACTGATTTAAGGTAATTTGTGAAGTGGTGGCAGTGCTGGGTATGGAGTTATCCGGGTTGAAGTAGACAGGGTGCAAAGGAGGGGAGTTTCCGCCTGCTGGCGTCGCGTCCATGCTCGCCGATCGAGAGTACATGCCGCTGACCGGTCGAGAATATGTGCCACTGTTTCCGCGGGAGCGACGTCCCGGTAATGGCAGACTCAAGCCGCTCCTAGGGCCACCTCTTTCGACTTCCTTAACGTGGGTATTAATCGCACTCGACTGAAGGTTCTCTAATTGTTCAACCCAGGCGGCGACGGGGAATCGTTGCTTGGCAGATCTAGCTCGCATCTTTCGGCGGGTTTCGAGCTTGGATGCCAAAGCTTCCTTGATCGATCCCTTGAACTGGCTAAGCATGTGAGCGGTAGTAGTCGACTCGACAGTGAACCACCAGCCGGGCATTTGACCGAGACCACCAACGCGAGCTCCAACACCAAGAGCACCCTTGCGACCGAACTCGACAGCGACCAAACCGAACGGCTCATCACGGGATGGGATAAGAGCAAACTCGGCACCACTGAAAATGAAGGGTGGGAGAGCAGTGAACTCGGGCTTCGAGTACACACGACCAGGGTATTTCTTCATCATGACATCCAACTTGAGAGCAGCGAATTTACCGTAAAGATCGATGACCGGACCAACAGTGAGGAGCTGTACCTTGGGGTTGCTCTCCAAAACGGCGGGGAAGACATCGGCAATCAAATCAATACCCTTTTGCATACTCCAGCGACCAACAAAGACGAACAGTTCGGCATCCGGGTCTTGGTTTAAGCCAGCCCATTCCTGAGCCTGACCCTTGAGTCCAGGGCGAGCAGATTCGAAGGCCTCATCAATTACAACCTTGCTATCGTCCTGTTTACCAGACCACTCACCAAGATCCGTAGGATCAGGGTTGGGGAGTTGCCCAATCTTCTTCAGACCCCAGAAAATGGGGTAGCGAGCGTGAGAACGGGCACCATATTTGGCACTGACACCGACGGCCCCAAAGCCCTTCTGATGAAGGCGGATATACGAGGCTCCAGCGTGGAGCAGATTGAAGACGTCTCCGAATTGGACGTATCTTTCCACGATCTCGGAGGGGAGGTTGAAGACTGAACAGACCTCGTTGAATTCCTTGGCATTTCGCAGTGGCCATAGACCTTGAAATTCGGCATTGTGGAGAGACAAGCAAACTGGAATAGTGCGATCTGGAAGCATGTAAAGAGGCGCCGCAGCTCCGTGATAATCGTTGATATGGTACAGATCAATGGGGAAACGTGCAATTGCAAGGGCAATACACTGATTCCAGGTGGAGTAGTAGACGGCGGATTCGAGATCATCCATTCGAGCCGGGTAGGGATCAGTCTTTGTCTGCTTCCTGAAGACGGGAGCATCCAATAGGACGTATGTAATGTTGCGCAGAATGTGGTATTGGACTTCGACCTCATAGGTGGAACCAAGAATAGTCACAGACATAGGCTCAGCACGTTCAGCTTCGGGGTATTCGACTCCACCGACACAAGGAACAACCCAAATCAGGTCCTGATGGCCAAGATTCTTTCCCATAAGTTGCGCCATGACACCAAGACCACCAATCTTGATCTTGATAGCCCAATCTTCAATATCGTACTCCATAGTAGCAATAAGGATGGTTCTTCTGTCTGCAGCTGCACCAGCGGCACCAGCTGCGCCAGGCACGAGGGACAGGCGAGAGGCAGCTGCGCTGCCAGGAATCAGTGCCCTTGACTTCTGCTTACCAGCGAATCTCTTTCCAATAAATGCAGGGACCAGAGCTCCCATGCCCTTGACCCTGACACCGACCTTGTTGAACTTAACAGAGTAAAATGCGCCCATAAATCCCCAAACAGCGAAGAGGCCAGTTAGGACTGGGGCCACTGTGCTAACGACGAAAACAACGATCTGGAACCACATGTTTCCGGTTGGCAGAATTGTATATGCAAGCGTGCCGTCATTTACGGACAACCTGTATCCCAGATACGGCATTGCCGGTGCATCCTTGAGATCAAACGATGCAAGCCGGAGAGTGGGCGGAGGCGTGCGGTCGAGGATTTGATCGTTGTCAATATCGCCGAAGACAGCGGTCTGATCGGGTAACCCATCAGGATTAATACCCCATTGATTAAGCTGAAGCTGTCCTGGCCACTCAGAGATGAGGTCATATTTCCACCAACCATCTTTGTCCAGACGGAAGGTATTGAGGATACCAGAATCGGCACCAAAGCCATTGAAGGAGCCGAGGGCGAACAGGTTTGGGATTCTGCGGGGCGGCGAGTCGAGATCACCATGTTGGACGTAATCAGAGCTGCCAGAGTCCCTGTTATAATACTCCACAATTACATGCTCGCCCTTCCACTTTTGCTTGGCTGTTCCTGTCCAGTTCTTGGGCGGAATATTAACTTCCCCGCCCTGGTACAGGAACCACTCGCTATAATTCGTCCAGTCCAAGGTATACCTCCACGAGTTAGCTCCAGCAGCCTTGTGACTAATGAAAAGGGTGCCATTGTCATGGCGCTGTAGCAGACTAGAGCTGTAGTTTGCCGAACGTGGGAATGCAATCGGGTTGTCCTGTGCGCCAGTACGGAAAAGGAACTTATCGGTCGACCCAGTTGATTTGGTCCCAGTTTCCATTGCAACGTCCTTAACAGTGATAGCGTGTACACCATGGCCGACACCAGTGAGTGTGGCACTGAACTTCCAAATGCTCGGGATATTTCCTGGGACATCAAGTTCAACCTGACGGGGCACATTGGCGCACTTTATGGAGCCTTCGAGTATAGAAGCAGTTGTAGCATCTTCTGTTGTGGATGTGATTGTAATTCCTTCAGTCACACTAGTACAGTTCATTTCGTTCGAGAAGTATAGCGCGATTTCGATATCTTCTTGCTGGCCAAGTGGAACAGTCGCATTCAGTCGTGCATCGTGCCCTGGGACAAACCTTGTTATCATAGGGTTGGGTGCAACCCATTTGGCCTTTGGTACATAAGCCCTAAATTCGTAGGGCTTTAGGGAGACTGTCTTTAAGCATCCGCTGGTGAACTTGGGAGGCGGTGCAGTAGTTGTTGCTTTAGGCTTTGTCGTCGTCTTGGTGCTAGAAATATTGGCTTTCCCGGTTGTAGAAGCCTTCTTACCAGTGCCAGTTTCGGTTGAAGATTTGTCTTCGGCAGTACTAGCCTTTGTGGCAGTTGGAAGATCGCTGGCTGCAGTATCGGTCGCAGTTTCGGCTGCAGTTTCGGCCACAGTCTCTGCTACGGTTTGGGCGGCGGCTTCAACAGCATTGACAGGTTCAGCTCTAGCTTCCACTGCTGCGGTAAAATCCAAAGAACCAAATCCAGGCACCACTTTTCCACTCAGAAGGGTAACCTCGTCGTATGGGTAGAATAAATTCCTGAGAACCGTTCCTGGCGGGAAAGGGGCCACCAATGCAAGATCGTCGACAAGGCAATTGAATGCGTAATTGACGGTCACATTGTCGTTGTGGTACAAAAGCCAGACTTCTTGTTCGCCCTGTCCGCCAGCGGTACTAAGGTCCTGGATTTTTGGAAGTCCGCTTCGGAAGGCACTCCAAATACCTACTTCTCTTGTTTCCTCGCCAATTGGAATTTGCTGGGTCTGGTTTGAAAGTGCCTGAAGGAACAATCCATCGTTAAGAACTGGGTAATTGAGTCGCATTTGGTGCATGCCTTTAATGATATTGCGGATCGGATGTGAGGGGTCTCGATGGTCCAACGAAACCTTATCGTCTTCACAACCTTTCTGGGCATTAACATCCCCAAAATGAGAATATTGCGAGGAACTCAAGTTGTAACATCCGTGGGCCTGCCACGCCACAGACGCAGACATAGCTTGTCTACCAAAGAGGTAATTGTCGGCTGTATTATCAAGCAGGTAGAGTCCTTGCTCTTCTCCATAGTACATTAAGGGGATACCGGGCATATGGATTGTGGTGATAAAGCTGCCCAAGAGCTGCTTCTCAACGCCATCTTGGATTGCAGGCCAGCGGAAAACATCTAGATACGTAAGTTATGGTGCCTCGAGGGTCATTGTGGTGGCTTACCTTGATTTGCTGTTCCGTACATGTGCCTTGGGTCCAGTTTGTTGGTATTTGGGTTGACCAAGTCGTTACTGCGCAGCAACACGTTCCACGTTTCCACCCAGTCTGCTGGGACATCATAGAAACTGGCATCAAAGCCTTGCATTCCAAGAAACCTCGTCAGGGATCGATAAACCGAGTAATGAAAGGCCGCAGCATCATAAGCTCCATGGTCTTCATCGCGCATGAAAAGAGTCGCATTTGAGGCATTGTTGAGCTTTACTGCCTCATCCAGAGTGATATTCCCGTATGCCTCTGGAGTACGTCCACGGCCCAGATAAAGACTTCCGAATGTGTTTCCTCCGGAAATTTCTCCAGCAATGAAAAAGTTGTCTTTGCCAACCTCGCGGGCGCATTCTCGGATGCTCAGATTGATTTCTGCGAGCGCATCCAGGGTGATTTGTGTTCCCTTATCGAAGCGATAACCATCGATATCCAGCTTTTGGATCGTCAGGCAAGCGAAGTTCTCCAGTTTCTCGCGGACTGAAGGCATCCATTCCCTGAGGCGATCCTGCACCGATTGATATTTTCCCAGCTATAATCTCTAATTAGCTTCAATTTCTCCTACTGTGGATCACAAGGGCATTTGCTAACCTGGTTTTGCCAGTCCGGGAAAAATCCGACACCTGGGATATCTCCCGCCTGGTCAAATTCCGAGTCGAAGCATCCGCCCAATTGGCTCAGGACATCTTGTCCCACCTCATGGCCAGTGTCGTCCCAAAATGTTGGGTATGCGCATGTCTCATTGTATTTGTCTTCGGTCTGAGGGTGGAAGTCGTGGTATTGCCTGGTCTTGTCGCGGAGTACGACTTTATATTCGGTTGGCTTGAATGGCGCCGAGTCGTTTAAATGGCCCTCGAATCCGTGCAAGTCACCCATCGTGGACATTGTCGTATCAACAATTATGTACACTATCAAAGCACCACAAATTAGCCACCACAACGCGCAATGGGGGTCAACATGGACTGCTTACTGCCTCGTCTGTGGATTTCGTCCACCATCTCTCGGTATTTTGCGATGTCACCATAGTGCTGGTCCAGAAGTGTGAAGTCCAACGGGGAGTAGGAATCTGCGCCCCAGGGGAAATTTAACCAAGGCGTGCCAGCAATATACAGGCCTTTCACGCCCATTCCTGCGATATAGTCCAAGCTGTCGATCAGGCCCTGGATATCTCCGCCGTGTCGCAACATCGTTTGCATCGAGTCGTGCTCGAAGAGCGTCCCGTTGATATTATCGTTTGACGGGTCGCCATTGACGAATTTGTCCAGGAACAAGGTGTAAAATGGGAATCGCCAGTTCGTCGGCGATGGGTGATATGTGTGCCCAGCCCATTTGTTGTTGACGGCACCAAGCGTGGGGTCGTCTTCGTTCAGATTGTATCCAACATACTCTGCCTCATATCTGAGCGCATTGCTCCCCAAAGCATACAACCCCCATAACGCAATTCGCAACAGCGAAGCCATGGCTGGCGACGCCTATCCCGCCTCTGCAGGCAGAACTGGGGAAATGAAGAAAGGTATGGTCTACAGTACAAAGCCACAGGAGCTCGCTCGCGAAAGTGGTCAGCGAGTTGGAGCTGCAGGTATTCGTGGACCAGAGGCAAAACCTAAAGGCAGTGGTTTTGAGGATTAAGAAATCTGCAAGACAAGAAACAAAAGTTAAATCGGGGGCGGAAGGAAGCACATATTTTTGGATGTCGCCAAAATATTACCCAAGTGGGCGGGCTGGCGCACGGTGTGCACATCACTTTTATAGGATCTAACATAACCGCCTGGGATGCGGCTTATCTCAGCCTTGGCCAACCGGCCAGAAGCTACTCTAACTATAGGACGGCACAGTACGTAGTATGGGGGCAGTGAGATTCCGGAAAAGACCTCAATATGGATCGGACGCATTGGAGTCACGATTAGGCATTCAATCGGAGCATCAGCCATATCTTTTGTCATACCGCCCATACCGCGGCTACGTGAGTATATCCTTGGCACTCGCAAGGCTATGTGCACATACTATTTCCAGGGAGACTCTGCGCGGATGTTGCCAGGCCGTGTTTCTCCCGGATAACGCCACATCTCGCAAAAGCGAAGGATGGTAGAGGTTCCTATCCTTACGTATCTGAAGCTGAATCTCTTTAAAATCGAGACATGGCGCCACACTTCACCCACAACTTATGCAGCTCCTCCACGACGGAAATTTTGATGGCCAAACCGAGATAAAGGGTCAAACAGGGCTGAGAGCACCTTGGTCATTGATGCCGCTTATTGGCCGGGGTGGGTGGAAGGATGCACCCACACGTCAATCTATCTTCAGCCGTACGCACTGTTGCGTTGTCCCCACCACTATTGAGTACCAACCAAATGTTACGAATCTGGGGAATTCCACTCGCCAGTTTTCCACGTGTAGACGCAGTACAGCCCCATGGCATGAGTTCAGCGTTAGAGCTCTGATGACAATATCCCACGCCGCATCAACAAAAGCCGCAAGTTCTCAATTCACATCGCGCTGAGAATACTCTTCTATTGCTCCAGCCGGAACTACCGAAAATGGTACAGTCAGTCCAGAGGATCACACTAATATTGGTGTTGCCAGGATGACAGCCCAATTTAAAACTGACCGTCCAGCTCTCATCCATTGCTTATGCAAATAACGACGTCTCATTCGCTGAGCGGGATAGCTCTAGTTGAGCACAAGCCAGACCCGCCAGTTAGGGTCTACCTGCTCACTCATCAGCCACACTCCGAGTCTAGCGTGGCGCGAGTCAAGTCTTGGTGGTGCCAGAATTGCCGTAGCGCAAATTACGCGCTCCTTAGGCTCCACGTTGTGGAGGAGATGTCGCCTATCAACCCCTGCGTTGACAAATTTGCCGATGTGGCCCTCGAATTTCCTTTTTCCGTCGAAGGATTGGACCCCTGTACGCGCCTGGGTCCATCAGAAACACTAGCCGTCCAAAAAAAACCTGAGGATTTATCGGACGGTCATCATGATCTCAGCCTCCTCGGCCAAGCCACCGGTGCCACAGAGGACAAGAATAGAAATAGATACAGGAGAATATTGTTCCTGAGAGTTGACGATCCGCGGAGGAGGCTCTGGAGATATTATTACATTCCATCACCACGCCACAGCTCCACATCACGCCTTTGACCGCCTCTCTCCAGTTGGTGTATTATTGGTGTGGCATCGTGTGTAAGCTGATGCGATATCCTCAGCATTTGTCATACGTAAGTTGGCCGTGCCGTTGATGTTCTCGCGGATCACCCAGCCGGGCCAATGCGGACGTGCCCAACCCCACGCTACCATCTGGAGACCAACCCCACAGACAACTCAAAACATATCACGTGAAAGCGCGACACAGTAGTGTTCTTGGCGGTCAGACACTTTATACATCCAGGTAAACCCTGGAGGGGAAGCTAGATAGAGTCCAAATATTCTCAGGTTGTCAGATTCATTTCTTGGCATTTCAGGCGAAGTATATGAGGTGTGCTGATGCCCCTCAGGTTTGACCTTGACTCCGGTTCCTCGCAAAGATAACGAAATCTTCTGGAGTCTACTCTTGTCTGTTCATATAATCAAAAAAATTGATGCTGTGTACTTTTTTCCAGTTGACAAAGGCTTCAGGGTCCCCTGCGTGTCACCTGACATAAGTATTGTGTCGTCGAATTCGGTCTTTGGAGATAGCTAGCTCCCCGTTCCTAAATATATTCTGGCTGCCTTGAGATATGCAGTACCTGGCGCCTTTCGGCAGTAAGAATCAAAAGCGCACGCTAGCAAGGAGAGCATATAGCAGTGTAGTTTCTCTTCTCTCCATTTCTTCCTCGCTCCACAAAGGTTCATTTTTCAGTCTGTGCCATGTATCTCGAGATTTATGGGAATTCTGGGCATAACACCCTGTCGTAGGTGATCACATACTTGAGAATATTGTCTGTGACATAATATTGAAGAAGTAAAAGCTGTGTGTACAGCAATAGGGTGAGAATGGCAGTCTTGGTGCCTTGTTAAGGTAAGAGGCTCTGGCTGCTTAGTATAGATGACGTGCATATTTTTACATCGTGGAAGGAACTATGGTATCTTACTCTTAACGGATTAGTATGGAAGGCACGCATAAGCATGATGTCTTACTCATGACGGCTTAGTATGGAAGGGACACATAATCTTCAGTTGTGGAAGGAACGATGACACTCCAGGCCGCTTAGTCACTCTCGTATATTATGATAATGGGATAATGATGAAATAAACATGGCTGATTCTCTCAAATAATGACCTTTCTGGATTAATAAATGGTTTAATAGATAGAATTCATCTTTTCACGTGGAGATTGAAGCTTCATCTACTGGAACGCAGTTAAATATGCTCTACATTTTATAATTTCGCCAATTTAATATCTACTCTTTTCAGCACTTTGTTATTTTGCTCACTCACAGCTATTGTTTACATGCCAATATAACGATATTATGCCCAGAGGATATTTGCGAGACCAAATCACTTCTCCATAGCACTTCTCTTGGTGAGGTGATAACTTGCACGGGACAAATATAATTTACATTGCCAAGACCAAGCACGTGACATACAGATTGTTGTCCGCATTTGGCAACTATCGCGATCCACTTGCAACGACCTCTTTTGCTATACACATGCTCTGTCAACAATATAACCTACAACTGCGAATTGCCTATGCCTCGCATTTGTATGCTCTGCCGATGGCCATCTAAGCTACGTAGACGAGCACGGCGCTCGCGGATGTTGACAATGATCATCCTCATCTCGGTCATATGCATCCTGGTCACCCCCTTATACATCATATATAAGCCACCGAACGTCTTAATACGGTATTTCCAGTACCGCTGGCCCGATGTTCTTTGGCGTGTCCCGACATCATCCAAAATGATCGCGCTTACGATCGATGATGCGCCTTCAAAGCACACGGCGGAAATTATGGAGATCCTCAAGGAAAACGACGCGAGGGCAACGTTCTTTGTCATAGGCTCGCAGGTAGAAGGGCGTGAAGAGAGGCTGAGAGATTTGGTGCGCAATGGAAACGAGCTGGGCAACCACGCGATGCACGATGAGCCCTCTCGCGCGCTGAGCGACCAAACGCTAGTCGCTGAGATCAAGGCTGTTGAGGAGATGGTTCTCGAGGCATATACAGCTGCCAGCGTTGACACCCCTCCAAAGTATTTCCGGCCTGGCTCTGGATTTTTCAGCGAGCGGATGCGTGAGACCCTGGGAGGGTTGGGTTACAGGCTGGTCCTGGGCAGCATTTACCCTCACGATCCTCAGATCTCATCCTGGAGGATTAATGCGAGACATATTCTGAGCATGCTACGACCGGGTGGGATTATTATTTGTCACGATAGGCGAAGCTGGACTGTGCCTATGCTCCGAAAGGTGCTTCCTGAAATGCGGCGGAGAGGATATCAAATTGTCACCGTCTCGGAGCTCCTGGAGGCGAGGATTTGACGTCATCGCAACTCTTGTCACTGTGGGCTTAACAACATTTTATGTTGCCGCATGTGTTCGCAAACATCCGCAGAGCCTCCCAATATATGGTACATATCTATGCCGGTGTCCTGTTTGTGTACTGACCCCAGAAGTTGGCGATATATAAAAAATATTGATGGAGACATTATTGCCGATGGAGGCTCGACGTCCTACCGTAAGCTGGACGCCAGGAACGCACATACGGGACATCAATGTTTGAACTGTACCGATATATTTTATGGCAGGATGATTGCAACCACGGCAACATTGTACAGTACAATAATTATGTATTATGATAGCTAAACTTTGTTTTGGAAGTTACGTTCGTGTCTGGCACCTTTCCAAAGCTGGAACGCTCTTTCCACTGTGTAATGTACGTGATAATTTTGGAAAGAGCCTTCAAGGAGCCTGCAAGAGGAAAGAGTCCAAAGATGTGTCACTGACAGCCTTCTCTCCTTTTACAAACAACAAACTGAAATGATACATCAACAGGCTGGGAGATTCTTGCCTTTCAAAAAAAAAATCACTGAGACGACAACAAAATAGTCCAAAAAATGGCATCCGCACTCACCATGATGCCCCCTCGAGATAAAACTGATGGAAATAAACGCCTTCCACCCATTGGTCGTAGTGTGAAGATACAGCCCCCGAGACTTACACCAGAGTCTGGAGAGCCTATTACGATCTTCATGTAGGGCTCCAAGATACCCTAAAGCAATATACATCACTACAGGTCACTGATACAGCACAGAACTGGCATTACGGGGTATATTGGTGGGACCGTTGCTAATTATCTTATCTCGTCTCATCCCGAAGTCAACATAACTGCTCTTGTACGAAACGAAAATCATGTATCCAGTATTCGGGCAATGTTTCCAAATGTTCGGATAGTGAGAGGGTCTCTTGATGACCGAGACGTCTTGATTGAGGAGTGTTCAAAAGCAAAAATGGTTCTACGTGTGTACTCTTCTCCCCAGAGTTCTCCCTCAAAACACCAACTGATGGATTAATGATCAAAGGCTAATTGGTGCGGTGCTATAGAGATGGCTACGGACCACGAGGAAGGCTTGTTGTCAATAATCGAAGGCATAAGAAGTAGCAAAGAGAAAGATTGCGGGTATCTCATACACACGTCTAACATATCGACGCTGATCGACCGAGACTTTCCACCGGGGGAGTGCGACGACAGGTTGGGCGATGACGTTGCCGATTTGAATGCAATCAAGGCAAAACTGTCAAAAAACGCGAGAGGTTCGGAAATAATGATCATGAATGCGGCAGCACAGAACACCGAGAACCACAGGCCCGTGAGGTCTGCCATAGTGTGCACTCCAGCAGTATATGGCTTTGGCCGGGGGCCAATCCGCAAACGCGGAGGAAAGTTGACAGACTTGATGAGGGCTATCATACTGCATAAAAGCGCATTCGAGGTGGGAAACGGGCGAAACTTTTGGAGTTTGGTTGATATCGACAATCTGGCTAAGGCATATTTGCTCTTAGTCGAGAAAGCACTCGGCCCAATAGGCGTGGGGCCCGGAGACTGGGATTCTAAAGGGTATTATATTGTTGAAACGGAGGAACTTGTACGTATACTTCCCAATCTGGCTTTATTGTCTGCTAATGATCAAGTGCTGGGGCCTATTTGCACGAGGCATAGGTGATCGGGTCCAGCAACGATTTTTTATCGATGAACCATCTATTGTCAAGAAGTTGACCGATAACGAGGTCAATGCAATATACGCCGGAGGCTCGACATACTGGGGGACAAATGCTAGGCTCCTGGGGACTCGTTTGCGCAAGCTTGGTTGGAACCCCTACCGCGGCGATCTGGTAGAATACGTCGATAAAAGATTGGGGGTTGAGATTCAGGAGCTTTATGGGATCACCATTGAGGAACAAGAATTTGAAACAGACGAGAGACGTCCCGAGGCTTCCCTAGACAACCCGTCCGTTTTACAGGCCAACTCTGGAAACGTCATGGATGAGAATGCGGATGCTGTTTCGACTGATGAAGAAGTGTCGATGCAACTACGGAGAGAAGCGGCAGCAGAGACTAGAGAACCGACAGCAGAGGCTAGAGAACGGACAGCGGAGACTAGAGAACCGACAGCAGAGACTAGAGAAGAGACTGAGGAAAATGAAGGGGGAGGGGGAGAAGAGGGGCAAGTGAGAGAAGTGGGAGAAGGGGGAGAAGTGAGAGAAGAGACAAAAGAGACTGGAGAGGAGACTGAGGAAAATGAAGGGGGAGGGAAAGAAGAGGGACAAGTGAGAAAAGAGGAAGAAGTGAGAAAAGGGAAAGAAGTGGAAAAAGGGGAGGAAGTGAGAGAAGAGAGAAAAGGGGAAGAAGTGAGAGAAGTGAGAGAAGTGAGAGAAGAGAGAGAAGGGGAAGAAGTG